ATATTTCAATTCACTTGTAAACTTTTTCTCTCCGTGAACGATCGAAGTGGCAATGGAAGTGGGTTTGAACTGTTTATTTTATCTGCTTTCTGGCCATGGTCTGGATGAGGATGGTGGCCTGTTGCCTTCGCTGCGGTTTTGAATGCACGTCGGGAGTTTCGGCGGCTTCACACCGCCGTGGTGCTCGGCCACTTCTGTTTTCCTGGTGTAATTAAGCAAACGAAATATAATAATAATAAATTATAATTTTAGAAGGCGTGCCCGGAACTCGAAAAGTGGCTGAAAACTGAGAGTCGACTAGCTCCGGGAAACCACTTTGGGCCATTTCTGTGGGAAGCGCGACGTTTGTGTGTTTAAAATATAAACGAACAGGCTCTAAGAAATTGCGCTATAAAAATTTGAAATTATAATGCGAAAATGGAAAATGGGCAGGAAGAGTGGGTTTTTGTTATGTTAATTTTTACAGCCATCCGGCCACCCAATCGATGTTAGCAGAGGGTACTCCACAACCCAGGCCCAGAAATAAACCAATCCCGCGCCGGAGCCGAAACCTGAAATCCAATCCCCGGCTCCACTTGGAGCCCCTTCTTGGGCTCCCGGTTCCAGTTCCCCAGTTTCCCAGTTTCCCAGCTGGGTTCCCGTGTTGTCTGCCAGACTTTTGCTATTTCTATGACAACTTGGTAGCTCTTGGGTAACTTCTAATGATTTTCTATGCCCGCCGCTGTTAAGGAGTTGCCCCCGGAAAGTGGAGAAGCCCCATTATATCCCCTCTTTGGGATCCACCTGCGGTTGGATGTGCTCAGTGTGGTTGAGAAATGTACGTTTTCGGTGGAGTTTGCGTCATGCGATGTTAATGGAACAGGCGATCAGAGGTCCCCAAGAAGATGACGTAACACGTAACGGCAAAAACCGCGCAACAACGCGAGCGAGATGGCGCTATACGACAGACAAGGAGAACGGAAGGTCGTATTGATAGCTTTGTTCATGTGTGTGAGTGTTGGGGCCAATGTACCCGCGGTCAGTGCATTGCACTCATCTCATTCCAATTTTTTTCGTTCTTCCCTCTCCATGGTTCTTTTATTGGGTTTAAGCTAAAAAAATAAACCAGGGAAAGATAATATGGAGCAGACGAAATAGCAGTCGTTTGCCGAATTTAAAATATTTATTTAAGATGTTTAAATATAATATTTGTCATGAAGACTGTTTATTTCTGTGTTTCAAAATTGATGTTCATAAAAAATAATATAAATTAAAATGTAGGTTTACTAAAAAGCGTTTTCTGTTGCCATGCCAGGTCATTGTTGATTTTAAAGACCCTCCCTTCCTCCATTATGTTCCTTTCCCTGGCTGCATTGTGCTGCAATTACGACAACGTCATCGTGTTTGTTCGGTGTGCAATTTCTTCTATGTGCACGTAGTTGCACTTATCTGCCTCTTCCACCGCCCTCTCATTCGACACAGAAAGAAATTTATAAAAAAATTCCCTAAGGTCTAAGACAAGATTCCAGTATCGGTATTCAAGTTGATATTGATAAGCTCAACGCTCTGGTCTAACATTTATCGAAAATTAACATAGCAATATTAATATGATATGTAAATAACTACACCGAAAATTTTATTTTAAGCATTAATAAGACAAATTTATAAGTTCAATTAAAAATGTCTGGGTACAAGTTTTTCTATGCCTCTTAAATAAAAAAGAGCGTTTGGTTATATATTTAAACTACCAAGCCAAATTCAAACAAATTTTTCATTGTGTACAGCTGCTCTCTGTGGTTGTGGTCTATGGGTGTGAGAGCAAGAGAGTGCAAGAACCATGAGGTTTGGGGGATGGTGAGGGGGTGGTGCCTAGGGCTCCTATCGCCGCCCCTTTTGGCTTTCTGTTGGTGGAAAACTGTGTGCCCCCTGCGCTCGCACATTTGAAAAGTGCATCGAGTGCAGCGAGTGCATCTCCCGACGTTCAGCCATCTGCCAGCCGAAGAGCAAAAAAAAAAAAAAAAACGAAGCCTAGTTCGGCGAGCCTAGATCCGAGTGCTTGGGAAAACTCTTTCGTTACTGCGCTTTTCTGTTAGACGATCTCTCCACCGGGCGGCAAATGCAACACCACCGGTTGCAACTTGCAACCCACCTGAGTGCAACTCCAACTAGTTGCATCTAATCGGGCGCCTAGGAAAAATCCTGTCCATAGTTTTCCCCAAAACGGAAAACTCCACGGCAATAGAAATCTACACCTTGCCCCGTAATAGAATCACCCCCTCGCTGCAAAACTTGAGCTTAAAATCAGATTTCGCTGGCGGTGCACCAATGAAAAATGGTTGAGAGAAAAAGTTTGAAAAAAAACGTTGTATGATTTTTCTTCGTCAATATTTTGTAACAGAGGCGCAGCACCGATGCAGCAGCTCCTCTGCTTAAAACGAAATGCTTGTGTAACGAAATAAAAATGCAATGGGAGAGGGAGGGAGATGGCAAGCAGTCAGCGCCAACGGTTCCCCTTCGTTGTCTCCCTCTTGCAGTGCAGTGCCCCAGTTCTATGTTGGTGTGCGTGCGAGTTGTTTCTTTTTTCTGTGCGGGCGAGCGAGGCGGAGATAAACGTTTTCAAAGAAAGAAAGAGCAAAAGAGCAATGCAACTGAACGATTGCCTTGGTACCGTGGAATCAAAACATATCAGAAATATGTAGTAAGGTTGATCTTGGCGTCGAAATATGTTGAGTTTTAGCTAATAAGTAAGCCAAACTTTAAAAAAGACAGAATCTTGTTTTGTATGTGTTTGAATTATTACATTACTATTATATAGTCATGGTTTACAGATAAACTATCTTCGTCCCACTGTGCAAGTGCAAGGCCTCTCAACCCACTCGCTCGTCCATGTGTAACTGCAGTTGAGAGAGATAGAGAAGGTAACAGGGGGAACAAAAAACCTGGCAAGTTGGCGAGGGGACCGGGGTAAGTGCAAGTGCATCGGAATCGGATCGAAACCGCCCAAGTGCAGGCTCCAAACTGTGCCCCCACTCGCCAAAACACGAAAACAGCCCAGAAGACGAAGGCGCACTCAGCGGCGTGCAGAAATCCGGAGAAGCGTTCGTCACTCGCCGATGCACGCGTATTGGTGCATACACAGTGGGTTATATTAACATGTATCGGAGATTTTGTGCAAAAATCTCATCGCGAATCGGTGGGCGCACCTGCTCCGCCCCCCTTCGTTTCGTAGGCCGTCTCTCTCACTCTTGCAGGTTTTTTTCGCAAGTGCATCGCTAGGCTGCGAAATCTGGGCGCCTTTTCCCAATGTAACACAACCATGCACCATGCGAGCGAAGATTGCCCCTAGGGTCCATTACGACACATATGTACGCTGCTTTTTTTTACAGGATTCCGTAAGGGGGATTAAAAAAAAAGATTAAGGAGTGAGCCATGTTACAACTCCACCTTCTCCTGCGAACGATATTCCCCTTTCGATTTGCTGGTCCTGCTCTTTTTTCGTTGTTTTATTTTCCTCTTTGCTAGCTGCGTGCACAAAAGTAACAAAATGTACTGAATGCCATCAGGCTCCCAGTTTCGTGGAGACCGACGATTTTACATTACGCTGTTCTCAGTACGGTACACGCGCTCATTGCGCGATGCCCCACCTCCCACTCTCTCTCTCCCCCTGTACTCGTTGTGTGTGTGAGTGCGAGTGTGTGCGTAATACTTGCGCGCTGGTTCTCCTCACTTTTGCAGCCCCTCCCTCCCCAAAGATTATAATGACTTCAATCCACTCCCCTCTGTTGTTTTTTTTGCCTTTGGCGAGGTCTTTGCTCTCGTTTGCTTTATCATTCTTGTTTTTGTTGCTGCTGTTTTAATGATGCGCTTTTGTATCTTTGTGTGCGAGAGCGGGCCAACTCCGCTGCAGAAGAGAACAAACTGCAAGTGCATTTTCCAGTCCTCGAAAAGATACATCCGTAAAAAATATAATATTCAAATAAAAAATATTTTTTTGCCTTACCACAAAAAAAATGATAAAATTTCAGAACATTTATTTAAATTGAAAACTTTTCGTAAGGTCTATTTATTACATTTTTATTTGCCAAGTTTATTTTTATCTTAGGCTTGATATGTTCGAATTTAAGTTTTTATATTCTTTTTGTATGTCAATTTTATTTTTATTTATTTTTTAAAGAATTTTTAAGAACCTCTTTAATTGCCTTACTTTATATTTGTTCTTTAAAATGTCCCCACTTACTTTTAAATAAGAAAGCAGATGATAAATATTGTGGAAGTGTTCTTCTCAAATGTTTGTTATATAATTCCTTTTGAAAAGATGATATGTTTACGATTTAGTCTGCTTGCATTTTTACTTAAGTAAATATCTTATGTTCTTAAGGGGGAAATACAATTAGAAATTTTTTTTTTCGAAAAATTTTTTTTGGCTTAATGTACTCCAAATATATCTGGGAGTAAGCCTTTAAAAGCATAAAGCCGTCCGGTACTTATTTTCAGAGTTATACGCAATTTAGTGAGGGTGTGTCATATGGCGGACATGCACAAAAGTAAACTTTAAACGCTTCTCCTGAAAAGTCGTGTTTTCAAAGTCGCCGTGCAATGTACAGGTCAGAGATTTTATTTTAATCGAATGCGGTTTTTTGCATTATGTTTGAAATTAAATTCTCCACACCATGAATATAACGGTTTTTCATATTTGTTTGTTATAACATGTTTTTTTTACAATCAAACTCAAAAAAAAATCGTTATTTTTGAAATTTTTTTTTAACCTAAAATTTTTTAATGGAAAAATAATTTTTTTTAAATATGGTTTAATTCATGGTGTGCGCTGTACCTTTAAGTTTAAAGCCCAGTTGCTGTTTTTTGTTTAAGTCGTGATCCTGGACCTGGAGACTGCACGGCGCAAAGTCCTTCCCTAAATACACGACTCCACATTATTGATCATAAATGGGCTTAATTACAATATTTTTCAAAAAACTTAACAGATTTTTATTGCTCAATAATTACCCAATAACATGCAAAAAGAATCACTAAGATTCATTTAATACTCTACTTGCAATCCACTCCCAAAGATAGCCCTCATTTCAGGCCTTCTAATTGTATTTCCCCCCTTAATAGCTAACAAGTGCTCCTTTGATATGTATCGTTTTCGATTTGTGGATCAACAAGTTGAATGCATTAACTAAGTTTCGACTAAGTGTAAAAAAGATAACATCGCTAAAAAGCGGTCGTTTCCGGTTTGGGATAAGCTGGACGTTGCTCTCCTCGTTTTTCGGGTGGAATCTTAACTACTTATCACAGTTTGAAAAGGGCTTTTCTACTTTTCAGCTACTGGGGTATCTAAAACTCCCCAGCCTTTGGAGGATTGACAGCTCCGCAAGCTTCTTTAAAATTGGTGGCATTAAGTGGACTGAAGTAATCCTCGTGCAGGAAACGAATGATGTTTTCTATGGGACACAGGTCGGCTTTATTTCCTCTCGAATCTCTGGTGACCCTCAGGCTCTTTCCTCCCTCGCAGAAATCTATCTGTTGCGTCACATCTCTGCCGTTGTAAACCACTCGGAAATAATAATCGGTATGGGCTTCACTCCGATAAACTTCAAATGCCAATCTGGAGGCATAGGCTATAGTTTGACCCTGGCTGGTAATTATTCCCAAGGCAGCTGTCAGATATTGCATCGTACAATCATGGCCGGAGTATAAAACAAACTTTGTCCTATCGCCGGAGATCATCTTGAGCATATAGCTGACTATGTGGCGGATCATGCCGTAGGATCGCAGCAGTCCGGATAGCTTATAGTAAGAGTGAGCGGCAGATCGTTGCGAAAGCTCATCGGCAAAGGACATCAGGGTGTCCACCTGGGCAGGTTCAACGCAACCTTCTTGGGATTCGTCGGCCTGCATCAAAGGATTTCCGTTTTCCACCTCGGGAGAATCAGGTTCAGGCTGGTTTTGTACTTCCTGAAGGTATACAATTTTGTCATAAAAACAATTCTATTTTTGAAATCACTATTAAATACCTGTACGGGATTGGCAACCGTTTCATCCTGATCTATATTAATCACATCCAACAGTTCCTGATTAGGGTTCTTTTTGAGTGACTTTGGGGTGGAAACCTGCTTTTTTCTACGACATGGCAAAGGAGCATCGTGGCAGAGAACTGTCAACAGGGCATCCACCACCTCGAAGGGATTACTTATGCCATTTGGAGTGTGCTGTAGTATGGTGCCTCCGATCCACTTCATCACTTCCAGGACTTCGGAACGTTTCAGGAGCTGCTTATCGCCCATGGCCTCTAAGCGTTTCCGCAGGAGAGCCGACTGGGGGCAACTACACTCCCCGAAACAGAAGGCCATGCTGTGGGATTCGCGGATATTCAGAGCCATCCATTTATCCGCAGGCAGCAGGGAGAACAACATGGCCAGGGCCGATTGAAAGGTGCGCCGATAGCGAGTGGTGAAGACCACCACTTCATCGGAATTGAGAAGCGTGTGCGGAGTGGTTTCCACCGAAGCACGATTGGGATTCGGTTTGAGCAGGAGACCCAGTGGATGGGCATAAACCTGGTGCATGATGTCGCCCACGTGAAGTAGCTGCGAAATGCCCCTGGAGACAAAACATTTGGAGTAGAATCAGTACAGGTATTAATTTATGAACCTGCACTCACTTGTAGGTAAGCTGACCCAAAGGACAACCACGTTCCGTGGCCGGGAGCAGGGGAAACCCGTGGAAAGCTCCCACCTTGTTCCAGTACATGTGATTTGAGCCCGATGCCGAGCTACTCGAGTTGTACAAAAAGCTGCGATATCTGAAAGAGTAAATCCTTGTTAATTATTAAATATTGAAGGAAACGAGATGACCCACCTGTTCACCAGGTTATCTTGGCCCCCACTCACGCCGCAATTGATGCCAGCACTGCGGACATGCGAAATGGGTCCTCGATCCCCGTGCCTGATGACCAGGAGCACTCCCTGAAGCTTCCAACCCTCCAAGATGCCGCCGTCATCCAACCGTTGCAGTTGAGACAGCGGAGCACAGCGTTCCCTGAACTTTGCGAATCGATGGGTTGTCGAGGAGGCCAAGGATTCGCCGCCCAAGGAACTGATGGTGCCCGATGAACTGGGCCCAAAAACAGAGCCACCTCCTGGATTCGATTCAACATTGCCCATGTAGCGATACATTCCTGGTGAGCGGAAAGAAAGTATGCAATTTAATTAAAGTAATCAAATAATTTATTTGTCACATCCTTTAGTTATTTCTTGATAACCAAGTAGACATCTTTTTTTCCTAGTTACTTACCTGCTATTAAAAGGAATATCCATACACTGAGCAGCACGTAGCAATAGAAGGCGCGATGTTGGGTGGCCACACGCATCAGTTCCTTGAGCAGCCTCATCCTGGCCAGATTGTCCGGCTCTAACCTGCTGGCCCCAAACGCCACTGCTGCTTCTCGGCATCAACTCGATGGGCGGCACTCTTGGAGGGTTCCTCTGGACTATATAGCAATGTAATATTCCTTTCCAACGCTAAGTAATCCTGGCAAAAGCTTCACTTCACGGGGAATGAGTTTTGACAGCTGGCTGAAGAAAAACCTGGTTTGCTTTGATTAGCTGTCAGGCGTCTACGTGGAGCAAGTCCAATTATCAGGGCATGCGCAATGGAGGTCACTTCGTTATCAGCTGTTTGAGCAGAGGTGCTGAACAAAGGGGGAGAGTTGAGTTTACTGGAGCCGGATAAATACATTAAATAATACCTTCCAATTAATGATAAAAATATCTATTTTATTACATACCATTTAATCCCTCTTCTTACCCAAAAGTAAACACTGTTTAGCATTTAGTATAAGCTTAGCATCAAGCTCGAGTGCACTCTTTAATAACAATCTTAGGGTTCCCAATACATGTCTGGCTTTGGCTCAAGGCAAAATAAATATGCGTAAACTGTTGGCTGGCTCAAAGGCGGGGCTTCGTTCGCCTTTTTACAGCCGGATTAAAAAAATAGTTGTATAATAAATGTATATTCTGGCAGATCAGGGATCTTGGTGGTATTCATAGTGTGAGATCAGATCCGGTCTAATCCTGCGCGGCAGTCAGAGCCAGAACGGTGAAGCGCACTTCGTCGGGATCACGGGCAATGAACTCCTTGCAGACCTTGGCCGCATCCTTGACGAATGTTTCCTCCGAAGTCGCGCCATGCTTAATCGGGAAGGACTTGCGGCCGTCCAACTCGTACAGAGTGCCGTCCTTGTTCACCAGTGCGATAAAGTGATGGTTCACTGTCTCGTGCTCGGCGGCATTGGTTTGACCCTCCTGAGCCAGAGCCTGGTGATCGGCGGTGAAGTCCACGTCGGACTCCAAGGCCTGGCCACGCTCTTCCGGCGAAAGTGAGGCTGTCTTCTCCAGGAAGGTCTTCAGTACTCCGCTATCAATGCTTACTCTGGATAATACGTAGTTAATTACAAATTAAAGCGTAAAGCAATGGTTTAACCTACTCCTTGTTGTTGGCCACGCTGTGGATCAAGGCAACGGTTCCGCATGCGTTGTGGGTGAATTGGCGCATATAGAAGAGATCGGCAGGATGCTGCTCCTGCACCTCCTTAATACGCTCATGCTCCTCAGCGCGATGTTTTTCATACTGTAAATATAAGCTTATCAGGACTATCACAACAAAATATAGAGAATATAACCCATACAGTTTCGCTGCAAGGAAAGAGCAAAATAAACGCCTTGACGGGACGTGGAATCCATTCCAAGGTATCCTCATCCAATCCAATGACGTCAGTTACCGACCAGGCTGGCGACACGCCCAGTTTATGTATGTACTTGGTCAGCACCTGGGAATGGGAAAAGTTAATGGCGTCTTTTCTCTTTAAATGCAAAGGAAGCGGTCATTTTTGCCAAGCACAAACAAAAAAGTTTGCAAAACTAAAACTATTGGTATTCCATCTTTTATTTTTCTTACCTCGGGGTTAGCTTCAAGAGGCGTCAAGGTCGACATTTTTTAGAATTTTCACTTTATTTGCGTAGTGAGTCAAAATACAAAGGAAAATGGGGATTCGTCTAGACAATTACCGGCACTTTTTCGACGAGCTTATTGTTTTCGGTTGACATATATCGATAGCTGCTAAGCGATAGATCGATGTTTATTGTATTTTTTTTTTTAAATTTGTGTTAAAGATATCACAATTTAAAAATTGGGGTAAATGTTTACATTTACATGTTTTTTATTATAGCGTAAAATAGTTTCAAAGACCATTCTTAAAAAATTACTATCTATCGATATTGCGTGTTAAACAACGTTCAAATAAGCTAACATGTGTTAAACTTTGGTAGCAAAAAAGGTGTGCAAACATTGGACGAAGTAAACAACATTTCGCATGTTGTTTACAAAATGACCAAAGCGAATAAAACGCCGCAAAAAAACATTGAAGCACACATAAATGCCTCCCTGACACCAGTTCGATGTAAGTTATCTTACAAAATATTAAGAAACACAATTTATGAAAATTCATTCGAAACAGATCTAGATAGTCCCTGCCTGCAATCGCCAACAAGTCACGATGCAAATTTGGCCACCTGCAAATCGAGGCTCGAAACCATAGTTAAACAACTCCAGGATAACTACGCAAAATGGCAACTAGCACAGCAGAGAGGCACCGCAATTTGCTATTCCATTGAGGCTAAAAAGACAAAGTGCTTGGAGAAAAGCCAGGACGAGGGAAGCTCTTCCTATCCGGAGGATCTGCTGCTGCCATGCAACAAGTTGGCTATAATAGCTTCGATTTTCGGCGATATAGCCAATAACGCAAAAGAGATTCTTCGACAACTTAGGGCTATTTGTAAGCTCCCAGGGGCTGCGGCGGATGTAGTATTCTACAGGACCTGGAAGCTGCCCCAATTCGTGGCTTTTACGAAAGAACTTTCCGAAAGGTACGAACAAGAAGCCCTGGTCAAAAAGGAAGTGGCAGGTGAGAAATTCAGTTTGTTTCTTTTATAAACCATACATTTTAATGGGTGTATTTGGTTTTAGAAAACATTGCCCACGCGACCGAAAGAAGCAAACTCATCGCTTACACAACTTTGTGGGAGTTTCCCGAGAATGTGGATTCCTATGTCCACTTAGGGTTTCTTATCCTTGCTCAAGAAGTAAACTTAAAGCAATAAAAAAAGCCAAAAATTGTTAATACAACGTTTAGTCTATTAAATGTACATATTCGGCAGTAAAACTTCAATACGCCATGAGATTATGCAAAAGCTTAACCAAAAAAGTTTAATTCTAAAAACTTTGTGCTTGTTAATACTATATGAAAATGGGAATGCAGCTAAATGCTGAAATGCTTCGTTAATGTTTGGTTTTATGTGTGAACAGAGATCCGTTCTAGTCGGGGTGCACTGTGGAACTTGGTCCACCACCAGAACCAGGCGCACGAGAATCCCACGGCCAACGTGGTGTAGTATAAAACGGTGGCCAGGTTGAACTTTTTCTGTAACACAAGATATATTATTCAAGATTGCAAAGGTATTACACTCACCTTCTTGTTGTTCCCCTGAGCCTTGAAGTCCTCTTGGTTTCTTAAGTTCTGGGTGTTGGCTTCGATTTTCTTGATATCCTTGGCTATCTCATCGGTGATTTGCTTGACGCTCTTCAGGGTTTCAAGGGCAAAGCAGCTAGCATAGCGTTTGTCGCCCACGACCATATCCTCTGGTGTGGACACCTGCAACTTGTAGTTGGTGACCGCTAGGGAGGCGCGCAAGGACATAAAGTGACTGGCTGCATTGCCCAGGATCTGATTGTTATAGCCCTTGGCCTCCGGATTATTGCAAATGTAATCGTAGCTGGGATCCTGATTGGGCATCTTGTCGAACATGTCGATGAGCTGTTTGCGTTGTTTCTCGGACTTGAAACCAAAGAGTTGCAGGTCCTCGTCGGTGAGGGAAGCCAAGTCTCTGTAGCTAATGTCCTCGTCAATCAGCTTGTCCACACAATTACTAGCGTAGTCGGAATCCACGCTGCTGGAGGACAGCAGCCCATTGAGGATCTCCCGTTCACGCCGTGTGTCCCTGCGAGCCTTATTGTGAACCCAGGGACGTCGTTCGTTTCCGAGGAAAGCCCCATCAAGTTCCTGCTGACGAGTGAGCGTATGGAAGTCCTTCTTGGCATCGAACTGGATGGTCGGCTGCAGTTTGGACGTGGCTATCAAGGGCACATCCTCCGCTGACATTGTAGAAGCCTTTGTTTTCCTAGTCTCTGTCACTGATGGCAATTATTTATCTATTTAAATGCAATTGCGCTAAGCTGAGATCCGCTGGGTCGGAAGCTGGCGTTTTACAACACTGTGTGTGGGGGTGGTCAAGATTTGCATTACAGAAATGTAAGGCTTAACAGAAAATGTTAGCAATCCCTTGACACGGTAATACGAAAACACATTCAAACACAAAAAACGTTCTGTAAATATTAAATGCTTAACATTTTATTTTAAAATATAACAAATTGGTGAATTTGACATGAAAATAAGCTCTAACTATCCGTCTTGTCGGGCGATGGTCTGTAGACTGGAGTACTGGTGGTAGCCGCTTCCTGCAGTTTCTTCATAAACAAGGCCTTTCGCTGGTCATCGGCATTTAGTTTTGAGCCCGAACCTGAGGCTTTGATGCGTTCTATTTTCTCGGCACTCGGTTCGGTTAGCACCAATAAGCCGTAGCCCATTCCACCAAATCCAATCAGCCACAAAACGGACTTAAAATATGGATTACTGAGCATTTTAGTCGCTTTTTTTTAGGGCGCTCCAGTAACTTGCATCCGTCTGCCGCACCTTGCTATCTCCCACAATTTCGCCGATTTTGTAGTAATAATCAAGCACAAATGGATAGTTTTCGTGGATGTGCTGGCGGAACTCTGCAAAGGAGTCGTTATTTATCATGCAGATACTTATATAAAGATCCTCTCTCTCACCTTGGTTTGTGTTCATGCGATAATAAACACCGTAACTGGCCGCAAAGCAAACTGCCTCAAGTACAAACAAAGTCTTCGCACTTCCCTTGATGAACTTCCAGATGGCGGGCTTTGGTGTTTTGGGTAGCATTATAAATAAAAGTTACAAAAATTAAACACGTTTGCTTTCTAAAAAGAAAAACAAAGTTTGCTTACGCAGGTTATCGAACAGTGTTGGGCAGAACGGACAGAAACAGCTGTTCGACCGGCTAGTGTGTGTGTGCTTCTTCTTGTTCCTCGGTGCAGTGTTTATCTCACGTTTTTGTTTTTGCCAACTGATAACGCGACGCAATTTAGTCTGTAGTAAAAATCAGTTTTTCACATCAATGGAAAATTGGCCACGATGAGCGGCAATATACACGGACTAAGCTGGTTTCCGCAATTTCCCGACAAGTTCGTGTCGTGGGGACAGGAAATCCATTTGTACGAGGTGCGCCGCAAAGATGATCACAGCCAGAAAAGTAAGTTGACTTTAAAAAAGATTTTCTGGCTTAAATTTACCCGAGTCTTTCTAGGTCGCCTGCCTTATATATCCGTCAACTACCTCGCCAACGAAACACGCTATCAATATGCCCGCTGCGTGGCCGCCTCTTACCACAGTGACCAACCCATAATTGCAGTGGGTCTGGCGGATGGAAAAATCGGAATATGCAACTTTCGGGACACCTACGACAGCAGCTGGGAGTACAGTGGGTAATCTGTGACACCAATTTGTGGCCCTATTTGATAGGGAATCTTATCTTCCAGCCCCCCGGCAGCAGCGCATGTGCACCTGCCTTGCCTGGAACGAGCTGGACGCCAATATCCTGGCCATCGGACACGACCGCCACCGGAACGACACCTGCATCACCATCTGGGACATCGAACGTGGTGTTCCCAAGGAGACTGCAAACTTTTTCGGCGTCGGCGAGTTCGCCAACTCTATTTGCTGGGACCGCAATCATCGCACAGTCATTGCGGGCATGAGCCAAAAGATGATCAAGTTGTTTGATTTAAGACGTAAATATTTTTAATTAATTCTCAATTAAAACATGATAATTATCATTAACTTAATAATCCCTTCCACAGAAAGCAACGCCACCTGCCAGAGCATTCAAACGAAAACAGTCCAGGGTCTCTCGGTGTCCCCCAATGGCAACTATCTGTGCAGTTATGTGGATTCGGTGATCACGCTTTGGGATCCTCGCAACATCAAGAGTCCTCTCAGGCAAATTCAGTCCTCGAAGAATCACCTGCAGATCGCATGGTGTCCGACGAGAACGAGCCTACTATCCTCCCTGCAAAGGGATTCCTCATACATCACGCTGTACGACATTCGTAGTGTGGATAACGAGAACTCCGGAGAGATCTACCATGTGAAGCGGCAGATAAGTCCCTTCCCGGCTAGATATCAGTATAGTGGAAAGTTTGCCTTTGTGAATTCCCTGTCTTGGCATTCGAGGGACTTCGAAAGGGCTCTCGTTTTAGCGGACGCCTTAAATATCTTGGATTTCCGACTGCCGGCAACTTTGCACACGGCTCACAGTAATCGCCGGAAGTTGCCGCTCCTTATGCAGCGGCCTCTGTTCACACCCGCCTCTCCTACTTCGACTACGGCGGTCACGCCCACCCAGCAGCAGCCCACGAGCAGCTGCAGCACAAACAGTGGAAGTTCCCTGGACTTCAACACTCCCGGTGGATCCCCTTTGAATGTGGACCTGCTAGAGCCCGAGCTTTTTGAACTCGATCTGGTGGACGAGACTCGTCAGCGGGCTCTGGAGGATTACGGCATCAAACCTGTTATCGAGTTTGCCGCGCTACATTTGACACCGTATCTGCGGAATGTATGGACCACTCTGAATAATGTCTACTGCGACGATCGGTTGACGGGCTTAAAGGCCACTCTGGGCATCAATTTAGGCCACACTTCAGAGGCCTTGATGGCCAGTTCCCGCATCGAATCTCAAGTGCTCCAATGGCCAGAGGGCATCAACAACTCCAACAAGCTGATATGCTACAGGTAAGTTTATGGAGTTCATCGAACTATTTTAAACATTATTGGTTTTTTAGGAGTGAGCAGCGGGACCTGGCTCTTCAGCTCTGCGGCTGGGCCTTTGAACAGGAGCTGGAACGCTTCATCGACCAGTTGTATGCCAACAAGGAGTACAGCCGTGCGGCCATGATCTGCGTGTTCCACTTGAAGATCTTTCACGCCTGCAACATCCTTTCCTCGGCGGCGGACAACATGAGAGATCCCAGCATGTACAGGATCACGGTGATAGCGTTGTCGAGCTTCAATGCAGATCGTTGCAGCTCCACTTGGCGAAATCAGCGCTCCAGCGCCAATATGCAGATAAACGATCCGCATTTAAGGGCCGTTTTCTCCTTTTTAACCATGGAAAAAGATAATTTCGATGCGGTCCTCAAGGAGGAGGGCGTCTCCCTCTCGGATCGCGTGGCCTTCGCCTGCAAATATCTGTCAGAGACCAAGCTAGCCGACTACATTACCCAACAAATCCAAGCGGCCATAGATGGCGGCGATCTAAATGGTTTGCTGCTCACTGGTGAGTCGCAGGACGGAATCAACATACTACAGTCCTACTTGGACACCAGCTTCGATGTGCAGGTGAGGTTATTAAGTTTAAAAACAGAAGGATATTTCTTACATCTACATTTACTGTTCCTCAGACTGTAGCCCTGGTGGCCATTAACTATTTCCGGCAAGAGCACTTTGCGGACAAGCGCATTCAGTACTGGATCGCCAGCTACCTCGATCACCTGAACAGCTGGGGTCTCTGGGAGAAGCGGGCGGAGCTGGATATCAAGATCGAGAGAATTCGCGCCTCTTCGCGCAGTTCTCGCACCGTCTTTCTGTCCTGCAACTTCTGCGGCAAATCCGTGTCGAACGCATTGCTGGACGAGCCTCGCCCACGGAGCACCACAACCAGCACCAACCGACTGTCCTCGTGTCCTAGCTGCCGCAAGCCGTTGCCACGCTGCTCCCTCTGTCTGATGCACATGGGAACGATGGTGAACATGAGCAACGGGGAGACCCCGAATACCACGTCCGAAGTGTCCGGCTGGCAGACTAAGCCCTTCTCCAAGTGGTTCTCGTGGTGCCAGACTTGTCGTCACGGCGGACACACTGAGCACATAATGCAGTGGTTCAAGTAAGTCCACAAAAGCCTTTTAATGAGTGATTAAGATTTAATGTTTACCTGCATATTCTTTCTTCAACAGACAGAACTCGGAGTGCCCCGTGTCGTCCTGCAACTGCCGCTGCTTCGACATGGATGGCACCAAGCCGAATACGTTAAGAGACATTTCCTAGCTGTCCGGAGTGCTCATCCACAGCCCTTACACGCCCATGCCATACGCATTAAGTTGTTGATTTGTTCCAAGCGAGCGCGCCTTAAACAAACTCAGAAGTGTTCATTGTACTTAGACAGGGGATGTGCCCGTAGCTTTAGTGTTTATGACCTACCAGCTTTTAGCTGCTCAATTGCATTTTATACTTACATTCAAATAAAGGACTATAAAGATTAAACTCTTTGCTTCTTGGTTGGTAATCAATAGAAAATAAAAATGTTATATATTATTATAAAATTTCGTGATAGTAGCCCACTGTTTCTTATATACATTATATTTACTTTTTACTTATCGTGAACTTAGTTTATTTATATAGGAGAAACCGATTAATCCGTATCAGCTGTAATTCTAAAGGGACTTTTGCTATAAAAACAGCTGCCACTTGCTGCAAGAAATCAGTTTTCTTATAGAGATGAAGCAACCAGTTCACGTTGTCGGCTGGATGATCTTTGTGCTCCTGCTTGGTGTATCAGCCGAGCACGAGAGCATTCTTTCTGCCAACAGGAGAATAATGGACCAAACACAGCGCATTATAGACGAAAATGGCGATCGCTGTGAACTCTTTTACGACTATGCCAATGGCAAAGATGGCGGAAAACCTTTATATGTAATCTTGCAAGAGAGGATGGATCCCAAGCTCTTTGCCTTGTTTGAACATCTTAAGTTTAGAAACTTTGAGGAGGAAAGTCTGGAGGAGAAGGCCCTCCAAGTGTACACAGCTTGCGAAAAGGCAATGGAGGAGGAGCCAGAATTGAATTATTGGGATTTGGTACAGCCGGATGTCGATCTCCCCTGGCCACAAAATACTCCACCCGGCAGCCTGTGGCCCAAGGAGAAGTTTCAATGGCTGGCGACCCTCGGAAGATTACGTCGCTATGGCATGGACCTGTTCTTCCGCATGGAACTGGAGTTGGATCACCAGTTGGGCTCTAGCAAGTATATGCTTTCGTTTGGATCGCCCAAATTCGTTATAAATAGTTACTATTCTGTGTGGGGTGGCGAGGACTGGTTGATTCGTCGAGGTTTCAATAGGACTAAAGCAGAACTTCTGTTCAGAGATATGAACAGACTGCGAATAGGTGTACAGAACATGCTTGGTTCTGAAGCATACAGAAGACAACGAATGACCCTTCAGCAACTGGAAAGTGAACACGGTTTCCCCGTCGGAAGATATCTCGAGATCGTCTTCGGGCGTCCTTTCCCCCCAGATTTCGAGGTGCTAGTGGACTATCTAGAATATCTGACCAATCTTCACAAACTAATGAGCTCCTACGACCAAGAGACAGTGGCCACCTACCTGATGGAGGTTTTTGTCAACTACATGAGGGCAGAGGCGTTTCCCATCATTACCCATAGGGAATACGATTTTCCGTGCGTCCGGTTTGTTTCTAACTCAATGACGTCTGTAAGTTACTTTCTTTACAACACGCACTTCCTGGGTTACAAGAAAATCGTGGAGTATGATGAGGAAATTCAACGCATTTTTGAAGCCGTTCGGGAACAGTTTAGCAAGAGACTAAATACAAACCGCTTAAATCTTACAAACTCTGAAGTAAATACCCTTCGGGAGCTCCTGAGCTCTATTACCGTAAACGTAGGCAATGTGCCGAGATTCCCGAGATATAGCCGGTACCTAACCGATTTCTATGTTAATCTTCAACTGAAAAATGATGATGATTTCCCCACTATTCATATGAAAGTTTCGGAGGTGCAAGAACAACTAAAATTGCAGAAATTTGTGAAGATCGAGCTAAATGAACCGTTTCCAATGTTTTACGACAATGCCGTTTTGGTGGGCAATGGCACCTCTATTGTAGTGCCCCTTCCCCTTCTGGAGGAACCCCTATTTTCGACCCGTGGTCACGACGTTTTTAAGGTATGTTTTTCCGGGAATCAAAAATGTAAAAATTAATAATCTACAATATTACATTGTACAGGTCAGTTTTCATGGATTTTTAATTGCGGAACAAATGCTGTCAGCTCTGTTTCCCTATCCGAAATTACCCTCATCCGGCTGCAAAAAGTTTAACGAATTAGTTGAAACTTTTGATGACCTGGGAAAGTACGTCGACATTTCTAACATCAGTCCACGGGAATGTGAGATGAGCAACTGGAGAGACATAATTTTAGTGCTACTAAATATGGTCCAAGATGCCTACTTCTCTCCGGGATCTGGATTCGACCAGACGCAACCTACTTTCACTGACAAATCTCTGAAACAGCTCTTTTATCTACACTTTGCCCAAAATCGACTTGATAAGAACTTTTATTATAACTATAACATAAGAAAGACCCCCTTTAATACGCTGCGCTACCTGCCAAGTTTTCGCGAGGCCTTTAACTGCTCTTCGTTAAATTAATAATAAAAACCAGGTAAATCAAGTTCTCCATGTTAAGCTTTTAACTTTGAACAAGTCACCGTTACAATTTGGCGTTTTCCAACACCAGGAAAATACAAATCTTTTAAATCGGTAAATTTGTTTAGACCTGGTCACGGTCACACCGCTTTGCACGTTTTTATGCGGCATTATTATTTTTTGTTGCTTTCTGACGTAAATTGCAATTGTTAAAGCCCTGAAAACCGTGCTTCCACTCTAAAGGATTACATGAATGGTTAAATAGTGACAAGATAAGCAACATACAAAGGAACAAATACAAGCAAAAATAGTGAATGGAAGGAATCAAAAGACAGTTGCGATACAAAAGAAATAAAGTGGGTAAGTAAGAGGGTTGGGGAATTTGGGGGCTAGGAAATATAGCATGTGAGTGCTACGAAATCGACCACTTGATTGCTTTATTTCTAAAACGTTGGGATAGCTACTCCTTGACCTTTTCACCTTTTTAGTGTCTACATCTGGGCCTCCCGTTTAATCTTGCTCTCCCCCCAAAAACTGGTTTCCGATTTAGAACTCCCAAGTTTAAAGCCTGCAGCGCATACCAATCTAAAATGCAAATATGTATACCCAAGCTATGGCTGGAAGTATATTTATTTTTTGTGCCCGAAGATCAAAGAAGGTTCCCCAAAACAACTCTGGCGGATTATTAAATACCTTTCTGTGACGTCGTTTTTTCGTGTTGATCTGGCTTTATTTAGCCGTCGAGACATAAATACGTTTGCGAAAAAAATTTGAAACTTTGCCAACCGAAATTCAACGTATCTCAGGCATTTTCACCGCGTGACCTCTTCGAAAACGCAAACGCACAATTGTTGGCACCGTTTTTGAATGAGTTTCACCAGGGAAATAGAGCATAAGGAATAGCCATTAAACTAAACGGTAAAAACGGTCTTAAATTATGCATTTATTGTTGATATTATACCTTCTTGTTGCCATTCAAAAATCGGTAATAAATCAAGGGGGGATCCAAAACACAACTTAAACGAAACGAACGGTTTATTATGTCACTCTACTAAATTTAGCACTCTGCGCAGTTCGCTCTTTTGGCTCTCTTCAAGCTTTTATACACGGAGACAAAAAAAATACATATATCTATAATCATTTCAATAAAATATAGTTTGATATTATATATTTAAGAAAACGTAGTTGTTAGATCCAAGTTCAAAATTTTCATTTTGGTTTTCATGAAATCATGAATAATTTTTCATTATGGGTCTCTCCTGGCTTTTTTCATCAGACTTATTGCCGCTAGCTAATTTACGCGTTGTTTGCTTTTCATTATTTGTCTTTCTGCCAGTACCGCTGTTAATTACCAGTTTCTACAATTCACAATTTGCTATTTGCAAATCAACCGGCAAAGTAAACAACAGAGAGAAATGGAGAGAACTTATTGCAAAGAGGCAGCTCGTAAAACAGCTGACGGGTCTCTCGAAAGCGGCTGGGCCGTCTGATTCCCAACGTTTTTCTCAGTTAGAAGCGAAATCAAGCTTCTGCCGCGAAAATTTTGATTTATTTCTTTCCTCATAATATAATTTGCGATTTTTCGAACAATAACGACACCGGAAAATGTGAAATCCAACCAACGAGTTGCTCTGGAATAAGACGCTTGATTGAGTTCAAGCGCTTTTTTAATTCAAACAAAAGCCCCAGCTTAGTAAGAAAACTTGAATATACAACGACAAAAATTCACGATCAAGGTCAGTGCCAAAAGGCAATTAAGTGTGTGTGTGTTTTTCGGTTGTTTACATATGGGCCAAAAATAATTGAAGCTTGTTTTTATCAGTTAAAGATAAAGTTGGTGGTGTTTGAAATGCATTCATGCTTGGGACTCAAAGGTTAAACCGGTATGATAACACCGATGAGCGCATAAACCCGTTTAACTTGTCCAAGAACCAGTGCAAAGCGCGGAAATATTGTGATTTATTGAGGCTCAACAAGTAGTGTATAGTAGTAGTATATTTATATATGCAAAAATTCTACAAGACAGTAGATTCTGGCTACAAAGGCCGGAAGAAGAAATAATTATTTAAACATATGTGTTTTGTAATACATCTGTACATTTTTATGATGCAATTGGCCTGGGATAGTTAAAAAACATTTTTGTATATAGATAATCTGGGCAAGTCATGAACTTTATCTCATTTTACCATAATCATTGTTCGTTTTAACACCAAATTGCTTGTTCCACCGAAAAGCATAAAAATTCGCAGTTACAATGAAATGAATTTCTGTAAGTGTCGCAACAATAACGTCACTTGTCTATTTATTCCGTGCACTGTTTACCTAAGCAATTTCAATTATGAAGTCATTGGCAAATTGTATGCCAAAAATTTCATTTGTTTTCGGAATGTATTCGTTTTCTGTCGTTAGACTATTTGTCAAAATATATTTCCACTGAGTGATAGGATTATTCAAGAAAGGGGGAGTGTACATCGATATAACATACCCCTTAACTTTTATTGATTCTATTAGACGACATTAATGCTGATACCAGTCGCCTTATGACATCGAGTGTTCTTGAACTTGTTCTATTTTTGTTCTCCGAAGCACACGCAATGATATTAACATATCAAAATGAGACCTTGAATAAAGTCTTGTTTTAATTTATTTTAAAATGGTTTCATAAGGTACCAAGCTAAGAGATTTCTATAAATTGTGATACAAAAAATATTAAAAAAATGATTCTTTGCACCTCCTTTAAGTATCAATTTAATTTTACTCATTTCAGTTTACAATAAAACAGAAGTGCAGCTGAACATACTTCCGAAAACATTTAGTACTACGTCCTCCCATCCACACACACTTCAACAAAATGTTGCGTAACTCGCCTTTCGGTGCCACGCCCACCTACAAATTACTGCTGGGCTTTGGACTCTGCTCCCTCGGAGGCGCCATGCTGTACGCCTACTTTAAGACTCGAAACGAAGACGAGGATACGGACTCAAATGACCAGCAGCAGTCACCCGGGAATAGAGGACAGGCCGTGGAACGGAAGCCCCAAAAGGAAGTGTGCCTCAAAATCGTTGTCGACAACGAACATGTCCCCCTAATAATGGGTCGTGGTGGTTCCAATATCAAGCTGATTGAAGAAAAGACCCAGGCCAAGATAAGATTACGGTAATTGGATTTGAATTTTATCGACCGAGAAATTGCTCAAACTTATTGTGCTTCTCACTCTTATTAATAAACATTTTCTTTTTTTCACAGGGACAAAGACAGCGGTCACAAATTCTGTGATATCACCGGTGTTCCCGATGCTGTGAAAGCAGCAAGAGTTCTGTTGATCAAGGAAATTGAGCGGGCGCCTGTGGTGAAAGTAGAACTGCAAGTGCCCCAGAGACTGGCTAGCAAACTAAATGGACGCGGTGGCGAACTCGTTCAGGAGATTCGAAGTACTTCGCTTGCGAAGCTGAATATCGATTTAAACGGTCGGAATGGCAAAGCTAAAATCACGATTGTGGGCAACCAGAAGCAGGTTAACGTAGCCCGCAAAATGCTCGATGATCAAATAGAGGAGGATGAGGAGCTTCTGCGATCCATGGAGGAAGTGGAGCAGCGTCGAGAGCCCCGCAGATCACCCACGAACAGCGTGGCTTCTTCCAGTTTGTACTCCTCGCAGACATCCTTGAGTTCCCACACACAACCTAGGGATAAACTGATGGCCTCCAAGGGCGAGGGAAAACCCATGGAGGTATACGTTTCTGCCGTTGCCTCTCCCACCAAATTTTGGGTGCAGCTGATTGGACCGCAATCCAAGAAATTAGACAACATGGTCCAGGAGATGACTTCCTATTATAGCAGTGCTGAAAACAGGGCAAAGCATGTTCTCACTGCGCCCTATGTGGGTCAAATTGTGGCCGCCGTCTTTAAGTTCGATGAGAAGTGGTATCGTGCTGAGATTGTAGACATTATGCCGAACCAGTACAATCCAAAGGAGCAGGTAATCGATCTGTACTTTGTGGACTATGGGGATAGTGAATATATCTCACCAGCGGATATTTGTGAGCTGCGCACTGATTTCCTTACGCTCAGGTAAGAAGTTTTGCCAGTGGAATGTGTGCAAAATAAAATACAACTTGAATTTTTATAGATTTCAAGCAGTTGAATGCTTTTTGGCCAACGTAAAGTCCACCATCCAAACTGAGCCCATTACCTGGCCAAAGTCCTCTATCTCAAAGTTCGAGGAGTTGACAGAAGGTATGTAAAGTACAATTAGTTAAAATATACTCACGATTAATTGCTGATCCTTTTCAGTGGCCCATTGGAGGAAGCTGATCGCTCGGGTGGTGACCTACAAGGAGCGTCCAAAGTCCACCACTGCGGTGAATTCCGCTGCCAAGGAGGGAACCCCACTGCCAGGAGTGGAACTATTTGATCCGGCAGATAATGCCGAACTGAACATTGGCGACCTAATGATCACCCAGGGCTTTGCTTTACCACTGGACGATTCGTATCCAGTAAGATCTCGCTCCTCCACGCCTTCGAGTAACAGTGACTCGACCATTGAGGAGCTGTGCGTTAGCAATCCAGTGACTCCCCTGACGCCCCACTCTCCCATGTCGATGTCTATTGATGCGGATAGCATTACGCAGGCAGAGGATGAACACCTCGCCCAGCAGCTGCAGCACTTGCAGCACAAACTCAATGGAAACAACATAGGAACCATTAATCCAGCCAAACTGACGGCGACAGACCTCGAAAATGGGAATAACAATAATGCGAGTACCACAAATGGCGGCAGCACGCATTAGGAATCCACTTTGTTACTAGTTATCCTCGCCTAATTCTTAATAATATTGAGGCTGGATGACCAGCTCGCTACTTGACGTGTACATAAAAGTATAGCTTTTAGAGAACTTTATATATAGGTACGAAGAAACACTGTTAATTTATCGCCGTGACTGATCGACATATCCTAGATCATAGAAGCTGACGATGGACCGGCACAGATCCTTAATTGTTTTTAGCAAGCTTTGCCATGTTACTTATTGTTAGTAAGTGCAAAAAAAAAAAACATTTGTACATTAACAAAAAATACAAAAAGATCACAAATTTATCAAAAGAAATGCATTTTTTAAGAACATCAAACTTAAGTCTATTTTATGGGCCTGCCTTGGGTTTCTGATTTTTATGTTGGAATTATTTTTTAGAAAAATGGATTATTTGTATAATTGTATTGATAATTAAGGGCAAGTAAAAAATTAAAATAAGTTTGAAACCGAAACAGGCCAGCAATACAGTCTTGTTTTGGGGATCTACCCCCTGCTTAGATTAGTATATCGTTAGTGGTATTTATAGCTATAGGCGGCAAGTAGATAGCACGAATCTGACTGCGCAGGCGTGCGATTTCCATATCGTCCCGTTCCATTTCCCTGATGAGTTGTGAGAACTGTACTAAGCCCTCGCGGTTTCCTGGAAAACCGTGTCCCTTGATGACCTCAAGTTGCAGCTGCATTACCAAAGGAAATACCTACCAATCAAAAATATTATTATGTTGACATATATTCATAGTTTTGTATCTATTTACATGCTGCATCATTAGAATCATCTCTTTCCCAGCGGATGCCTTTGCTTCTGAGAGTTTTTTGGAGTTTTCTGGCTGATTGACACATCGTATAATATCCATTAGTATTTGCTTAGCACTCTCATTATTGAAATTAGCCAAGTAGGACATCGTAAGCGTTTTAATGGCAGTGTTTATGACCGATTCAACAAATAGTTGGTTTTGTTTTGTCTTTTTATTAGAGATGGGTTATCCGAGTGTGAAGAATATCGATAGGGCGAAAATGTAAAGTTTAAAGAATAACCAAAAATTTCACAGCATCGAAAATGCATCATATATATAACAGGATAAGGATAACTTATATCGATAGCTGCTGGAGTATCGATTACATGCTTATGGTACTGCTTCCAAACAGCTGTAATATGCTTTAACAGAAAAACATTTAAACAAAACAGATTCAATTAAGCCACAACTACTAAAAGGTAGTTGGAAAAGACTCATTTAATAATATCATAGAAAAAGCCACTGCCAATAAACTCCGCCACTTTTAACAGCACCTCCTCAAATCGCGTCATTTTCCAACACTTAGTCTGGAAAAATGTCACGTCGAAACGTCGAAAGCAACGACAAAAGACACAAATAATAAAGAAAAGCTTATTTTGCGCAGGCATTCGTACATTTCCAGTTACCGCAAGGCCATGCAATCGCATTCTTAGTTCGTGCAACCAAATTGTGAGATAAATTGTCGAGTTTCCAAACGCAAATACCCCAAGTAACAACAACGAAACGCAGTTTATAGGGCTACTGCATTTTTGCAAGCGTGTAAAAAGTGCGAGTGTGCAAGAAAAGAATACAAAATAAAGAGGGGCGCAAAAAAGCAGCGAAAACAACAACACACAATAACACAAAACACAAAAGTGAACACCCGCACACTCACACACACCCATACAACTCCAACGTCGAGTCAGCAAATTGTGCCACACATACAAAACGAAGAAAGAGGAAGAAGAGTAGCAAAAAAGAGGTGCCTTTACATCTCCAAAAACACCATCAACGAAATCTCTCCGAATTTCCAAAACTACGGAATGAATCGCTCTGACGGTTTGGTAAGGCGCTCGGTGAAACCCCGGGAAAATGGAGGCGCGGAGGGTGGGCTCAATGCGAATACGCCGGACGACAATCAGGATGCGATGGATGGCCTCAAGGACCAGGAGGACAATATCGACGACGGCGATTCGAAGGAAACACGACTTACGCTCATGGAGGAAGTCCTGCTGCTGGGCCTAAAGGACAAGGAGGTGGGTGTGGGGTGCACTCTTCCCGTATCTCTTATCTCGATAGGATTTCACTAATAGTTTTCCTTTCATCAAAAAGCGCTTCTTTCTACCTGTTAACTGTCATCTCTCTCGTTTTCTCTCTTTCACAACCTTTTGTTTGGCCTAAAGAGCATCGCGGTTCATCTTTAGGCAGAGGCTTATTTGAAAGGGGGTCTTAACAAAAAGTTAATAATCTGCAATAACTTTTGGTGCTCAATTGGAATTCTTAGTTTTTTCTTTGTTTGGTCTTCAGGATTTAATTTACTGTGAACCCCCCCAATCTTTGTTTTCGATTTGGGGCCACCCGTGCCTCACCATCTTCACCTCAACTTTTCCAGTTTGTTGAGCAATACACTATGAAATCTCTTGACCAGACTGGTGAGTAATGCACGATTAGCGAGAGTGCCTCAACCATTTTCCTACCAACTTTTGTTGTTGCCATAAATAATAGTGGAGACGACTCTTTAACAGCCCCTATCAGCCGTATTTTCTAATCTCTTAAACGAGACACTTGTTTAAGTACTTATTGGAACTTTTGGCTACTTGGGTAGTTTTAGTGAAGATAGCTCTAATAGGCGTTTCTCCGATTAGATATTATAAATGTGCGTAAATCCAAAAAAATAGCTTAAAATAACTTCGATTTACCATACTCTTCAAAAACTTCACTCGAGCGGACTCATCTTGAAGCTCTGAGAGCATTCCATCAAACGAGTTTTCCAATAAGTGGTTAATTTGCATACGATTGTAATATTTATAAATCTGCGTATAATTTCGGGATGATGTCCGCACAACCGAATCGGCACCATACGTGCCCCATTACGGCGAACCGGCAGATTCCCATTTTCTCCATTGAATTTGCTTTTTGTATTTCACTTGCCTCCAAGCTTTATCGCTCAATTGCTGTTCCAATATAGCATGGTACATGGTGTGTTTGTGGGTACACCACGTCTATTTGTTTTTATTGTTTTGTCCGCAGTGTATTTGTATGTGGGGGAAAAACGAGATGGAAACAGCGGGACGTGTGCTCGTTACTCGCTTTGTTTTAAAGTCTTCTTTCTTGTGTTCTTATCAGAAACATTTCTTCCATTTGGTTAATTGTTTGAGGAAGTACTGCCAAGTGCTCCAGCTCTTCATTCTGCATTCATCCGCTTCCCACTCTTTGCTAGGACTTCTTATCAGTCATACGTCATTCATTTTTCAAATTATACAATTACTTGCCTGGTGTATGAGCAGTTTAATATCTCTAAATGTCGATGATAAGCAACGTGCTCCTTTATCAACTTACGAGTGATTCACTTTTATGGGTTTTAATTTGGAAGATTTTCCAAACCGAACGATTCCTTATCATTCCTTAACACGATAATTATATACATCGTATCATAATTTTCTTTATTCAAGGCCTTTTAATATTAATAACTAGCTCTGCTTCAGTTTTGATAGACAAACTTTTGAAATAAATGTACATATACTGAAATAATTACACATTGACACTTACATTTTTTCTTATTAAGGCCTAAACAAACTCAAGTGTTTAATGTTAAATCAGCTGAACATTTTCGTCTAACAGCTTTTTCGACCCTGGCAACGACTAAATTATTCATTTATTCCACTCTTAACACATGTGAAAGAAAAGACAAAACTTTTTCATTTGTTTGCTTCGCAAATAAATTTCGAAACCTTGAATCATGGGAAAGTAAGACTTTGTTGTAGTTCCTAAAATATAAATACGTGGGTAAAAATAAAACTTAAGTCTGCTTAATTTTTAATGGTTTTTACCCTGTTATTACTAGATCAATGACCAGATCTGTATAATTAATGTTGCATTACATTATTAATTTTATTCAGGGCTACACATCGTTCTGGAACGACTGCATATCAAGCGGTTTGCGCGGATGCATTCTCATAGAACTTGGACTACGAGGTCGCGTGATGATCGAGAAGTCTGGAATGCGGCGACGTGGCCTATGTACAAGGTATGTAAACAAACAAATGCAGATGGGCATCTTTGAAATTTATTTACACTTTTGTTTTCTCACAGAAAATTGATACTGAAATCGGACCAGCAGACCGGCGATGTTCTACTCGACGAGGCCCTTAAACACATTAAGGAAACAGATCCCCCAGAGACGGTGCAGAGCTGGATTGAATATCTCAGTGGTTGATATTTAGCGACTTATTATCTTGTTGAGGACACTTAAAAATATTCTTGTTGTCCCAGGTGAAACTTGGAATCCGTTGAAATTGCGCTATCAGCTGAAAAATGTACGAGAACGTCTGGCCAAGAATCTGGTGGAGAAGGGTGTGCTCACAACGGAAAAGCAAAATTTTCTACTCTTCGATATGACGACACATCCGCTGAGCGATAATGTTGTCAAATGCCGTCTGGTTAAGAAGGTTTGTGAATAAGCCCAAAAGAAATGATTGTATGTGATCGAAAATGTGTCCCTGCAGATTCAAGACTCTGTGCTCTCGAAGTGGGTGAACGATCCCCAGCGCATGGACAAGCGGATGTTGGCGCTCATCTTTCTGGCGCACGCCAGCGATGTGATCGAGAACGCCTTTGCGCCTTTGAACGATGACGACTACGAGGTGGCCATGAAGCGGGTGCGAGAGCTGCTGGATCTCGACTTCGAAACGGAGGCAGCCAAGCCGAATGCGAATGAGATCCTGTGGGCTGTGTTCATGGCGTTTACGAAATAGACGATCCTCTGAACCTCTACGCTCCTCTCAATAGCACACACACACCCCCCAAACAAAAATACACACCTACATCTGGATTACATTTTGCTGCTTTTGTTTTAAAAACTTTGCTGTGAGTGGAACCGAATCGGGCGATAGGATTTTCTTAAATGGCAACCACCCCAAATATCAGTTTCAATAATATATTTTTTAAGCGAGACGATTAAGCAGCCATAAAGCCTATATAAATATATATGTTTAAAGAAACTGCAATAGTATCAATCAACTGCTCATTGTCCTTTAAATTTTCCTGTTCTTTTATGCAAATTTATATGCAAAAGTTTCCAACCATATTTCGTATGTTGTGTTCCACGGAAAATAGAGTTTAGTTGATGATTTCTCTTTCAATGCAAATCAAAATTTATCATAGTGAATTTGAAGATGCAGCATTGTTTTGTAATTATATATCTAACACTAATTGTAAGCGCCAACAAAAAAGCTCTGATAAAGTCTGGACAAGCTGCGTGCGAATGTCTTTTGTCAAATATCCTATATATATTTTAATTCAAATTTACAATGTGTTTTATATCGTCGCATATATTCAAGCCCTTCTTATTCGATTGCGCGACGGAAATTAGTTCTAAACTTCCGTGAGCTTCTAAAGTTTGTTTTATTCACTTCGAACATGGTTAAGCATGCACCTTTCCACACAATCAGACATTCAAATTCACACGGAGCGACATTCAATCTAGGCAATGTTTTATTTAAATTGTTATTGAATTTCGGGAACATTGAAGTTAAAAACCTTTTCTAACTGCTAAAATATATAAAAAGACGAGGAGGTAAAACAAAAGAAAGGAAAAAAATATGTAAATGTAAAATGTGCACGTCAAATAATAATAATTCTTAGATATTTAATGGCCTAATAAAATATAATACAAATATAAATATATCCATGCAACTATGTAAATTTATTGGTGGGGTACGACGAGAAAGTTGGATGTTTTACTTTACTAGTTTTCTATTAATTGGTTACTCCACATATAAAAACAATTATTTTATTTGCTTTTTAATAAAGTTTTATTCCGTTTTTCGTTCTCAATAAATGTGTTTTTCCTTCGCACAATTTTTGTTTTCCTTTTGATAATAGAAGGGGCAATATACCATATAAGTCGAGTAATTCTCACACGAAACATTTAGGTTATAATATAATAATAATCTTTCAATGACATAAAGTATGATAAAAAGCAGGGCGAAGCGCACAAGTTATTGCAAAAATACATTAAAATTAACTTCGGTTAGGCCAAAAAGGAAATAAACAAAGTTGCGATCTTATACTATCCATCATAATCATCTAGTAGTTTTCAACTGTGGGAAATTTGCAAGTAATTTGTAATTACAATTAAACATATTCATGGAATTTGATAAGAGAATAATTTTTCTAAGTAATTTCGCAGTTTATCAGTTGCCTCATTTAACAAATGTTCCGTTTTTAGCGTAGCGTTTGAAAAATACATACAAATATACATATAAAGTAAAACAATGCAAAAATGGGAAAACTTTAATAAAATTAATGGAAGAATTGATACGCTCGAAATGATAGCCATTAATTAATATATATGTATATGTATTTTCATGTAAATATAATTGAAGTTCCACCAGCTGTCGGCTCCAGTTCTTGCCCTCGATTCTGAGCCTTCTGCCCCACTTATTTGCCGAGGCGACTGCGCATGGACGACAGCCGACGCATCCGAGCCCTGTTTTGGGAATAGCTGTCCGCCCACCGCTGCTCGGGCTTGTAAGCGCCTGAGTAGCCGGCGTGCTAACTCAGCAGGTCCTTGATCTCCTTGTGCATGTGACACAGGAAATCCACGTAGCTGGCCGAGCCGTCTGTGCCGCGATCCTCGACGAGGAAGTGTCGGAACACGCTCTCCAGCTTGTCGTTTTGCCGCAACCAGGTGATCTAAAGTTAAAATTGAATCCATTAAAGGTTTCGGAAATTTGCAAAAAGGTTATTAGATACGCACCCTCATGTATCGCGATCGTTCCTTCATGATTTGCTCCAGGATGCCGTGGATTCGCTTGGCCAGCGGCGTCTCTGGCACGATGTTGAACCGCTCCAAGGCCAGTTGCTGCAGTCCCTGAACGCCGAAAACAGCCTGCACAAAGCTTGGAGGCAGTGCCTGGCCCAGCCAGACGAAGAGGTGAACTCCGTTCTCCAGGATATAGGCGCCATCCTCTTGCGTCTTTTCGTGCGTGCAGCGAACGGGAGTCGGCAGATCCGTCTCCTCGGGCACGACGTTGTGGATGGGAAGGAAACGGGGATACAGATAGCTGACGGATTGGTTCAGATCCATGGACAGGATAAACTGGATAACGTATGATCGGTCGTCCAGCGTCATGTCTGAGCCACCGGAAATAGCATCGTTTTTGAGCAAACACGAGGCGTACAGCGGCAGCAGCTTGAGGCACTCGGGAAGGATCAGCTGTCCGGCGGAGGTGGGAGAGGTGCAGTGCTTCCGGTAACAGGCCAGGATCTGTGCCGATCGATGGATCAGGTTATCCTTGACCTGCTTGGGCGTGTGCTCCATCAGCTTGAAACAGGCCTGCTTGGCAAAGAACAGCATCATGGCGTCCAAGTCGCAGCTCTTGAACACGTCCGCAATCGTCGTGGTCACCCGCAGTGCCAGATTGAGGACACGCAGTCGCCGCTGACCACTGCACGAGGTGTACAGCAGCGCCACCTGAAGGTACACGTTCTCCTCTGGCGGCAGCTTGTCGTCGTGCTTGATCTCAATGCTCACCGATTTGGTGGCGTCTGTAAAAAATAAAAAGTTATTAACTTATATCCATTGCAATCCAAGTCATGATTGCGTACCAATACTGGCCAGCTCCACATCAGTTGTGTTCGACATGAAGAAGTGACCGTAGAATTCCGTGGGTCGGACGCCGGCCGACGTACGCACCCGCATCACCGCATCGAAGGCAATCGGTCGCGAGACGTTCTTAATTATATCCTCGATCAGTCGCTTGCCATCCACATCCGCCTGGAAGTAGGTGTACTTGAACACCTCGCCACCAGTCAGCCGAGAAACCTGACCAATTGTGGCCAAATCGATGTACGCGTTGTTGAACACGAACAAGTCCACGGAGCAGCCCTGCTGAACGCACTCCTGACCCAACTGGTTATAAGCCGTGGTCTGCGGGGTGAGCACGGTTTTCTCCTTATCCGTGCCCAGAAGCTTTCGGTCATCGCGGTTCTTTAGCTTGCCGGGTGCTTCTGCAATGGGCAGCGTGGAGTTGAACACCAGCAGTTTGCCGGATGCATTGGATGCCTTCAGTGCTTCCAAGCCAGCCTGAATGGCCGGATACAGAATCGTCTCCGTTTCCTTGGTGTCGGCAAACATACGGGGAATCTCCTCCATCAGAGCGTCAATTACAGCTGCGGACTCCTCCGGGTGACACAGGAATCCATCCAGAAGTGGCATGAACATCTCCTGTACATCACCCACCACCAACATCTGCGGCTGGGCCAGACTGCTCTTGATGTTGTAGAAATGCACGGTGCTGTTGTACGTGATGAAACCCACTCGCACCTTGGATTTATCTTGTCCTTGGTCCACAGGCAAGTGCTTGAGTATGTTCTTGATCTGGGAGCACAGCAGGTGAACCAGTCCCGACTTCACCGTGTTGTAGGAGACGTCGATGACGAAGATAAAGGCAGGAATCTCCGGGGGAGTGTTATTCTATGGGAAATAAAAAGCGTAAAGGAGTTTTAAATTTGCTTTCGAATCATAAACATAAATGTAAACACAAAAAAACAAAATCTGAAGAAAATATGGAAAGGTGTTTGTCAATCTGTGGAAATCACAAACAATATGCCATATGTTTACCATATTGCTCTATTTTAACGAAAACTATTTTTAATTTCTAATATTGTGCTCTGCCCAAACTTACCCGACAGTAATCCTTAGTCGCCAAAAACTCATAAGTTCCGAGCAGCAACTCAGGTCTTTCATGCTTGTCCACACGCTGTCCAGTGTGATCCAGGTGCTGGTAGTAGTCCGGATGAACTAAAAACAACCGCATCATTATTTCAAATACTTCGTTCCTTCAATTTTCTCTGCAAATACTTACCCTCCGAAGTCACCTTGCACATCAGACACTGGAATCGTCTTCCGGCATCGACGAACTGCATGTTGGGCGACATGTACGCCTTACACCTGTTGCAGCGGATGGGTCCCATGTCACCGAAGTTTACAATCGGTGGCTCCAGCTCTCCCTCAGCAGTCTTGGCCAGCGGCGAAATGTTCAGCGTCAAGGGAAGAGCTGTGGTCTTCAGGAGATCTCCGGTATTGGGGATGCAGTAGAGCGAGGAGCGCAGAAAACGCGGCGAAGAGTTGCCTTGGTCGTGAACCACGAATTTGGTGGTTACCAATGGTGGCAGCAATCCCGGCTGATTGGTGACGAAGGGTCCGCCAGCCAGACGCTGGTTCTCGATCATCACCTGGATGGGATTGGGCATCTGGTCGGGATCGAGACGTCGAGGCTGTGGCGCCTGTTGGTACATGTTTCCTGCTCCCGGCATAGGAGGTTGCTAAACGTCATTGCAATTAATTAGCTACAAAACCATTACATGATTTGTTATACTTACATTAAAGCCAGGACGCCCTGGTTGGCCGGGAAAGCCGCCACCTGGCTGTGGTGGATATCCTGGTGCTCCCGGCTGCTGTCCCGGCTGTGGTGGATATCCTGGCATGGGCTGCTGACCCGGCTGCGGAGGATAGCCAGGCTGCTGACCTGGATAGCCTGATTGTGGAGCTCCGAATTGGGGTGGAGCTGCTGACTGCTGTCCTGGATGGAGTGGAGGTGGTGCTCCAGGGAATCCTCCGGGAGCCTGTCCTGGAAAGCCACCTGGATAGCCGCCTGGTTGGGGGGCTCCATAAGGTGCTCCGGGCTGTGGAGGCAAGCCTGGTTGGCTTTGAGGCGCCAAGCCATGTGGTTGTGGGGCAAATCCCGGCTGCTGGGGCGGCAAACCTGGTTGCTGAAATGGCGGAATTCCCTGCTGCTGCTGCCCCGGCAATCCGGGTTGCGTGTACGTAGGAGGAGCAGAGCCAGGGGGCAACTGGGGCTGTCCCGGCCGCGAACTGGGCACTCCAAAGGGACCGGCAGCAGGCTGGGATGTGGGAAGCTGTCCGGGAAGTGGGGCCTGTCCAGGCAGTGGCGGTTGACCGGGAAGAGGTGGCTGCGCAGCACCTGCTCCAGGTACCGGAGGCTGACCAGGGGCTGCTGCGGGAGTCGCAGCCTTCGGTGGCGGCATATGCGGCAATCCGGCCAAGCTGGCGCTATTTAAGCTCATCTGGTTAATCCCACTGGCTACGCTCTGTGGCGTGCTGCTCGGCGGTAGTCCTCCGTTGACATAGCCACCAGGTCCCGACGTCGGTGGCGCACCGAATGCCGCGTTGTTGTTGTTGGTCGGAGGTGGTGCCGCATTCGAGTTGAACTGATTGAAACCTGTTGGCGGCGGCGCAGCGGCAGCGGGAGCTCCTTGAGGGAGTGGTGGCTTCAGGGGATTGGCTCCACCGCCACCGCCACTCACACTCAAACCACCCATCGACGTGGCCAGCTGTAAAATAAAGGTTATAATTAGTTTCACTTGGCGTTTCTTATCTATAAGCTCAGCTTCCACTCTTCTATAATGAAATACCAGATGACCTCTTTATTGAATGAAGTAGTCAAAGCTTATCAGTACAAATTTCTAATTTGGTAGTCTTGGTTTTTTTTTTTTTTGGAAAAATGTTTGTTTGTTTTCTCTACAAAACAGTTAAATTGTCTGCCCAAGTATACAATTAAATTTGGCAAATTGGTTTAATTGGAATTGGAGACTGTGTTTAAAAAGGTATTGTCTTCTAGGTATTGAAATATATAACGACAACCTATAATAGTAAACATGTGCCGTCAATATTAAAATTGTTTTAAATTGGAATGTCAAGAATAATTGGAGGAAACTAAAAGATAAAAACTCGACAATATTCTTATCCTTTTAAAAGGGTTGCCTTAATCCTCGCCCACAATTGTACTTCACCTGCTGCTGGTAGTTGCCATTGAGGTAAGACTGTGGTGCCGCTGACGTTGGCGGTGGTGCTCCGAACTGTGGTGGGTGTTGTTGTTGCTGCTGCGGCGGAGGCAGTTGTTGTTGCTGCGGCGGCTGCTGCTGCTGCGGTTGCTGCTGTTGCGGCGGCCATCCTCCGGAAATTGGCGGCGGAGCCCCAAACTGGGGCTGCTGTTGCTGGAATTGCGTGGGCGGCGGCCCGTACATATTCGGATTCATTTCTGGCCCGGATCGGTCACAATGCCTTCAAACCGAGAGAGGGTGCTCCAAACAACTTTCACGCGAAGCGGAGAGAAAACACGGGTGGCTCAAAGTCTAAAGCCCTGGTAATTTGGCAATTTTGGAGGCTGCTTGGCCGGATTCCTGACCACAAACTCCACGATTTTGACCACTCGATGTTGACCTCCACTCTCGACCGTCGCGGCGCAAGAGTCGCTGGTTAAAAAACAAAATAAATTTCGAGCTAAACGAACTTCCACGTCAGTTCCCCAATTCGATTTTTTTGCTCTTTTTGCTGCCACGTAAACAGCGCAGTTTTCCAACACTGTCAGTGAGCGGGGCTCGGTTGCTATCGGCTAATCGATATGAGTGTTACTGTTAACAGCGCTGCTATTCGCGCTAACAGCTGCGAAGGGTGTTGTGTGCTGATAAGGTGGTTCATGCAATTGAAGTGACGTCACAAAGAAGTTTTCAAAATACAGTAGAATCCGCTTATAGCGACTTTCAAGGGACCGACGAGTTTTCGTCGTTATACCCGGAAGACGCACTAAGCAAAAGGATATAAGTGTATAAGTCTGTCTGGGGACCAATCAAGCCATCGAGTTTTAGTCACAATACCCGGACGGACACTATAAGCAGAGTCGTTATAACAGTATTCTACTGTATTGTACTAAATCATTTTGGATATTGTAGATATTATAAATATGTATTGTAATATTTGTATTATTTTTTTTAGGCTAATAACTTCAGAGAAAACTCAGGTCAATTAATTTAGAATTCTTTTATTTCTTTATTCGCGGGAAGGGAGATAAGTGGCTCGGAAATTTCCTCAAATCGACCCGCCCACGCCCTGGTGTCCAACCTAAATGTGTTTTTGTCGAACTCCACAACTGGTCTTAGGACCTTGTTAAATTTAAGACCCGTGAATCGCTCTATTTCGTCGATCTTGGCCCGATGATCACCCAACTTTCCACCCACTGAGCGGCTGTTTTCAATGATATAGCCCTCCATAAAGGGATATACTCCAGGCATTCTGCTTTCCACAATCAGAACCTTAAAATAATGCGAGGGCACTGGCGTTGGAATCCAATCAAACACCTCGTACTTCATAGACCATTTACCGTTCTCGTGGCAGAAGGGCGTGTAAATCGGTCCAGTGTAGGCATACACTGAGCCAAATTCCTGTGCCTTCGCGGATACATATTTCTCGAGATCGTTCCATATTTTTCGCTTGAAAGCCTTGCAGATCTTCATCGAGCCGCAGCTCAAGACATAGACATCATTATAGCGAAGATTTATGTTGCTATAACCACCATCATCCGACACTATCTTTTGGTAATCCCCGCGGAAGTGCTCACATATCCATCTAGGAGAGTTTGTGCACATGTCCTGCGAAACAATATAGTCCTTGTGGACGTACAAGTTCTCCGTGCTGGGTAGTCCATATTTGATTAAATCCAAAAGATCAGTTGTGGTCGCCGAATCCGTTTTGAGCATGAAAACTGCGCTAATGAAATCAAAAACGGGTGATACGACCAGCTCTCGGAATTTGTCTGCCAGTGAGGAAGAGCGATTCCACAAACGCGTTTCATGATCCGTTGTAAAGGTCGAAAACTTTTCGGGAAATTAGAGACATTCAGCTTTATTATTTCCTTGTTAAAGCTTACCATAGGATACAACTTATGACGGTGGTGGTAAATATAGGGATCCCTTCGGATCTGCCGGTAAAGTAGTCTTATCGAAGCCTCCTGCTGGACAAACGCTCCGCAAACAAAGCCTGTTACTCCTGCCAGAGCACATAAGACCCACTGATGGACTCGTGATTCGTCCATGGACATAATTTGTGTTTACAATAATTTAGAGTACTTTTGTAAGCTAATATATATATCAAGTTACGTCAGGGAATGTTAGGCCTACTTACAGAAATGATATGGAATTCGGTTTTCAAATATGCGGTTCTAAAATTCTGCACTTTAAATTTCAACCAAAATCTCGAAAAACCTGTGATTCACTAGGATAGTTGCTTCCAAATAAAGCACTTCTCCTCAGTCCATCGAAGAACTTCAGACCCGCATAGTGCTCGATTTCCCGGATATCGCAGAGAAAAGATCGGAGAGGCAGGCCATCTGGTATTGGAGCGTTCGGAAGAACATAGCCTTCCATATAGGGTTTGCCTAGATGAAGTTTCGATTCCACCATGATCACCTTGAAAAAGTGCGTTGGTACGGCCACCATGTTAAGTCCAATCATTTCGTACTCCACTCCCAATTTGCCGCCTGATCTTTGTTTGGGTTTGTACAGCGGTCCAGTGCAAACATAAACGGAACCAAATCGGTGGACAAGATGTCGAACATATCTCTCCAAGTTGTTCCACGCTCCTCGATTAAACCCCTGACCGATTTGCGGTGCTATATTAGTAAGGAAGAAGGTATCCTGGCAGTGATTCTGCTGCAAGTGATGATTTCCAGCGGCGGCCAAGTGTCCTCGATCGAAACCGGATCTTCGATAGTCTGTCAATTCTGAGCGAAAGGTGGAGGGCACACTCATGTCTGCTTGGTATGGATTGTGACCCCGTCTACTTCGGTTGGATTGGATGTTGTCCACCTGGAGATGTTCACACACCCAGTGGGCCACTCGATTTCGGCGATCATAGGATAGAACAAAGTCACTATAAAGCCGCAAGTCATCCAGACCCGGAAATCCGTACTTCATAATTTGCCTCATACGATGATCGGCATTACATTGGCTCTCAAAGAAACAAAACTTTCAAGACAAACTTCTATATTACCTAGTTGAACAACTAATACTTGAGTGCCCTTACCACTTCATTAATTTTGGGACTGACATAGTAGGCATAGGGATCCTTTTGAATTATTTCTTGTAGGCGTCTTTTGGCATCGTGGTGTTGAAAGTACATGCCACCCACAAAGGAGAGACTCAATGCAGTCACTCCCAGGACCAAACTGAATCCCAGGAGCTGCCATTTGGTGTCCATAATTAAGAACCTAAAAATAAGATCACCTGGGAAGTAAAAAGAATTGTTTGAAGCTCATATCATGGCTATCTAACGTGGTTATATCGACATTTAATTTATTTCTACAATTTATTTGATATTTTCGATGTGACGGCACCATGATTTTCCAAAGTACCAGCTACTGGACCATTTGCGGAGTTTGCTAGAGGACTATTTACTGGGTTGCTGGTTGCCACTTGGGTGTTGACAAAGTTGCGATCGAGTCCTTCGAAGAACCGAAGACCCGTGGCATTTTCTATATCACGAATATCGCTGAGAAGGGTCTTCAGATCCACATTGTTGTTCAGCGGGGAGTTGGGCATCACATAGGCCTCGGCATATGGAATGGCGTCCTCCTCGAACCTGGGATCAATGACCAGGATCTTGAAGAAGTGAGTCGGAACGGCCACCATGGTTCTCTCCTCCGTTTGGAACTCCAGGAACCAATTATTGGACTTCAGCTCACGGGGCAGGTAAATGGATCCGGTGTAGACATACACCGTTCCATGTCTTCGACTCATTTCGTTGACATACTGAAGCAATCGGTCCCACACTTTCATATTAAACCCTCTGTTCAGAAAGGGCTTTATGTTCGAGAGGAAAAACACTCTCGATGCCTCGGACTGACCGAAGGCTCCAACTGGCGTTACAGATAAGGGATCACCGTAGATTATTCTATCCGATATGTCCACCCGCTCGCACATCCACTGAACGGCGGAGTTTCGGCGATCGAAGGAGGTCACAAAGTCAAAGGTTTCGTTCAGACTTATATCGTTTGTGCTGGGAAAGCCGTACTTCATGATTCCGCCCAACTTGTGGCAGTCATCGCCCTCCTCGCTGAATTCTTTGCTGTCAGCTCTTACAGTAAAGATATTTAACTGGAAAAGAGTTTTATATTTATAATATATAATACATTTGTAATATATTCTTACCAATCCGTACAGTTTTCTTCGGATAAAGTAGGCATGAGGGTTCCGTTGCTCCAGTCTTCGAATATTTCGCATCACATCAATGTGCTGATAATAGGCTCCCAAAGCAAAGAAAGAGCCTGCAGTGGCCAGGATACCAAGAATGCCCCTAACTGGCATTTGATCCATTAATGTATCAACCAAGAGAATTTGGAGTTGGAAACCAAGAAGAGTTGTTAAAAAGCCTCAATAATATATAGGGTGTGTTGTCAATAAATCCTATGAGTTGTTTGGGAAAACCAACTTTGTTGTGCATTAAATTTCGAAATACCCGCTCGAAAAACCCGACTCTTCCTGCAGTTAATCTTTAAAGTTTTCGTGTCCAAGTTCAAACTTGGCTGCACTTGCCAACTACATTAAGTCAATAGAAAAAGTTGCAGTCATCGTGGCAGAGTCAAAAACTAAAAAGTCCTTAGGACAAAACAGTTCCCATCCCCGTTTGCCAGTTTCTGCCCCCTTGAACCACATAATAAGCGTTTTTGGGGCTATGCCTGACTAAACTGAAAGCGGCGTCAAGATTTATTCTCAAAATCTCGTCGTACTTTGTTATGCTTAAAAATGTTAGTTGTGGATTTACAGTTTTCCGTTTTTGACCAGAAAAGTTTTCACCCTGCGGAAACTTTGGGCGGTGAAGTGATGGAAAAGTGGAAAGGATTTACTGGGGAGGAATGCTTTTTTTTTACCAGTTAAAGTTTTATTGTTTAAATAATTTTATATTTTTTAGATAAACCTTTGGTAAAAGGTAGCCTTTTATTTAATTAAGGAAAGGAGCCAAGATGCACTAACTTTTGGTATAGAGAACTGTTACTAAGTCACCAATTGTCCTTTGATTCCCCCCAGCCCCAAAATGTTGACTCCACATCCGATTCCGTTTCAGTTGGCCGTGAGGCATTGCCAATTAATTTCCAACATCTAATTGGTGGTTGGCCAAATTTATTGCCCCCGAAGGGAGAAGGAGGCAGTGCACAGTGGTCCAGCCCGTAGGCCAAAAATAAAAAAACCAAAGTCCAAATTTTGACTTTAAATGTACCAATTCTTATTTATAATTGGTCTAGCTATTTGAATTTATTCATCTTTTTGTTTTGCTCTGTCTGTCCGCTTCAAGAATAGCATCGAAAGATATAGCATGATATTCATTGTGTATTGCAGCGTAAGCAACGGCAAGTGAAGCTCTCCGCAACAAATTTGTTAAACATTTTTAAAACAAGTGTTTGTGCCATGGAAGTGATTAATATTTTAAAGAAAGGTATTAACTTTCTTTTTACAATAAAAAGTATATGTAGTATTTGTTGTGTTTTGTGTAAATCATTGTTGTATTTAGTACATAATTGTGAACGTTTTTAGTTTGTCTTTTCTGTGTTTGGTTAGAGTTTTAGTTGTGATGGCACTCTTTGGCATTCACAAATCTTTTTGTATAATATTCTTAAGCATTTTAAGAATATAAGAAAGTTTAGTTCAAGTGCCGTAAGGTGCCGTGCGGCTTGCAAAATACAAAAAGGTAACCTAACCTCAATTCATTCATTTGTCGAATTGTTACTACACATATATGTAAATATTAAAGGGTAAGCATATAAATTAAAAAAATGTATTTATTTTATGTTCGTTTTTGTAAATTACATTTATAATTTCTGTCATTATTATTTTAAGGCGAAATAGTTTCCCGGCGAAAACTCGTTTTACACTGATTGTTCCTATGGCAGCTATAACCTATAGTATCCAGATTTATATACGGTTATATACGAAAATTTCCAAATTATTGTTGCATCAAAATAAAAAACAATAGTTTTTCATATAAAAACTGAATATCAGACCGATTGTTCATATGACAGCTATATGATATAGTTGCCCGATCTGGCTGATTTTTACATATTATTTTAGGATAAATATAAAAAAATTTTCTGCAAAGTTTTAAGTCCCTACCTCAACTAGAAGTATTTTTGGCCGCTCTCCCCATACAAGCCGGACCACTGTGCAGTGGGGCGTGTTTGCCGTGCCCCTTGGACCAGTTTGCATATTGATTGACGCCCGGAGGTCCTTTTTGCCAATCTAAGGTGCATATACCTCGTCAAGGGTTCGCGTCTCCTCCGTTTTCCCTCCGCCGATTTTCTAATCAACGAGGCTCGCCCAAATTTGCATAATTAAAACGATTTCATGTGGTTCAGGTGAGAGGCGCGAAAATGCCACGCCCCCCGGCCCAATTTTCCAGTTTCTTCTTTGCCAGCCAAAAACTGAGTCGCTAAGTGACTGCAAATTTGTCGCCTCATTTGAGTTTGGATTAATGAATTATGCACTCGGGGCTGTTTAATTAGGCGAGCTTCGAATGTGATTAGGGCCAGGCAATTAGCCGATAGGACTGAAAATTTCCAGGATCTGCGATAATCGTTTGCTGACTGACAGCCATAAAAATGCGGCCCCAGGATTTGAGAAAAAGCGAAACTCATTACGGCTGCCTTTTTTTTGTTGATTGTACATCAGGTCGGTCAACTTAATGGGGTAATTAACTTATCTGGGTTAGAAAGGGCAAAGCGGTTAAAATTTTATGTGTTTTTCATTCGCGGCATAACGGAAACATTTGCCAGGCGATGTCAATTAACGCCAGGAGGTTTATAAATTATATATAAAGTTTGTGTATCCCAACAATTTGTTTGCTATTTTGAGGGAAAAAGCAAAATTAAAAGGGTTATGATTGTGTGAGAAAGAATAAGATCCAAGCAAAGTTATTTTTTTAACAATTACTGATAAGTACTTCTTTTAGGCAAAATAATTACAAAAAAATATTCTATGCATTTTTAAAATATTTTTATTTTTTTTCTGAAATGTTTCTCATATACTTAGCTATATATTTTTGGTTATTACCTATTCCCTGCTTAATCGATGACCGTCATTAGGAAATTAACACTTTTGCTTCTGGCGCTGCTCCCCAATAATTATCACATTCTTGAAAGAACGAGAGTGAGAGAAGATGGGGGAGATCAGTTATCACTTAAGGGAAAGAGAGACTTGGGGTCGCCACGCTCATCACTCCGAAATGGAACTCGTACCGCTCGGCGATCGCCGGTCGGCGGAGCGTTTTGTCAGTTAGTTGGGAACGCACCATCGAGCGGATCAGATCAGCTGCTCGTCCCGCCGGAGAGCTGAGATCCATAACGGTAGAGATCGGTAGAGTCATCGCACGCACTAATCACTCGATCGGTCAGAAGCCCCTGGGGAGATCTTTGAATAACCATGATCTCGCAGCTGGGACGAATTAGCATTATTGCTGCGGTGCTTTTGGCACTTGTGCTTGTCGTTCTTGGTGAGAAATAATTCGAGTTTTAAGGGTCATAAGGTGTTGTGGTTTTATAGTTTCTTATAACAGTGTCATTACCTTCTCCAGCTAGCAGTGCAGAAAGCAATGATCTCAATCCGAATGCCGACTGCAATCACACTTTGGTCAAAAAGAAGACTTTGGGGGTGGACCCCTCTTTCTGGAAGAAGTTCTTCAAGCACTGGATACCCTTCACCAGTTCGAGGGGTAAAATGGAGTTCCTGCTCTTCAAGAGGGACTTCGTCGATTGCGGAAAGGAATTATTCGTTGGCAATCTCGATAACCTCAAGAGCTCCGGTTTCAATGGACGTCACCAAACGAGGTAAGGGGATTTCCTGGTTGATTCAAGCCCCAGATTGCAAGTCGAATGGGGAACTTTTTTTAGGGAAGTGATTGTGCAACAATCATTTCGTTTTCGATTTAACAGTGGGATAATTACTCAAAGCTGTGCAAACTGTTTGACACAAAGCAATTGACAGTGTATTCAGTATTCCCAATAAAAGGGTTATACGTCAGCAGCAAGCAAATTAATGAGAGAGCAAAACACCAATCTAATGAATAGAACCAAAACAAATATTTACCTAATTCTCTCGCCAAATGATTTAATTTTTATATTTCGCGACTAACACGAAAACAGGTTTCCCTGCTTCATATTTATATTTTGGCGCTGAGCTTTCGTTTGGGTTATCGCAATTTCAGTCATTGCCATTTGACTGACCCTAAATAATTGCCCATTAAAATTAATACGTATTAACAAGTCAAGAGATAATTATTGCAAATTTTATAATAGACAACATTGCTACACAGATTTTGCATTAAAAGAGCGATAAGATAACATGAGGAAAAGATAAGATCGATATAGCAATTTTTATTTATATTCTTTTAAAAATTAATAACATGCACAATTTATGAACTAAGATGAATGGGTTTTTACAAAGATGTCTCAATGTTTCAACTGACTTCTCTGCTTTTCAGAATTGTTATTCACGGCTGGATGAGTCAGAGCAAGGGATCCCACATTCGCAAGATTAAGAACGGATATCTGAGCCTGACGCAACCGGGAATCAATGGAGAGCCCGCCCTTTACGAGGACTTCAATGTGATCGTCTGCGACTGGAGCAAGATCTCCACGAATGTCAACTACTACGAGGTGGCCAAGACGGTGGAGGACATGGGCGCCCTGCTGGCGGATCTGGTGCGGTTCCTCAACCAGGAGGCGGATATGCAGTTCGACGACGTCTACGTGATTGGACACTCGCTGGGAGCTCAGATCGCCGGCAGTGCTGGCAAGCAGATCCTGCCGTTCCGGTTCAACACCATCTACGCCTTGGATCCGGCGGGTCCTCAGTTTAGGGATAAGACCGATGAGTACCGAATCGATGCCAGCGATGCCTCCTATGTGGAGTCCATTCAAACGAGCGTCAGTTTCGGTTTCGAGAAGCCCGTGGGACACGCCACCTTCTATCCGAACTACGGAAAGAATCAGAAGAAGTGCTACGTATACGGATGTTCGCACAAGAGATCCCATGATTATTTCATAGAGTCCCTCACAAGTCCGGCCGGATTTTGGGGACCCCGTTGCGAACGTCGTGACGATGGCACCTGGATTCTCCTTCTAAGCGATGGGGAATTCCGGATGGGCGGGGAACCTTCCATTCCAAAGAATGGAACTTTTTATGTGAAAACCTACGCGAAACCTCCCTATGCCATGGGTCACAGGTGGCAAACGGAACCTCCACCTCGTGAAGATGGGGTTGAGGATTCCTCAGAAGAGTAATTTTAATTTACAATGCCTGCAAAACTGTATATAAAATCGAGTGAGAAGTTAAATTATTTTATGTTTGTGTTTTAAATAAGAATAAAGATCTTTGTTAAGTGTATGTTATTCAGAAGTCTTTGAATTCTTTTGATTTACATATATTATAAAAAGTGGTATGCAAAGTTGAAGTAAACTAATTATTTTTAAAACGTGTAATGATTAACGTAGGTGGCAAAACATTTCGAAGGAAATACCAATTACTGGCTGTGTAAAGTTGGTCTGTCGGAAATTTCTATTAGTATCGAAGCTTTGTAGAAAGTATTTATACCTAAAAAATACGAAAGCCTGAGCCATTCTGTCGCTGATTTCAAAAAGAAAATGTTCCGAGCTCAACGTTTCTGCATTTACTTCGTAGTTTTCTTGGTTTTGGTCGCTGCCAGACCTAAAATGAGTTCGAATAGGAATCTAATTCGGTTGCAAGTGGTCACCACTGAATACTCCACCATCACGACAATTAAAGCCACATCTAAAACACCGAATGAGGACTCAGATGAAGATTCCCACTCTGAAATTGACTATAATTATTATTATTATTCAAGCGAATCGTAATGTTGCTAAGCCCAATAGCAGTTTACTTATTGTCAAAATTAACAAGCTACATCGGAAAAGTTTTGAAATTTCATATTGGTGAAAATGAATTCGTATTTTCTCCAATGCCTGACTGTTCTCAGTCTGGTAATGACTATTGTGGCTTTTCCAATACCGAAAGATCCGCTGGCTTTGGCAATTGCCACCGAACCTGATATGGATTTTCCGGATATTGATCTTTGGATGGCTTAAATGGTAAGTGACTGGTTTTTCCCTTCAAGAATTCCTTATTAAATATTTTAGTTTCAGAATTTCCGCAGCCACTGCTTCTACTCTTCTTTTTGGTTCTCCACATATTTGGAACAAAAAATTTAATTAAAACAAACAATATGTTACCTAAATTGTTACTGCTGCTTTTGGGGCAGGGTGTGCTGTACGAAATTGCAGTTTGTGGGCCACAGGCCGCGGCGAGTTGTTGTTAATGCATTTACTCGGCTTAATTAGTTGAGACTTTACATTATTCATACGCCACGTGTGACCAGCGGCCACCCACTTTCCGCCCGCCCAGAGTGCTGATGCCTGCCGTTTCCTTCCTTCCCCCGCCTCCCGACAGCATCATAATTTTCACTTAATTAAAGTTGTCGTTGTTGTGGGTGCCGAGTTTTCGGGGTTTCCCCGGGGAGAAGTTAAAGAGTTGTCGAGGTGCATTCGAGTGTGAAGTTTAGGGGAGTGGCAAGTATATGGGTGTATATACCATCTGATGCTTTGGCTCTTAATTTAATCCATTCCATCTTCGAAAGTTGAGGAATGCTTAGGTGGAAGTTAAAAAAGTGTTAAGTGTCTAGTGACTGTAATTAAAACTTTCGTAGAAGAGCACAAACTTGTTACTTAAATATTTATGGGGCATAAGAAAACTTTAGCATCACAACATAGCTCAAGAATTATTAACATATCCTAACAAATCTCTTCCATTCCTGAACTCAATTTTTAAAGCAACTATCTGAGCCTTAAAATTCTCCTTTATTTGCCCAAGGCCAAAAACGTATACATTCATAACCCGGCAACTGCACAAAGTTGACAAGCCAAGACAATTAAAGTTTGACATAATCCATTGATTGGCTTAATAAATATCCCAACTCACTTATCGTAATTGTTGTCTCAAATTGACAGATTGACGGCCATGGCAAATGGAGAAGCCACAGAGCCGCAGGAATAATCTTCTCGGGTTCCGGAGTGCAAAAGGCTGCTGCTCGTTTCGAATCTCAGGTGGAAAGTGTTGTTTTCACTCGAATTTTATGCAAAATCATTTATCCTTTTCCTTTGCCGAAATAGTTGCCAGACTTCGATTTAACCCGAGGTGGTTTCCCTCGATTGATGATTGTGTGTGAATCCCCGAGGGCGCAATTCTCGTATTTGCTCTGGCCCACTGAATTTGATTATTTAAATTTCCACATTCGTTTTCATGGCGCATAAATTATTTATGAGCCGTGTGTGAGGACGTCGGCAGTTCCATTATGGCATTCTAATTAAGGCGGCCCCAGAATGTCTCCCAAGCTCGCAGTAAGCAAGGCCTCAAGTAACCGATGACCAAAGGACTTCTGATGGGAGTTATAACCTTAAAAATTCACCGGAAAATCCTCGCCGCCTCCTCGAGTTTCGGCAAACCCTTTTCCGCCGACAGCCTGAAGACCAATTTGTCGCCCAGCAATGGACCGTGCGAAAGCCTGGGAGTGCCATAACTTTGCTGATGCGATGTGTCGCCCACGAAACCCCAAAAAGCCCAAAGAAAGAGGGGAAAAATTAAAACGAAACGAAATCAGGTTTCGTTTTGCGGGTGACAAAAGGTTACAGCAGACAGCACAGATAGCCGGGCCAAATGAGTGCGATACGAAGGCGATGACAATGACTTACATTGCCGGCAGAAGGAGCCGGAAAAGGACCTGCAGGACTCGCTCCAACCACTCCACCCACTCCACACTCCGCACTCGTTAAAGTTCATGTGCACACGCACTTAGGTCAGCAGATATCGGGAAGCAGGAAGTCGGACGAAACAGCTCCGCCACTTAACTTACATATGTATCCTGTATCTTCCTGGATCTCCACGTCTCCGATGCTATTTGTGCAATTTTATAGCGTTTTTACGGCACACAAGTTTTGTGCTTTGTGTCCTGCGTCCGGCTTCCTCTTTAAAATATTTAAATTTGATGTGTGTTCGGGCGGAGTGCCTCTGAAATTTGGTTCCGTTGTGTGCTCAACTGTGTAATAGAGGCGGCCGTCTTTCGAAAGTGGGGAAAGTGCGAAAACGGTGAGGAAAACTCGTCTGCAGGGCTGGAAAATATTGGGGAATGCAACAAAAAGTTTTACAAAAAATAAACTTGTAAGAGAAATAAATGGGATTCTATGAATTAATTAGGACAATTATTATTTTTATGAAAAGAAACATTAAAACTTAACAATAAGGCAATGATATATGATTTATTAAAGCCAAGGCAATGTTAGTAAAGTAACTTATAAAACTCTTCATCCCTGGAACTTGAGAATTCCCCCACATATAGCATATAGCATATAGTAGTCCCCTAGCAATTCACATATCCGTATCTATGTCAGTTCACTTGAGTGCTGTTGTTGTTGTGGCTTCTACTTTTCGGGCCTTTTTCCAAGTTTGCGGTGTGATTTTATGTGCAAACTTAAATTATACAATTTGGGGGCCATGAATACATTTTTCCCCGTTGCCATCGCCATCGCCATCGTCATCGTCATCGTCTTGAACTTTTCCGGGCCTGGGCTGTTGGGTTTGCCGGCGAAAAGGGACAATGAGTTGCTAAATGCTTTGAATATTCTTCAGGCCATTGCCTGGCACTGCATGCATAATATACGATATATGGCCATGTCAGATGCGAATCCTTCGAGTGTGGTCCAAAAGAAAGGGGACGGCAAAGGAGAAAGCTACGGAGAAAGTAACGGAGAAAGGAAAGGAACGGGAGGGGAGGGGCAAATGTGTTGACAGGTCGAGTGTGCTGTGCGGTTTCCTTTACCAAAAGCGTCTTGGCCAGAAATTGTTCTCAATCTCGGAGCACTGTCAACCAGAAGATTTTGGCTTTGGTTTCGTTTGCGAAACGGTACATTGCACAAACATAATAAACGAGTATTACAAACCGTTTGACATCTGCTCGGATATTCATTAATTTCGCAGGCAGGAAATGATTTACATGAACACAAGAAGATATTAGCAAATGAAAACTCGAACAAATCCAATTAAATGTTGAATTTTAAGTATTCATTTTCATGAGAAGGGAATGTGTGACTAGCAAACGAAAATGAATTGCCAATTAGTTGCTTTAATGCTGTGTCCACTAAACGCGCCTCGTTAAAATATCCTTTCTTTCTTTACGGAGTGCACTCTGTATTAAAAGACAAGTTAATGATTGTGGTTTTCGTGTGTGCTGCTTTAGTTGCTCTTAATGCCAGTTAAGCCCACAACAAAGTACGCACTTTGTTAACATTTAAAAGCCAGCAATAAAGACAACGGCACATGCTGCCCTCTGTGCCACGCCCCCATTCCACCCATCGCCCACAAATGCAGCTGAGACCCCGTATTTTTATTGTTGTTTGGACTTAACCCTTTTTTTTGCTGTCTCGAAAGTGTGTGTGTGTGTGTGTGTTTAATGTCTGGTGGTCAAAAAAGTTAACGCACACGTTCGCAAATATGCTGTCGTAAGCTAATAGTGCATGTGTGCTAACTTTTTTTAGCACTGTGCCAGGGGATATGGTAAAAGGAGCAAACAAATAAGGTTGAGCAAAAGAAAAAAGGATTGTCAAGATTAATTCAATTATATATCAAGACGGTTTTTTATTCACATTTGTACGGAATGAAAATGGGGAAAAAATATCTGCGTAAATGTTGAATAGCTAACAATTTTATAAGACGCCTATCGAAGTTTAGAAAAGTTTACAGCGCTTGTAACTGAATAGTTTTTTTAGTCTACAACATATTTCAAACTATTCCGCATAAACGATTCTAGAAGAAAAGCAAACAAAAAGTTGGAAAGTTTTCCATTTCAATAGCAACATGTCCTGGACTCAGCTGGCTGGCTTTTGTTTCCCTTCGCTTGAGCTCGAACAAATTAAAAGCGATGGCCAGCTTCATCCTGCGGGATCCGCCGCATTCTACCATTATAACGTAACCACAACATTTATGAAAACTATTTGCAGAACTCAAAGCAAAGCGCAGCAGAAAACAGATTGTATTAAAAACAAATACAAGGGGGGGTTTGTGGGTGAAAGTGGGTGGCTGCCAAAGGAACTGCCCGCCAGTTATACAAGATGTTTATAAAAAGGCCCTTCCAAGCACGTTCTTACCCAAGAGTGCAAACAAATAAGCAAACAGGAAGTGAAACAGGAACCAGAAGCAGGACGCCTTCCGACATGACTTTCTTCGTGGGGAAGAGAGGTCAGAGGTCAGAAGCACTACACAGGAAAGAATAATAATATAATTGGTTTGGAGATTACTTTTCGTATCCTAAATTTATATACTTTTTCAATTCTATTTATTTAATTTTTCCACCTATTCTAAAAACAGGTGATCAGAAAAAGGATATGTAATGGTTTCAACAATTGAAAAACTATTTTCTTTGTGTTTTAATAGCAGTAGCTGCAGTAGAAAAAATCTCAAATTGAAAAAGCAGATAAGTAGCAGGCGCTGCACCGCTCTCCCCACTTTCTCTTTACTTTCTCGCGAAAGAGCGGAGAAATGCGGAGAGAGAGAATGGCAAATAAAAATCAGGGAACCCGTTCGTGCTCCTGTCAAGGCGATTGCTCCCCTTTCCAAGGGTCCTTGCCCCAATCGCCCTGGTCCATGGATTCCATCGCCTGGCTACATTGTTAACCCTGCAAGTTATGCATTCTTAATTTAATCGCTGGAATTGACTCTCCAGAGCCAGCTTCCACTGGCTTAGCGGCCGGCTATTTTCCCGGTCTCCGTTTTCCATTTTCTCGACGGCGGGAACTTGCAGCAGAGATTAGGCATATATCATGCGATTATATTGCATAGTTTGCATTGCCCAATGACTCGGAAATCGCCTTTTCTTGCCCCAAACTCAGCGGCGAGATTAAGTTGCAGACAATCTCTGGGGAAAAGCGGGAAAATCGCGGGATTCTCAGGCAGTCAACGGAATGAAAAGGGTGCATGCTAATAGTTTCAAACGAATAAAGTTCGGGCCACCAGATGGCGATGATATTGAAGTCGAGGAGTTCCCTGCCACTTCAAGGCACGCAAACTTTTATGATTTATAATAAGTACATTTTTCTGGACTTGAAAAAGGGTTGGCAGAAGTTAAAATATAGTTCAAGTTACTCGAAACATCAGGCCAACCACGGCTATAGCGTTGATCACTTTGCCGATATTAACGTTGTTTGCCAAAAGGAAAACAATTTCGCTTCGCCGAATGCCAAAGTAAATGTCAATGGCTAGATACTTCAACTGGGGTGAAAGCTGGAAGTGACTTTAGAATAGGAGATCGCTGTACTTATTGGAAATGATAACAGTTCACGGAAATTACTACAGAAGAATCTTAAAGAATAGTTTCATAAAAAAACGAGTTTTGGTTTTCTTAGATACATTTATTTGTGATTTACCTTTTTTTTAGGTTCAATGATTTAATTTATTGCTCAGGACCGCTTTAAACGCTTATAATAACTATAATTTAGATAATTTTTTTATTCTTTCAAATTCTTCTGAAGAAAACAACTTAAACCAATCCAAAATCCATTTTAATGATTTATTTTTCTTTTACTGATTGTTATTTTGTTTGTTTTTTCCGGTTTCTTTTTTAAAATAATCATCTAAATATATTTAGTGGCATTTAAAATCCAGTTCCGGAAAGAAGGGATGCCTGCGAAGGCTGAAGAGCTATGGCAAAGTCTTGAAGCAAATGAGGCAACACCGACAAGTTGCTGGTCAACAACCAAGGGTCCACCAGAATCGGAGGAACAAGTCGATTGTCCAGGAGAATAGACACAAATGTTATCATCCGTGGCTTCCAGAAATTCCCGACAATTTGGGACAATAGGAATGAGTATGCTTCTAAGATGATCACGATGTTTCTGTATTATTAAATCTATATCGGGTGAAATGAGTTTCGTTGCTCCCCAACCAGAAGCCATCGCAAGAGTCCCAGGTAGCGGATTTTTTTTGGCTAAGGGGATCGGCTGCACTTTGCTTGAGAACGCAAGGAAATCACTCAATCGCATCACAGCAACGTCGTTTGCAAATTTAGGGTTGTTATACTCCTCGTGTGATTTAATTGCTTTCACATTGATTAGACTCCCGTCGCGGTCTTTAAGTGAGGATCCTACGCGAACTTGGAAGTATTCAGCTCCAAGTTCTACTCCTCCGGCAGCAAAACGGCAGTGAGCAGCAGTGATGATAATGTCCTTGCTGTAAATAGAACCACCACAACGATGTTTTCCTAGAAATTGTAAGGACACCTGCCACGGAGCATCTTCAATTTCAATATTTTTTCCACCGATGATGCGTTCTTCCGGCTGGGGAAGTCGTCCTGCGGACAGGAAGCTGATGGCCGACAGCAGAAGAATGCACTTGATAAACATCTTGACTTGCTTGGTTTGAACTAAGGACTTCAATGTTTTCAAAACCAGTATAGAAAGTCTTTTATAGGCCACGAATGACATTTTTTTGACCCATTATTAATTAAGGTTGTGTCTTATCCACATTGCACCTTAAAGATAAGAAAATTAAAAAATACCAAATGAAACTGAAAGAAGTTATTCCCTAGCAATTATTTAAAGGTATTTCTAGGTACAACCCTTCGCCTCATGCAACTAGAAAAGCTAATTATTTTGTTTTCCAATTTACTGACTATAGAAAGTAAACAGTACAAGAAATTACTAAAAACGAATTTAATGATAAATTCAGAAATGCAATCACGTACCAAAACCTAATCTGTTGGAAAACCAATTGTTTTTAACTTTTAAAATTTAATCAAAAACAAGAAAGGAAGCTAGCTTCGGCAAGCCGAACAAAATAAATAAAGGCTAAACAGTATCGAAACTATAATATTTTTAATAATTTTCCATATTTTCGAATATTGTTCATATGGCATCTATATGATATAGTCGTCTGATTTTGATGAAATTTAATTTGGTATTCAAGAGTCGTTAGAAAACTCTATATTCCAAAAATCATGCTTGTCTGATGAAAAGCAACGATGTTATAATTTTATTTCCGTTATATCTATATAGATTTATCGATCTTTCCTTTTTATATACTCTTGCAGAGCAGAGAGGAGACACCTCATATATTTGATCGGCATCACGATCAGAATCGAAATTCGTCTGTCCGTCTGCCCTCCTGTCTGTTTCCATGTAAACTACTCTCTCAGTTTTGAAGCTATCTTGCTTCCCAAAAGTTGTATAGTTATTGCACGCAGTATATAAGTCAGAACAGGCCGGATCGGTCGACTATATCAAATAGCTCCCATACGAGAGAGTTGTTTTTAATCCCACGAGCATGATTTTCAAAATATGGAGTTTTTAATAACCCTTGAATCGAGAACAAATTTCATTATAATTCAACAACGTTATCATATAGCTGTCATAGGAAAGATCGAAAAATCTGTATAAAAATAACAAAAATAAAACTATGAAAAAAAAATTATAACAATTAAAAAATTGTTTTTATACAGACAAGTATGGTTTTTGGAATATCGAGCTTCAAACGACTCTTGAATATCGAATTAAATTTCACCAAAATCCGACGACTACATCATATACATACATGTATCTGTCATATGAACAATAGTCTTAAAATTTGGAAAATTAATAGTAAAATTGACATGGCTTCGATGTTGCTTAGCCTTTATGTATTTTGTTCGACATATTTGATAATTGCAAGGGTATATAAGCTTTGGTTTTCATCTTCATCTCTTGTTTTTTTTAAACATTTTTATAATGTGACCCCTGGAAAAAATCCATAAAATGACAATTTTGAAACACGTCCAAAATTCTACACTTGAAAACCCATAACTTCCCTAATTCAAGGTCGATTTTGGATTGGTATACATCTAAATGCTTTTGAAGCAATTCTCTAAAAACCTGCGTCTTTAGTTTCAAACGATTAAAGTTTGGGCCACCAGATGGCGATGAAACTTAAATCGAGGAGTTCCTTGCCACTTCAAGGCATTCAAACTTTTATAATTTATAATATGTACATTTTTCTAGACTTGAAAAAGGGTTGACAGAAATTAGAATATAGTTCAAGTTATTCGAAACATCAGGCTAACCACAGCTAAAGCGTTGATCACTTTGCCGATATTAACCTTGTTTTCCAAAAGGAAAACAATTTCGCTTCACCGAATGTCAAAGAAAAATTTTAATGGCTAGATACTCCAATTGGGGTGAAAGTTGGAAGTGACTAGGTGATCGCTGTGTTTATTGGAAAAGTAAACAGTTCACAGAAATTACTACACAAGAGTTTTCATAAAAAAACGAGTTTTGGTTCCCTTGGATACATTTATTTTTGATTTTTTAAATATGTTGAACGATTGACTTTTTACTTTTTACTGATTGTTTTTTTTTTTTTTTTTTGCGGTTTCTTTTTAAAGATGAACATCTAAATTAAATCAATGGCATTTAAAATCCAGTTTCTGAAAAATGGAATTCCTGCGAAGGCTGCAAAGCCATTGCAAAGACTAGGAGAAAATGAGGTAACACCGACAAGTTGATGGTTAACAACCAAAGGTCCACCAGTATCGCCGGAACAAGTCGATTGTCCAGGAAAATAGACACAAATGTTATCCTCATTGGTGTCCTTATATTCCCGACAATTTCGAATAGGAAGGAGTGTGCTTTTAAGACGTTCACGATAATCCTCTACTATCACTTGTATATAGGATGAAATAAATCCACGGGTGACACTCACTGCTCCCCAACCAGAAGTCATCGCAAAAGTCCCGGCTGTCGGATTTCTTTCGGCTAAGGGAATCGGCTGCACTTTGCTCGAGAACTCAAGTGACTCACTCAATCGCATCACAGCAATGTCGTTTGTAAATGTTGTGTGCTTAAACTTTTCGTGTGATTTAATTGCTTTCACTTTGATTAGAGTCCCGTTGCTGCTTGTCAGTGAGGATCCTACGCGAACTTGAAAATCTTCGGCTTTAAGTTCTACTCCTTCTTCGGTAAAGCGGCAGTGGGCAGCAGTGATGATAATGTCCTTGCTGTAAATAGAGCCACCACAACAATGTTCTCCCTCTATTTGTAAGGACACCTGCCACGGGGCATCTTCTATTTCAAAATCTATTCCACCGATGATGCGTTCTTCCGGTTGGGGAACTCGTCCTGCGGACAGGAAGTTGATTGCCGACAGCAGAAGAAAACACTCGATGAACATCTCGACCAGCTTGGTTTAAACTTAAGGCTTCAATGATTTCAATACCGGTAGGGAAAGGCTTTTATAGGCCACGAATGACATTCTTTTTACCCATTATTAATTAAGGTTGTGCCTAATTTACATTGCCACCTTAAAGATAAGAAAATTAAAAAATACCAAATGAAACTTAAAGAAGTTATTCCCTAGCAATTATTTAAAGGTATTTCTAGGTACAACCCTTCGCCCATGGCGTTTTCTAACTACTATTAACTTTCGGATTAAATTTTATCAAAATCGGATAACTCTATCATACCTATAGCTGCCATAGGAAAGATCGAAAAATATATATATGTATAAATAATGAAAGAAAAAAATTATAACGTCGTTGTTTTTAATTCCAAGAATTTCATTAAAATCCGACAACGTTATCATATAGCTGCCATAGAAAAGATCGGATTATCTATATAGAAATAAAGGAAATGAAATTATAAAATTCTAACATCGTTGTTTTTAATCAGACAAGCATGCTTTTTGGAATATCGAGTTTTCAAATGACTCTTGAATAACGAATTAAATATCATTAAAATTGGACGACTAGCTCGCTATATAATAAGCTGTCATATGAACAATAGTCGAAAATATGAAAAATCAATATTAAAATCGTCAAAGCTTGGATGTTGTTTAGCCTTTAAGTATTTTGTTCGACATATTTGATGACTGCAAGGGTATATAAGCTGTGGCTTGCCGAAGCTAGCTTCCTTTCTTGTTTGTTTACATTTTTATAATGTGACCCCTGCAAAAATTCGGTAAAATGGCCTTTTTGAAAAACGTCCGAATTCCAAACTCGAAAACCCATAACTTCCCTAATTTAAGTTCGGTTTTGAATTGGTATACCTCTAAATGCTTGTGAAGCAATTCTCTAAAAAACTGCGTCCTTAGTTTCAAACGAATAAAGTTCGGGCCACCAGATGGCGATGATATTGAAACCGAGGAGTTCCCGGCCACTTCAAGGAATGCAAACTTTTATGATTTATAATATGTACTTTTTTCTGGACTTGAAAAAGGGTTGGCAGAAATTAAAATATAGTTCAAGTTATTCGAAACTTCAGGCCAACCAACGGCTACAGCGTTGATCACTTTGCCAATATTAATGTTGTTTTTGATAAGGACAACAATTTCGATTCCCCAAATGTATTTTAAGAATAGTTAAAAAAAAACGAGTTTTATTTTTGAATTACTTTTTTTTAAATAGGTAAAATGATTTATAACTATGATTTAGGTATTTTTTTTTATTCGTTAAAATTCTTCTGAAGAAAATACAGTCGAACCAAGACAAAATCCCTTTTAATGACTTACTTTTTACTCTACTTCTTACTTTTCTTTTACTTTTAATTTTATTTTTTACTGATTGTTGTTTTTTGCCTTTTTGCGGGTTATTTTCAAAGATGAAAACCTAAATAAATTTAATAGCATTTAAAATCCAGTTCCGGTAATAAGGGATGCTTGCGAAGGCCGCAAAGCCTTTGCAAAGAGAAGGACCAAATGAGGTAACACCGACAAGTTGCTGGTCAACAACCAAAGGTCCACCAGAGTCGCCAGTACAAGTCGATTGTCCAGGAGTTTTCACACAAATGTTATCCTCAGTGGCGTCCTGATATTCCCGACAATTTATAATATCAAGACGTGTGCCTCTAAGATGTTCAGGATGGTCCCTTATTATCCATACTTCAGGAGGTGAAATTGAAAGATCCTCTCTCACTGCCATTGCTCCCCAACCAGAAGCCATTGCAAGACTCCCAGGTAGCGGATTTTTTTCGGCTAAGGGGATCGGCTGCACTTTGTTTGAGAACTCAAGTGACTCACTCAATCGCATCACAGCAATGTCTTTTCCATTTGTAACGTTTTTATACTCCTCGTGTGATATAATTGCTTCTACTTGGATAAGAGTCCCGTCGCTGCTTTTCAGTGAAGATCCTACGCGAACTTGGAAGTATTCAGCTCCAAGTTCTACTCCTCCGTCAGCAAAACGGCAGTGAGCAGCAGTGATGATAATGTCCTTGCTGTAAATAGAACCACCACAACAATGTTTTCCTAGATGTTGTAAGGACACTTGCCACGGAGCATATTCTATTTTAATATTTTTTCCACCGATGATGCGTTCTTCCGGTTGGGGAACTCGTCCTGCGGACAGGAAGTTGATTGCCGACAGCAGCAGAAAGCACCTGAAGAACATCTCGACTTGCTTGGTTTAAACTAAGGACTTCAATGTTTTTAAAACTAGTAGAGAAAGTCTTTTATAGGCTCCGAATGACATTCTTTTTAACCCATTACTAATTAAGGTTGTGCCTAATTTACATGGCCACCTTAAAGATAAGAAAATTGAAAAATACCAATTGAAACTGAAGGAAGTTATCCTCTAGCAATTATTTGAAGTTATTTCTCGGTACGATCCTACGCTTCATGCAACTAGAAATTCAAATTATTTTGTTTTCCAATTTACTGACTATAGAAAGTAAGCATTACAAGAAATTACCAAACAAAAATTTTAATAATAAGTAACGAAATGCAACCACATCAATTGGAAAATTTAATAAAAAAAAAAGTAAAAAAATAATATATGTTCTCTACCAAATTATCTCTTTGGTATTTTTTTAATTGGTTTGTTCGGGAGCATGCTTCTAACAAAGAATTAAAATAAAGACAAACACTGTGATAAAGGCCCGAAGGCCTTTATCACTTTACTGTAATTGTAAAATATAAAATTTATTAATATTGCATCTATTCAATTTTTTCGGGACTGAAGTCGTTGAACAGCACCCAATATCCAGGGTTTCAGCTGGGCCACATCGGCATAGACGCCGGGGTAGTCGGGATGGCCACTTCATCAGCTGAAAATGATGTTTGCCAATCCATTTTTTGACAATTGAGTTTGAGTTTATGCGTGTTTTTTTTGGTTTTTTCTTTCTAACTCTTAGAATTCACCTTATATGATATGAAAATAATAAACATAAAAAAATGTATTTTATTATCTCGTACCGTTCCGTTTTTATGGACGATGAAAGTCAGTTTCGCGAACATGCACTCACGTTTGCTCGCCAATGTAAGTCGGAACGGGCCGGATCGGGCCGGATCGGGCGACTATATTATCCCATACGAGATAATGAAGTTAAAAATTCTCACGACGTCGTTTTTGATCAGATCGTTTGATTTTTTCCAGATGGCGTTTTCTAACTACTATTGAATTTCGGATTAAATTTTATCGAAATCGGATAACTTTGTCATATAGCTATCATAGGAATAATCGAAAAATATATAGGGGAGAGTGGTCCCATACCGACCGGTCGTACCATACCGACCCCCCCATGTTTCTCAGAGATGGCGATGCTAGCCGAATTGTCGGTAACTTCAGTGAAAAGCTGTTATAACACAGACATTTTGGAGATAGATAGCCAATTTGACTTCTTTTGTTTTACTGCAATTTTTCCGTTTGTTTTGTTTCAACGCCTGTGACAATCATTTTTTTTTCTTTTCTGAACTTGAGCTTAAATATTTTTAAAATTTTTTTCTCCGCATAAAAATCGGAGGGTAAGGTTTTCTGATAGTTGATAGTCATAGCTGTCATTCACACTATTAGAATAACATCGCTCTTTGCGTCATTAGATAATGGCGAGCAGTTAATTAGAAAAGGTTGTGGTGGTCCGAAACCGACCGCAAAGTGATGGTCCGAAACCGACCCCCATTTATTGGCAGCTTAATATGTCATAGCGTATTTTTGAGGGAAAATATGAAAAAGTAAACAAGATTCAGTAAAGAAAAGTAACAGAAACAGCAAAAACATCAGAAGAAAGCGAAGAGACAGTCATCAACGAGCGGCTTTCGAAAAACAACGCGAAAACAACGCGAAAACTTACTATGAGAAAGAGGACAACTCAGACTACATCAATTGACTACAGTGCCCTTTATTTCATACATTAATTTTTATTTTCTGGAAAGAACCTTCAATATATTTCTTAATAAACGTCAAAATCATTAAATTCTATTTTATGTTATTAAATTTTTCTGTTAAGAAAGTGGAGTTTTATAATTGCCTGAATATCTAACGCTTCAAAGCACCTACGCACTTACTAATTAGATGTATAGTAAACTGATCCCTCTACATAGTAAATTTTTGAATTGAACTGAAAAATTAATTTTTCTCACCTTTATCGCCTTTGCCATTTAGGGGGTCGGTATCGGGCCACCCGCCCCTACATATTTATAATGGAAAAAAAATTATAACGTCGTTGTTTTTAACCCCACGAGCATGATTTTCAAAATGTGGAGTTTTTTAATAACCCTTGAATCGAGAAAAAAATTTCATTAAAATCCGACAACGTTATGATGATGGCGATGATATTGAAATCGAGGAGTTCCCTGCCACTTCAAGGCATGCAAACTTTTATGATTTAGGCTAAACTTTTCTGTTCCAAGTAGATTAACCAGAAATTACAACCCCCTTATTTTAAATCAATGTAGATCTAACCACGAACTGCACGATCCTTACAGAGTATTATATTCTGACTATAATAGACTTTATCCTATTATATCAATTTCTGACTCTCTGCCGCTTTTAAAACGATCTCTTCTAACTTCTTTAGCTCATAATTAGATCTAATTGTGTTCCTTCTAACTTTCCTCGGGCTTTTCTTATTTTTCTAAGTCGCGACTCTTTTCTCGCGAACCGAGCCGTACGATACACGGCAGCGCCCCTCTGTCGGTTGGGCGGGAGGTTGTGGCCGTGGGATACGCGCGCAAAAAAAAAAAAAAAATAATATAATATGTAAATTTTTCTGGACTTGAAAAAGGGTTGGCAGAAATTAAAATATAGTTCATGTTATTCCAAACGTCAGGCCAACCAACGTCTGTAGCGTTGATCATTTTGCTGATATTAATGTTGTTTTCCATAAGAAGTTTTTCTTATGGAAATTTCCATTCGCCAAATGTCAAAGTAAAATTTCAATGGCCAAACACTTTAACTGGGGTTAAAGTTGGAAGTGACTTTAGAACAGGTGATCGCTGTACTTATTGGAAATGTTAATAGTTCACGGAAATTACCCAAGAGTTTTAAAGAATAGTTTCATAAAATAACTAGTTTTGGTTTTCTTAGATAAATTTATTTTCGATTTACTTTTTTTTAAATAGGTTGAATGATTTCATTTATTCCTCAGCACCGCTTAAAACGCTTATAATAACTATAAATTAGTTAATTTTTATTCTTTAAAATTCTTCTGAAAAAAACACACTCGAACCAAGACAAAATTCATTTTAATGATTTCCTTTTTACTTGTTGTTTTTTATTTTTTGCGTCTTTTTTTAAAGATGAACATCTAAATAACTTTAATGGCATTTAAAATCCAGTTCCGGAAAGAAGGGATGCCTGCGAAGGCTGAAGTGTTATTGCAAACTTTTGAACCAAATGAGGTAACACCGACAAGTTGCTGGTCAACAACCAAAGGTCCACCAGAGTCGCCCATACAAGTCGATTGTCCAGGAGTATTGACACAAATGTTATCCTCAGTGGCGTCCTGATATTCCCGACAATTTATAATACGAAGGAGTGTGCTTTGAAGATGTTCAGGATGTTCCTTGTCTACCCATACTATAGGAAGTGAATGATCTTTTGTCACTGTCACTGTCACTGCTCCCCAACCAGAAGCCATCGCAAGACTCTCAGGTAGCGGATTTTTTTCGGCTAAGGGGATCGGCTGCACTTTGCTTGAGAACTCAAGTGACTCACTCAATCGCATCACAGCAATGTCGTTTACAATTGTAAGGTTGTTATACTTCTCGTGTGACTTAATTGCTTCTACTTGGATGAGAGTCCCGTCGCTGCTTTTCAGTGAGGATCCTACGCGAACTTGAAAATCTTCGGCTTTAAGTTCTACTCCTTTATCTAATAAGCAGTGGGCAGCAGTGATGATAATGTCCTTGCTGTAAATAGAACCACCACAACGATGTTTTCCTAGAAATTGTAAGGACACCTGCCACGGAGCATCTTCAATTTCAATATTTTTTCCACCGAGGATGCGTTCTTCCGGCTGGGGAAGTCGTCCTGCGGACAGGAAGTTGATGGCCGACAGCAGAAGAATGCACTTGATGAACATCTTGACTTGCTTGGTTTGAACTAAGGACTTCAATGTTTTCAAAACCAGTATAGAAAGTCTTTTATAGGCCACGAATGACATTTTTTTTAACCTTTTATTATTAAGGTTGTGTCTTATCCACATTGCACCTTAAAGATAAGAAAATTGAAAAATGCCAATTGAAACTGAAAGAAGTTATCCTCTAGCAATTATTTCAGGGTTTTTCAGGTACAATTCTACGCCTCATGCAACTAGAAATGCTAATTATTTTGTTTTCCAATTTACTGACTATAGAAAGTAAGCAGTACAAGAAATTACTAAACAAGAATTTTAATGGTAAATTCAGAAATGCAACTAAACCTAATCAGTTGAAAAACCATTTGTTTTTAACTTTTAAAATATAATCGAAAAAAATAATATATACACTCTATCAAATAATCTCTTTGGTATTTTTTTAATTTGTTTGTTTGCGAGAATGTTTCCAACTTTCAATTAAGATTAAGACAAACACACTGAAAAGGTTTTAATCCCCAAAGGCCTTTATCGCTTTATTGTAATTGTAAAATATAAAATGTATTTACATTGCATTTATTTATTCAATTTTTTCGGGACTGAAGTCGTTGGACAGCACCCAATATCCAGGGTTTTAGCTGGGCCACATCGGCATAGACGCCGGGGTAGTCGGGATGAGCACATTTCATTCCGAAGGACACGATGCCCACCAGACTGCCGTTGGAGACCAAGGGACCCCCCGAGTCCCCGGAGCAAGCATCCTTTCCCGGGGCGGCGGCGCAGATCATGTCCTTGGTGAGGACTTGGCCGTACGAGCCGAGGCACCTCTGCTTATCCACGATGTCCACTTCGACCTCGAGCAGCGATTGGGACGTTGGCTTCTCATGCCCAATGGCTCCCCATCCGAAGACCGAGGCGGAAGATCCCGCTTTCGGGGTGCTGTCCGCCAAGGGAATGGATCTCACACTGCTGCCCAATTTGAGGCTAGTGCGAAGCTGCAGGACGGCTATATCGTTGGAAAAGCTCGGGCCGAAGTCCTCGTGGGCCAGGATCTGGGATACCCGCACCACCTGGCCACCGACGGTGGTGAAGGTGGAGCCCACTCTCACGGAGTAGATGCCGGGGAACGAGTTTCGAACGCAGTGGGCTGCCGTTATGACGAGGTCTTCACTGTAGATGGCGGCACCGCACCAATGACGGCCGAACTTCAGCAGGGAAGCCTGCCAGGGAACCGATTGAATCGATACAGTGTGCCCTCCCACGATGCGCCCCGGAATCCCTTTGGAGGAAACTAGCGTTACGCTGGAGACCAGGAAAATCCAGTGAACGAACATTTCGAACTGTGTTTATGGCCAAGAGTGATTTTAACCAAGACTAACTTCTCTTTTATAAGTTGCCCTAGCTAAAACTTAATCTAAAGAATTTTAATGGAAACTGTTCAAACTAAAATGAATAACTAAAAGTAAAAATGACAACTTGAGGCAATCTCGTTACATATTTAAACCAACTTATATTTTTAGAACACGACCATATTAAAATTTCGCTTCGCCGAATGTCAAGAAAAAATTTCAATGGCTAAACACTTCAACTGGGGTTAAATTTGGAAGTGACTTCAGAAAAGGTGATCGCTGAACTTATTGGAAAAGTAAGAAGTTTACGAAAGTTACTACCCAAAAGTCTAAGGAAACCAAAACTCGTTTTTTATAAAAATTTATTTTCGACTTACTTTTTTTTAAACTGGTAAAATGATTAAAATAATTCCTCAGCACCACTTAAAACGCTTATAATAAGAAAAATTTAGTTAATTTTTTTATTCTTTAAAATTAAAAAACACCCTTGAACAAACCAAAAATCCATTTTAATGATTTACTTTTTACATTTACTTTACTTTGACTTTTACTTTTTACTGATTGTTGTTTTTTGCGGTGTCTTTTTAAAGATAAACATCTAAATAAACTTAGTGGCATTTAAAATCCAGTTCCGGAAAGAAGGGATACCTGCGAAGGCCGCGAAGCCATCGCAAAAAGCAGGAGCAAATGAGGTAACACCGACAAGTTGGTGGTCAACAACCAAAGGTCCACCAGAATCGGCGGAACAAGCCGATTGTTCGAATGAATGGCCACAAACGTTATCATCAGTGGTGTTACGATATTGCAAACAGTTTTGAATATTAAGGTGTGCGCTTTGAAGTTGTTCGGGATATAATTTTATTGCGTATTCCTCTCCAAAAGGTATTACTTTCCATGCTCCCCAACCAGTAGTGATCGCAAGAGTTCCACGTGACGGATTTCTTTTGGCTAAGGGGATCGCCTGCACTTTGCTTGAGAACTCGAGTGGCTCACTTAGTCGCATTACAGCAATGTCGTTTGCAAATTTCGGGTTGTTATACTTCTCGTGTGATATAATTGCTTTCACTTTGATTAGAGTCCCTTTGCTGTTTTTCAGTGCGGATCCTACGCGAACTTGAAAGTGTTTGGGTTCAAGTCTTTCTTCTCCTGTTTCATTAAAGCGGCAGTGAGCAGCAGTGATTATAATGTCCTTGCTGTAAATAGAGCCACCACAATAATGTTGTTCTCTAAATTGTATGGACACCTGCCACGGAGCTTCTTCTATTTCAACATCTTTTCCACCGATGATGCGTTCTTCCGGTTGGGGAGCTCGTCCTGCGGACAGGAAGTTGATTGCCAATAGCAGAAGAAAGCACTTGACGAACATCTTGACTCGCTTGGTTGGAACTGTAGACTTCAATGTTTTCACAACCGGCAGAGAAAGGTTTTTATAGGCCACGATTGACATTCTTTTTTATCCACTATTAATTAAGGTTGTCCTAATTTACATTGCCACCTTAAAGATAAGAAAATTGAAAAATACCAAATGAAACTAAAAGATTCTCTAGCAATTATTTCAAAGTATTTCTAATTACAATCCTTCGCCCATGCAACTAGAAATTCAAATACTTTTTGTTTTCCAATTCACTGACTATAGAAAGTAAGCATTACAAGAAATTACCGAACAAGAATTTCAATGATAAATTCAAAAATGCAATCACGTAAAGAAACTCAATCAGTTGGAAAACAAATTGTTTTTAACTTTTAAAATTTAATCAAAAAAAGTAATATATGTTTTCTACCAAATAATCTTTGGTATTTTTTAATTTGTTTTTTTGCGCAAATGCATCTAACAAACAAATAGGATAAAGACAAAAACACTGAAAAGTTATAAATCCCCGAAGGTCTTTATCACTTTATTGTAATTGTAAAATGCACAATTTTCTTTAGATTGCATTTATTTATTCTACTTTTTCGGGACTGAAGTCGTAGAACAGCACGGATACGCTGGAGATCAGGAAAATCCAGTGAATGAACATTTCGAACTGTGCTTATGGCCAAGAGTGATTTTAACCAAAACTAACTTCTCTTTTATACATAAGTTGCCCTAGCTAAAACTTTATCTTAAGAATGTTAATGGAAATTGTTCAAACTAAAATAAAAATGACAACTTGAGGCAATCTCGTTACAACATTAAGCCAACTTATATTTTTAGAAGACGACCTTATTAAAATTTCGCTTCTCCGATTGTCAAAGTAAAATTCCAATGGCTAAACACTTCAACTGGGGTTAAAGTTGGAAGTGACTTTAGAATAGGTGATCGCTGTACTTATTGGAAATTACTACTACTTATTCTCGGAAATTACTAAATAAGAATTTTAAAAATTGTTTCATAAAAAAACGAGTTTTGGTATCCTTAGACACATTTATTTTCGATTTGATTTTTTTTTTTTAATAGGTGAATAATTTAATTTATTCCTCAGCACCGCTTATAACGCGTATAATAACTATAATTTAGGTAATTTTTTTATTCTTTAAAATTCTTCTAAAGAAAACACACTCGAACCGAGCCAAAATCCATTTTAATGATTTACTTCTTACTATTACTTTTCTTTTACTTTACTTTTACTTTACACTTACTTTACTTTTACTTTTACTTCTTACTGATTGTTGTTAGTTTTTTGCGGTTTCTTTTTAAAGATGAACATCTAAATAAATTCAATGGCATTTAAAATCCAGTTTCGGAAAAAAGGGACACTTGCGAAACCTGATACGTTATCGCACAATGTCTCAGCAAATGAGGTAACACCGACAAGTTGATTGTCAACAACCAAAGGTCCACCAGAGTCAGCGGAACAAACCGATTGTCCAGGAGAATAGACACAAATGTTATCCTTAGTGATGCCCTTATATTCCCGACAACTTTTAACAGATAGGAGTGTGCTTTTAAGACGATCACGATGTTCCTGTATTATCAAATCTACAGAAGGTGAAGTTTGTGAATGCTTTACTTTCACTGCTCCCCAACCAGAAGTCATCGCAAGAGTCTCAGGTAGCGGATTATTTTTGGCTAAGGGGATCGCCTGCACTTTGCTGGAGAACTCAAGCGGCTCACTTAGTCGCATTACAGCAATGTCGTTTTCAAATTTGTGATGTACATAGTACTCGTGTGATTTAATTGCTGCCACTTTGATTAGAGTCCCGTTGCGGTTTTTCAATGAGGATCCTACGCGAACTTGCAAGTGTTCGGCTTCAAGTTTTTTGCCGTCGTCGTCAAAACAGCAGTGGGCAGCAGTGATGATAATGTCCTTGCTGTAAATGGAGCCACCACAATAATGTTCTCCTTTTTCTTGTAAGGACACCTGCCACGGAGCATCTTCTATTTCAATATTTTTTCCACCGATGATGCGTTCTTCCGGTTGGGGAACTCGTCCTGCGGACAGGAAGTTGATTGCCAACAGCAGAAGAAAGCTCTTGATGAACATCTTGACTCGCTTGGTTGGAACTATAGACTTCAATATTTTCATAACCGGCAGATGAAGGCTTTTATAGGTCTCGAATGACATTCTTATGTAACCAATTATTAATTAAGGTTGTGCCTAATTTACATTGCCACCTTAAAGATAAGAAAATTAAAAAATATCAAATGAAATTGAAAGAAGTTATTCCCTAGCAATTATTTAAAGGTATTTCTAGGTACAACACTACGCCTCATGCAACGAGAAATTTAAAGTATTTTGTTTTTCAATTTACTGACTATAGAAAATAAGCAGTACTAGAAATTACTAAACAAGAATTTTAATGCTAAATTCAGAAATGCAACCACATCAGTTGGAAAACCAATTGTTTTTATACCCTGGCAGGGCAATTGGTATTATAATTTCAGTCAGAAGTTTGCAACGCAGTGAAGGAGACACCTCAGACCACATAAAGTATATATGTATATTCTTGATCAGCATCACGATCAGAATCCAAATACGTCTGTACGTCTTTCCGTCTGTCAGTCTGTCTGTTTCTCTTCAAACTAGTCTCTCAGTTTTAAATTGTGTAGTTATTGCACGCAGTATATAAGTCGGAACGAGCCGGATCGGCCGACTATATCGGATAGTTCCAATACGAGAAATAAAAAATTCTCACGCCTTTGTTTTTAATCAGATCGACTTGATTTCTTCATATGGCGTTGTTTAACCACTATTGAATTTCGGTTTAAATTTTATCAAAATCGGATAACTCTATCATATAGCTGCCATTGGAAAGATATATAAAATATAAATAATGGAAAAAATTATACTATCGTTGTTTTTAATCCCATTAGCATGATTTTCAAAGTATGAATTTTTTTTAATAATCCTTGAATCGAGAAAAAAATTGCATTAAAATCCGACAACGATATCATATACATAGCTGCCATAGGAAAGATCGTGAAATCTGTATAGAAATAACGCAAATAAAATGATAACATCGTTGTTTTTCATCAGACAAGCATGATTTATGGAGTATAGAGTTTTCTAACGACTCTAGAATACCGAATTAAATTTATCAAAATCGTATATCATATAGCCGTCATTTGAACAATATGGAAAATTAATAGAAAAATCTTCATAGCTGCAAGGGTATATAAGCTTCGGCTTGCCGAAGCTAGCTTCCTTTCTTTTTTTTTTTTAAACCCACTTGAACAACCCCAAAATCCATTTTAATAATTTACTTTTTAATTTAACTTTTACTTTTTACTGATTGTTGTTTTTTGTTTTTTTGCGTTTTTTTTTAAGATTACAATCTAAATAAATTTAGTGGCATTAAAAATCCAGTTCCGGAAATAAGGGACACTTGCGAAGGCTGAAAAGTCATCGCAATAAGGTGGACCAAATGAGGTCACACCGACAAGTTGCTGGTCAACAACCAAAGGTCCACCAGAATCGCCGGAACAAGTTGATTGTCCTTTAGAATTGACACAAATGTTATCCTCATGGGTGTCATCATCTTCCCGACAATTTTGAATAGGAAGGAGTGTGCTTTTAAGACGTTCACGATGTTCCTCTATTATCAATTCTTTGTTAGGTGAAGTGAATGAATGCTTCAATTTCACTGCTCCCCAACCAGAAGTCATCGCAAGACTCCCAGGTAGCGGATTTCTTTCGGCTAAGGGGATCGGCTGCACTTTGCTTGAGAACTCAAGTGACTCACTCAATCGCATCACAGCAATGTCGTTTGCAATTGTAAGGTTGTTATAGTTCTCGTGTGATATAATTGCTTTCACTTTGATTAGAATCCCGTCGCGGTCCTTCAATGAGGATCCTACGCGAACCTGCAAGTGTTCGGCTTCAAGTTTTACTCCTGTTTCATTAAAGCGGCAGTGGGCAGCAGTGACGATAATGTCCTTGCTGTAAATGGAGCCACCACAATAATGTTCTCCCATTTTTTGTAAGGACACCTGCCACGGAGCATCTTCTATTTCAATATCTTTTCCACCGATGATGCGTTCTTCAGGTTGGAGAACTCGTCCTGCGGACAGCAAGTTGATTGCCGATAGCAGAAGAAAGCACTTGATGAACATACTGACTTGCTTGGTAGGAACTTTAGACTTCAATGTGTTCACAACCGGCAGAGGAAGGCTTTTATAGGCCTCGAATGACATTCTTATGCAACCAATTACTAATTAAGGTTGTCTCTAATTTACATTGCCACCTTAAGATAAGAAAATTGAAAAATACCAAATGAAATTGAAAGAAGTTATTTCCTTGCAATTATTTAAAGGTATTTCTATATAAAACCCTACGCCTCAAGCAACTAGAAATTGCTAATTATTTTGTTTTACAATTTACTGACTATAGAATGTAGGCAGTAAAGGAAATTACGCGATGCGCCCCGGAATCCCATTGGAGAACAAAAAAAAGCTAAGTACATAATTTAGTTTTTTATTAATATTAGTAAAATTTTTTTGATAAAAACATGAAATCATATAAAAAAATTCATTTAAATGAAAACCTTGTTTTGCTGTATTCTTTATAAACATATTGATTTTCTTTTGAAAGTTTAACCTTCAAATAGATTCAATGGCATTTAATATCCAGTTCTGGAAAGAAGGGACACCTGCGAAGGCCACAAAATCATCGCAATAGTCGCCTTGGGTAAATGAGGTAACACCGACAAGTTGCTGGTTAACAACCAAAGGTCCACCAGAGTCGCCAGAACAAGCCGATTTTCCAGTGGTACAAATGTTGTCCTCGGTGGTGAAAGGAAATTGGCGACAGTTTTCAATACGGAGTTGTGCGCCTTGAAGGTGTTCGGGATATTGCATTCCGAAAAATGTAACATAAATTGCTCCCCAACCAGAAGTCATCGCAAGAGTTTCAGGGGTTGGATTCTTTTTGGCTAAGGGGATCGCCTGCACTTTGCTGGAGAACTCAATCGGCTTACTCAATCGCATCACAGCAATGTCGTTTACTGCTGTAGGTTTGAAAAACTTATCGTGGGACTTAATTGCTGCTACTGGGATGAGAGTCCCTTTGCTGTTTTTCATTGAGGATCCTACGCGAACTTGGTAGTGTTTGGCTTCAATTTGCTTACCATCTAACGTAAAGCAGTGAGCGGCAGTGATGATAATGTCCTTGCTGTAAATAGAGCCACCACAATGGTGTCTTCCACGAAGTTGTATGGACACCTGCCACGGAGCCCCTTCTATTTCAATATCTTTTCCACCGATGATGCGTTCTTCCGGTTGGGGAACTCGTCCTGCGGACAGGAAGTTGATTGCCGACAGCAGAAGAAAGCACTTGATGAACATCTTGACTTGCTTGGTTGGAACTAAAGAATTCAATGTTTTCACTACCGGTAGAGAAAGGCTTTTATAGGCCACCAATGACATTATTTTTTTAACTATTCTTAATTTAGCAAAACGTTGCCATTTTACTTAACCACCTTAGAGATAAGAAAATTGAAAAATACCAAAAGAATCTGAGTTTCAATTATTTATAGGTACAGCCCTTTGACTCATGCATCGAAAAAAGTTCATTATTTTGTTTAACTATTTCTAGAAAACGTATTAATAAAGTACTACTTTAAAAAATCTCTATTTATAACCCGTGCATTCTACATTTTTTTTCAGTGTAAATCTAGTCTGTTTCTTTAAGTCCAAGCCAGGTCATGCATCCTTCACTCCGATCAGGCGGATGCCAATTCAAGTGAGGATGCACTGCATCCTGATCCACACCAAGCAGGAAGCCATCTGTCATTTAAAAGCCCATGCCGAGTTAGGCCATGATGCACTCCATCCGGGAGTGGACTCCAGTAGGAGGAGTAACCAACACACACGCACACATACACACTTCCAGAGACCGGAGAGAGTTTCTTAGAGAAACTGCCGGTCATCCCGGAGAACTGGAGAAAAATACCAAAATCAAGGGGTACCTCACTAAGAATAAACCAGAACCAGTTGGGAATTATAGGCGCAAGAAAACGTTAAAAATTTGTAATTATCATTTTCGATGACGTGGCAATATTAATTTAATAAACATTAAGTTTACGTTTACATTATAATAAATTAACATTATATTTACATTAAATTGACATTATGTTTACATTATATTATATTTCTAATTGCAAATTTTATTTTCAAATATTTTGTATGTGAAAAAATAAAATCGTTGTATAAAAATGAATTTTAATTAAAAGGTTGCTAAAATGATTTAATTAAGGTATAAAGGCATTAGTTAGAACAGCCACCCAGAACCCCATAATAGCCCTCTTCCGCTCAGCCCGCCAATCTGCGATCTATTCATATCGTAAAACACAAATGCAACTGAGACCAGAGCCCCGCCATTCTATTTCCCGCGATGGCGATAGCGGTGCCTTCCTATTCCAGGATATACGCAGCCTGTCAACTTCCGCTTCACCTTTCTACCGCCTCCCGCCCCTCGCCCCTCTTACCACGCCTTCTTTTCACTTTGATGGTGCGCAATGCAATCATACTTTTCTAATATTTACATTTTTAGTTTACTAACTAATCGATCCCTCAAATCAACAAAGAGACGCGATATAAATTTTCAATGTCATATTATTTATTTTCGATGGTAACCGATATATGATCAAACAATTTCAATGGCCTTTAAAATCCAGTTCCGGAAATAGGGAACGCCTGCGAAGGCTGTAAATGTACTGCAATCATTTAGACCCCATGAGGTTACACCGACAAGTTGCTTGTCAACTACCAAAGGTCCTCCAGAGTCGCCGGAACAGGTCGCTTGTCCAACCGAATGGACACAAATGTTTTCCTCAGAGTTGTCAGAAAAATATTTCGAACAACGTTTTACGCGAAGGTCAACGCGTTGAAGATGTTCAGGATATTCTTTCCATGCCTCTCCATTTCCTAAAGGTATTACTCTCACTGCTCCCCAGCCTGTAGTCATCGCAAGAGTTTCAGGAGCCGGATTTTTTCGGCTAAGGGGATCGGCTGCACTTTGTTGGAGAACTCAAGTGGCTCACTTAGTCGCATTACAGCAATGTCGTTTGCAAATTTCGGTTTGTTATACTTCTCGTGTGATTCAATTGCTGCCACATTGATTAGAGTTCCGTCGCGGTTTTTCAATGAGGATCCTACGCGAACTTGAAAGTCTTCAGCTTTAAGTTCTTCCCCTTCTATGGTATAGCGGCAGTGGGCAGCAGTGATGATAATGTTCTTGCTGTAAATGGAGCCACCACAATAATGACGTCCTCGCAATAGTACTGCCACCTGCCACGGAGCATCTTCTATTTCAATATCCATTCCACCGATGATGCGTTCTTCCGGTTGGGGAACTCGTCCTGCGGAAAGGATGTTGATTGCCGACAGCAGAAGAAAGCTCTTGATGAACATCTTGACTTTTGACTCGCTTGGTTGGAACTAAAGAATTCAATGTTTTCACTACCGGTAGAGAAAGGCTTTTATAGGTCACCATTGACATTCCATTCTTCTTGAACCATTCATAATTTAGCACAACGTTCCTATTTTGCTTAACCACTTTAAAGATAAGAAAATTGAAAAATACCAGAAGAAACTAAGTTAATTTATTCCCTAGCAATTATTTGAAGGTATTTATAGGTACAAGCCTTCGCCTCATGCAACCAGAAATGTTAATTATTTTGCTTACTTATTTTTAGAAAACAATTACAGTATTACTAATTTAACTAATTTTTATTTTTAGCCCATGCATAACCCTTCTACCTTTTGGGCTTTATTTTAATAAAGGGACATATCGAATTTGATATTAAAATGCTTAACCAAAGTAATTTGTTCTTCATTAATAAATGCATTGTGCTTCTGCTGACAGCGACTTGCCTGTCGGCGGCAGAGAATTGCATTAATCATACGCCCAGTGGGCGCAGGGTGCGCTACTCGAAATAGCATCACACACTTCCCCCACTTCTCGAGGCCCGGAGCATCCATCAAATTAATGGAATTTCATATTTGCTTGGCTCTTGCTCGCTCGCCGAAGAAATTTGTTTATCCAGCTAAAATGCTATCGGGTTCATACTTCCATACCCGTGCCCTCTTGCAACGCGGCTGATGTAGTTAGTTCTTTTGGCCAAATTTTGTTGTTTCTGATATTTTTTAATAGAATTACTTTCCAGACTTTTGAGCAGCAGCAGCAGCAGCGGTAGCAGCATAGCTGAAAACGGCCCGCGGCCATGGAGCTCCGAGCTGCGAACAAAAGCAATTTAAAATGCTGACTCATAACCGATGTGGCCGCAGAAACAAGTTGGCTTCAAAATTTTATTGAATTAAACCAATTTGGTATGCAAGCGGAGCAAGCTCTTGTTGGGATTACGATTCTATCCTATTTCATCAACACACAGAAAGAATCAAAAACATTACATACCATCGAAATAAAAAATCTGATGAAGTAATTTACTTATTGCTTAAATTAAGGTTTTTGATTATCTAAATATGTTCTTCGGCTTTTTAAGTTTGTCGGTTTAAAGAATCTTTTTTTTTCCTGTGCAGTTTAAATTCAAGGCACGTTTTCCCTCATACAGTTCGATTTTTTAAACGCTTTTCCGGCCAAAATTCGCACAGAATGCAATCAGATAGTCAAACACTTGACGCTGGGCCAAAATGCCCAACGGGCTGTTGTCCTTGTCAACAACTATCGCCTTTTGGGCTCGAGGTGAGAACGGGATCTGGGGGACATTGTCAGGGGGCTGCCAAATGGGGGCAGTTGGGGGAGGGGAGAAGTCCGCCCCAGGGATGAGTTAAGCTAATTTTGCCAGGCGTCTCATCGAAGGCTACTGTTCAGCCGGGAAGTCAAGTGGCCTGGCCAAAGTGAGCATTGCACTCGCCCAATTAAACCCGGCCAGAATCCGGTCGAAGCTCTTGACGGAACTGCAGATGGGACTTACTGGCCGGAATGGTCATTAGTCATAGTTATGGAAGCTAATCTGATGCACTCGGAAACCAGAAATTTACAAGATTACAAATAGCTTATTCCCTTGTAAAATATATAAATTTAATATTCTTATTTAAGAATGTATTTTATAAGTATGTCGCTCTTTAGATTTCATGCTGAAATTAACTTTGGATCCATGATTTTTTTAAGGCTCAGTGATTTGTACCCTTTAAGCTATTTCCTGTTCTGTTAAGCTTGCACCCCTAGTTTTTGTACCTGCTATACTAAATTCCAGTGCAGGCGCCAATTGAATGATAACACAAGCAGCAGCTGCAACGTTAAAACTAAATTGGCCAACGAGCGACCAAACGACTGCGTGTCTGCTGAGCTCCCGATTTCAGTCCGCCCCTCTGGATTCCGTTTTTCATGGAAAACCCTCCTCCGAGGCTGTGGGCATTTTTGGCAGCAAATTGAAATGAAAATCTCGCCGCGGTTGGCTTTGTTCGCCGGTTGGCCTGTGGACGAAATCCGTCGGCGGATGATAAAGAGTTGGCGGGGAAAAGCATTCAGTTTCAGTGAAGCTCCACGCTTTAAAATAAATTACAAAATTATTAAATATTTTAGAGTACATATTTTAAAATGAAATTTGTAAATCAATTAAACCAAGAAATTATATTAAATCTCCATAATATTACTAATTGCAAATTGTTATTTTTAAAATATATTATAAAACGTGAAAAGTAAAATTGTAATAAATAAAGAAATTTTTATTAAACGGTTGCTAAAATAATTTAATCAAGGTGTAAAAGCTGTAGTTAATGCGCATAAATTCTGTGTGGACTGTTTAGGGAGAACTCCATAATAGCCCTCTTCCGCTAAGCCCACCAATCTGCGATCTATTCATATCGTAAAACACAAATGCAACTGAGACCAGAGCACCGCCATTCTATTGCCAGCGATGGCGGTAGCGGTGCCTTTCTATTCCAGGATATACGCAGCCATTTCCGGAGCCATGGCTGCCAACTTCCGCTTCACCTTTCTACCGCCTCCCGCCCCTCGCCCCGCTTAGCAAGCCTTCTTTTCACTTTGAGGGTGCGGCCACAGCAGCTGGGAAACCGTGTTTACAGGAATATGCAATCATACTTTTCTAATATTTACATTATTGACTTACTAACTAATCGATCCCCCAAAGCAACAAAGAGACGTGATATAAATTTTCAATGTCATATTATTTATTTTCCATGGTAACCGATATATGATCAAACAATTTCAATGGCCTTTAAAATCCAGTTCCGAATATTGGGAACGCCTGCGAAGGCTGTAAATGTACTGCAATCATTTAGACCCCATGAGGTCACACCGACAAGTTGCTTGTCAACAACCAAAGGTCCTCCAGAGTCGCCGGAACAGGTCGCTTGTCCAACCGAATGGACACAAATGTTTTCCTCAGAGTTGTCAGAAAAATATTTCGAACAACGTTTTACGCGAAGGTCAACGCGTTGAAGATGTTCAGGATATTCTTTCCATGCCTCTCCATTTCCTAAAGGTATTACTCTCACTGCTCCCCAGCCTGTAGTCATCGCAAGAGTTTCAGGAGCCGGATTTTTTTCGGCTAAGGGGATCGGCTGCACTTTGTTGGAGAACTCAAGTGGCTCACTTAGTCGCATTACAGCAATGTCGTTTGCAAATTTCGGTTTGTTATACTTCTCGTGTGATTCAATTGCTGCCACATTGATTAGAGTTCCGTCGCGGTTTTTCAATGAGGATCCTACGCGAACTTGAAAGTCTTCAGCTTTAAGTTCTTCCCCTTCTATGGTATAGCGGCAGTGGGCAGCAGTGATGATAATGTTCTTGCTGTAAATGGAGCCACCACAATAATGACGTCCTCGCAATAGTACTGCCACCTGCCACGGAGCATCTTCTATTTCAATATCCATTCCACCGATGATGCGTTCTTCCGGTTGGGGAACTCGTCCTGCGGAAAGGATGTTGATTGCCGACAGCAGAAGAAAGCTCTTGATGAACATCTTGACTTTTGACTCGCTTGGTTGGAACTAAAGAATTCAATGTTTTCACTACCGGTAGAGAAAGGCTTTTATAGGTCACCATTGACATTCTTCTTGAACCATTCTTAATTTAGCACAACGTTCCCATTTTGCTTAACCACTTTAAAGATAAGAAAATTGAAAAATACCAAAAGAAACTAAGTTAATTTATTCCCTAGCAATTATTTAAAGGTATTTATAGGTATAGCCTCATGTAACCAGAAATGTTAATTATTTTGTTTACCTATTTCTAGAAAACACTTACTTTAGTAATTAAAAAATCTCTATATTGAACACGTGTATTCTATATTTTGGGCTACTCCTATATTACCTGTGCTGCTTAAAAAACTGGAAACAACAAAAACCCATTGAGTGTATGTTAATAAGAGCTTATGGAGATAAACTGTTTTTGTGTTTTTCAATTTTGTTCAATGCATCATGTCTAAAATAAAATTCTTGGGGAGGTTTTTTTTGGTAGAAACATTTATTTAGTTAAAGCTTTGTTCAAAATTTGTTAAACATGTATGTGGCCCTTCAAAGTCCTTGGATTGTCTTTAATATCCAAGGCTTGAGTTCAGCCACATTGGCGTAGACTCCACGGGGTTCTGGATCGGAACACATTCCGCCGAAGGAGACAATGCCAACCAGTTTGCCGTCGGACACCAAAGGACCCCCCGAATCCCCGTCGCAGGCATCTTTTCCCGGGGAGCCGGCACAGAGATGATCCTTCCAGAATTTGATAGAAAGAGCATTTATGCACTCCTTCTGATCCAATATCTTTACAGTGGTTTCCCGAAGGTGGTCAGGTTCTTCCCCCGACTCAGTGTCTCCCCATCCAGAAACCGAGGCCGAGGATCCTGGCAGGGGAGCAGTATCCGCCAATGGAATGGATCTCACATTGTCTCCCATTTGGAGATTGGTTTCCAGTTCGATCACGGCTATATCATGCGCATAATCATTGTCATCATCATCATAGCCCTCGTGGACTAGGATCTGCGAAGACTTCACCAACTGACCACCGTCGTTTGAATTCGAGGAGCCCACTCGAATGGTCAAATCAGAAGGCCAAACATCGAAGACACAGTGAGCTGCCGTTAAGATGATCTTCTCGCTGTAGATGACTGCACCGCAGATATATTCTCCACTGGAGTGCAGGGCAGCCTGCCAGGGAACCGAAGCTATGGACACGGTCTTTCCTCCGGCGATCCTTTCCGGAATCCCTTTGGAGGAGATCAGGGTGACGATGAAGAGCAGGAGAATCCATTGCGCAAGCATTTTCTATTGGAACGCTTCTGAGAAGCGACAGCCCCTTTTATACATATTATCGTATTCCGTTGGATACACACTATCACTGGAATGCTAATTGGCTACATAAACATATGTGGCTTGATGGATTTATCGCAGCCATTTAAAAACATGCTAATAAGGAACTGAAATAGATGATTTATGACCACAGTAGAAACTCTTTTTCGGTTTACAAAGTAACCGATCCCCCAATAGCAACTGATTTGGTCAAAGGTATCAGGTTTAGTAAAGAGAAGAAGTATACATTTTCCAAGACAAATTATTTATTTATACACCTTAATCGACGTTTAATAAAACAGAATCAATGGCATTTAAAATCCAGTTCCTGAAGTAAGGCACGCCTGTGAAGACTGCGAAGTCATTGCAATAAGCTGGACCCCATGAGGTCACACCGACAAGTTGCTTGTCAACAACCAAAGGCCCTCCAGAGTCGCCACGACAAGTCGACTGCCTAGGAGATTTGACACAAATGTTTTCCCCAGAGATGTCATTAAAATATTTCCAACAATTTTGTACTTGAAGGTCTATGCCTTGGAGTTGCTTAGGAGGTTCAAGTATATCTTTTCCCACGGAAGGTGTTACTTTCACTGCTCCCCAACCAAAAGCCATCGCAAGAGTTCCAGGTGACGGATTTCTTTCAGCTAAGGGTATCGCCTGCACTTTGCTGGAGAACTGAAGTGGCTTACTTAATCGCATTACAGCAATGTCGTTATTTTTTAACGGGTCGGGATAGTCTTCATGTGATTTAATTGCTGCCACCTGGATGAGAGTCCCGTTGCTGTTTGCTAATGAGGATCCTACGCGAACTTGGATGTATTTGGTTTTCAGCATTTTGCCTTTCTCGTCAAAGCGGCAGTGGGCAGCAGTGATGATAATGTCCTTGCTGTAAATGGAGCCACCACAATATTGACGTCCTCGATATAGAATTGCCACCTGCCACGGAGCATCTTCTATTTCAATATCTTTTCCACCGATGATGCGTTCTTCCGGTTGGGGAACTCGTCCTGCGGACAGGAAGTTGATTGCCGACAGCAGAAGAAAGCACTTGATGAACATCTTGACTTTTGACTTGCTTGGTTGGAACTAAAGAATTCAATGTTTTCACAACCGATAGAGAAAGGCTTTTATAGGCCACCATTGACATTCTTTGTTTAACCATTCTTAATTTAGCACAAGCTTTCCATTTACTTTTCTACCTTACAGATAAGAAAATTGAAAAATACCAAACGAAATTGAGTTAAGTTATTCCCTAGAAATTATTTATAGGTAATTATTTTGTCTACTTATTTTTAGAAGACAATTATTTTACTAATATAGCTATGTAATTTATATTTCTTACCCGTGCAGGACATTTCTGTATCTAACCCCAGGATATACGCAGCTATTTCCGGGGCCATTACTGCCAGCTTCCGCTTCACCCTCCCTCCCTTACTTTTCACTTTGATGGTCCGCCCACAGCTGTTGGGAAACAACCGCTTTTCTCGCGGAGACACCTTAGACCCCATAAAGTATATAAATTCTTGATCAGCATCACCATCTGAATCGAAATACGTCTGTACGTCTGTCCGTCTGTCCGTCTGTCCGTCTGTCCTCCTGTCCGTTTTTGCCCAAACTAGTCTCTCAGTTTTAAAGCTATCTTGCTGAAACTTTCCCAAAAGGTGTGTAGTTATTGGCGACTATATAGGATAGCTCCCATACAAGAGATTGAAATACAAAATTCTCAAGCCGTTGTTTTTGATCAGATCGACTTGATTTCTTCCACATGGCGTTTTATAGTTACTATTGATAGTTACTATCATATAGCTGCCAGAGGAGAGATAAAAATATATAGAATTAATGGAAATTAATTGATAACGTCATTGTTTTTCATCACACGACTACGATTTTTTGAGTAGCCCTGGTTCATAAAAAAAATTTCATAAAAATCGAACAACTATATCATATAGCTGCCATAGAAAAGATCGAAAAATCTATATAGACTTAACGGAAATAAAATGATAACATCGTTATTTCTCATCAGAAAATCATGATTTTTTAAATATAAAGTTTTCTAACGACTCTTGAATAACAAATAAAATTTCATCAAAATCGTACGACTATATCATATAGCTGCCATATGAACAATAGTCAAAAATATGAAATACTAGTAAACCCAGCGAACTCTGTTCCGCCACCAGATGGCGATAGTTTTAGGTAAAACTTCGTTTGGTGTTTAAAAGATAAAGAACATTTTTTTTTGTTTTATATATGAAAAGGAAAAATTTTATTTCGATACCATTAAAACTTTGGCCATTTCCGAGTGTTTTGCAATATTACACGTTGGTTCTTCAATAATTTGAAGATTTAACGGCTGAATGAGCCGTTTGGCATCCTTCTAACAATATGGCTGCTATTCCCGAAGAAGCAACTGCAACAGCTATGTTGGATCTCTCCTGAACAGTTGCTAAAGCTAATGACATGAGGAATGTCTTGCCAGTACCACCAGGGGCATCTAGGAAATATAAACCAAAATTTTCTTCATCGATTGCCTTCATTAAAGAATCATAAACTTTCTTCTGTTGGGAATTCAACAGGGGTACATTCGTTTGAACTAATAAATTTAATTTCTGGTGATCATATTCACGTTCCCGTTCTAATTCTCGATTAAATTCATTCACGATTTGGCGCTGGCATTCTAACCTGATTAATATATTACCGCACATAAGGTAACACATATCTTTGATCAAGAGTAAAACCCGATTATGTATCTCCTCATTCATCAAATTGTTCACAATCAGGATGGCGACTTCGTCTATTGTTGGATCATTAAATGTCCTTTCGTGTGTTCCAGATGGTCGTTTATCTGCTTTTATGACAACTTTATAGTCATCATTTGGCATGCGCTCTAAAGCACTCTTAAACAACCTGACCATCGCATGATGTTCATGAAGCAGACACTGCAAGTCTTGAAGAATTGCTCGCTTCATTCCTGTATTGATCCCTAGGCGTCGATCAAGTTGTTCTTCCATATTGCCCATGAAATATATTTTAAAAAATTTTTTTTGTGTATCTTCGAAAGGTAGTAATGATCCAGTTCGATGGTGAATCTGCCCTTGTATCTAAGATAAAGTAAGTTATTCTTTAACTATATTCTAAGTAATACAAACAAAAAAAAAACCTTAAATGTCGGATTAAATCCTCGTTCTTCGATAATATCTGCCCCAAATGACGTCATTTGGAAACAACCATTGTATTTTCGGGTATTTGCAAGAAAGTGGCGTGATTCTTGTGTTTCACCACAAAGCAACGAATACAATGGCTCAGGTGGCGGAGTCACCAATGGCAATTTAACTTTACCATTAAAGCAGCATAATCCAGGCGTTTCTCCGGAAAACTTCAGTGCACCGCAATACTCGCAAACAACGTCCATTTGCCCAATGCAAACGCTAGGATGCAAGCTGTAATCAGTGGTGCAATCGTATTGAAACGCTGCTCGATTCAAATCAGCACTTGATAAATTTCTTCTGCGTCGAAAATGATCTATTTCTTGACCTCTGTTGTAAGCTCGACGATTCTGCATTATCAACCGAGCCGTATTACGGATTGCCTCTCTTTGCTCTGCTGATTGAGAAGCACGAAGTCGACCCATACTAACGCGGTTCTGTTCACGTTCAATGTTTTGTTCTTCTTCAGACCTTCCATTTGCAGTATTTCGTAGTCTTCTTGCATTACGGCTCTGTCGGGAAAGATTCGATCGTCTTGGTCGCGGCATTATTAATTAAACTTCCCTTCACTTCAATTCACAAAAAGCACGAAAAACTTCACTTCACTTCAATTCACCAAAATCACAAATAACTTCAATTCACTTCAAAAAAATTGAGTTAAAATGCTATGGTAGTGTGTGCTTGTCAGTGTGATGAGGTAATAACTCAGTTTATATGCGATTTTTGGTATGTCGAACGGAATAAAAAGTACCCTAAGTCCTATTCCGGGCTCTAAGCTACCCTCCTACCAATTTTCAGCCAAATCTGTTCAGCCGTTCTTAAGTTATAAGTGGTGTAACTAACACAACTTGCTTTTATATATATAGATAGATTAATAGAAAAGTCGTCGTTGCTTCGATGTTGTTTAGCCTTTGTGTATTCTGTTCGAAATATTTGATGACTGCAAGGGTATATAAGCTTCGGCTTGCCGAAGCTAGCTTCCTTTCTTGTTTTTAAATATTTTATAATATGTGAAAAAATAAAGTTGTTATATAAAAAGGAATTTAAATTAAAAGGTTGGTAAAATGATTTAATCAAGGTGTAAAAGCAGTAGTTAATCCGCATAAATTCTGTCTGGACTATTTAGCGAAAACAGCGTCCCAGAACCCTATTATAGCCCTTTTCCTCTTAGCTCGCCAATTTGCGATCTATTCATATCGTAAAACACAAATGCAGCTCAGACCAGAGCCCCGCCATTCTATTGCCAGCGATGGCGATAGCGGTGCCTTCCTATTCCAGGATATACGCAGCCATTTCCGGCGCCATGGTTGTCAACTTCCGCTTCACCTTTCTACCGCCTCCCGCCCCTCGACCCTCTTACCACGCCTTCTTTTCACTTTGATGGTGCGCCCACAGCAGCTGGGGAATCGTGTTTACAGGAATATGCAATCATACTTTTCTAATATTTACATTTTTGGTTTACTAACCAATCGATCCCCCAAAGCAACAAAGAGATGTGATATAAATTTTCCAGATCATATTATTTATTTTCCATGGTAACCGATATATGATCAAACAATTTCAATGGCCCTTAAAATCCAGTTCCGGAAATAGGGAACGCCTGCGAAGGCTGTAAATGTACTGCAATCATTTAGACCCCATGAGGTCACACCGACAAGTTGCTTGTCAACAACCAAAGGTCCTCCAGAGTCGCCGGAACAGGTCGCTTGTCCAACCGAATGGACACAAATGTTTTCCTCAGAGTTGTCAGAAAAATAGTTCGAACAACGTTTTACGCGAAGGTCAACGCGTTGAAGATGTTCAGGATATAATTTCCATGCCTCTCCATTTCCTAAAGGTATTACTCTCACTGCTCCCCAGCCTGTAGTCATCGCAAGAGTTTCAGGAGCCGGATTTTTTTCGGCTAAGGGGATCGGCTGCACTGTGCTGGAGAACTCAAGTGGCTCACCTAGTCGCATTACAGCAATGTCGTTTGCAAATTTCGGTTTGTTATACTTCTCGTGTGATTCAATTGCTGCCACATTGATTAGAGTTCCGTCGCGGTTTTTCAATGAGGATCCTACGCGAACTTGAAAGTCTTCAGCTTTAAGTTCTTCCCCTTCTATGGTATAGCGGCAGTGGGCAGCAGTGATGATAATGTTCTTGTTGTAAATGGAGCCACCACAATAATGACTTCCTCGAAGTAGTACTGCCACCTGCCACGGAGCATCTTCTATTTCAATATCCATTCCACCGATGATGCGTTCTTCGGGTTGTGGAACTCGTCCTGCGGAAAGGAAGTTGATTGCCGACAGCAGAAGAAAGCTCTTGATGAACATCTTGACTCGCTTGGTTGGAACTGAAGAATTCAATGTTTTCATTACCGGTAGAGGAAGTCTTTTATAGGCCACCATTGACATTCTTTGCTAAACTATTCTTAATTAGGCACAGGGGCGTAGCTACCGCCGTATACGCCGTATCAATTATACGGGGCCCCCGGGCCAAGGGGGCCCCCAAAGTGTGTAAGAGTGAATATTTAAAATTTGATTTTTATTTGTAAAATGGGTAAATAATGTGATAAATAAATATTTCTTCTCACAATATTTTTTATACCCTTGCAGAGCAAAAGGGTATTATAAATTCAGTCAGAAGTTTGCAACGTAGTGAGGGAAACACCTCAGACCCCATAAAGTATATATATTCTTGATCAGCATCAAACTAGTCTCTAAGTTTTAAAGCTATCTGGCTGAAACTTTCCCAAAAGGTGTGTAGTTATTGCACGCAGTATATAAGTCGGAACGGGCCGGATCGGCCGACTATATCGGATAGCTCCCATACGAGAGAATGAAATAAAAAATTCTCAGACCGTTGTTTTTGATCAGATCGACTTGATTTCTTCAAGATGGCGTTTTCTAACTGTTTTTGAATTTCGGATTAAATTTGATCAAAATCGGATAACTCTATCATATAGCTGCCATAGGAGAGATCGAAAAATATTTATAGAATTAATGGAAATAAATTGATAACATCGTTGTTTTTTATCCCACGAGCATGATTTTTTTAACAACCCTTATATTGAGAAACAAGTTGCATAAAAATCGGAAAACGATATCTTATAGCTACCATAGGAAAGATCGAAAAATCTATATAGAAATAACGAAAATAAAATTATAACATCGTTGGTTTGTATTAGATAAGCATGATTTTGGGAATATAAAGTTTTCTAACGACTCTTGAATTACTAATTAAATTTCATCAAAATCGGACGAGTATATCATATAGCTGTCATATGAAAAATAATCGTATATATGGAAAATTATTAGAAAAATCGTCATAGCTTCGATGTTGTTTAGCCGTTATGTATTTTTTTCGACATATTTGATGACTGCAAGGGTTAAAAAGCTTCGGTTTGCCAAAGCTAGCTTCCTTTCTTGTTTTCTTTTGTGAAAAATCTTTACCTCCATATAAATATTTTATACGGGGCCCCGACAAGGCACGCTACGCCACTGATTAGGCACAACCTTTTCATTTACTTTCCTACCTTAACGATAAGAAAATTGAAAAATACCAAACGAAATTGAGTTAGGCTTTTCCCTAGAAATTATTTATAGGCACAACTCTCATGCACCCAGAAGTGTTAATTATTTTTCTACTTATTTTTAGAAGACAATTACTTTACTACTGATTTAACAAATTTATATTTCTAACCCGTGCAGGACATTTCTGCTTCTAACCCCAGGATATACGCAGCCATTTCCGGCGCCATTGCTGCCAGCTTCCGCTTCACCCTCCCTCTGCCCCGCCTCCTTTTCACTTTGATAGTCCGCCCACAGCTGTTGGGAAATCGTCTGGCCCCCTCCCCGCTTTTCCCCACTCCCAAACGTCTGGGAAATGGAAGCTTGACTTTAAGCGATGAAAATTTTAATGCGCCAATGCGCAATTTATGATTATTTCATGCTCATTTTAATTTGCCCACTCAGCGCAGACCGCTTTAAAGTGCGGAGGGAAAATAGTGATTCGGCTTTTAGCTTTCTGCTGGTGGGAGGAGATAGTGGGAGGGTCTCATTAATTCCACGCACGTTTTCCCCGAGAGAAGAGAGGAAAAGCTGCGCGGAGAGATACGAGGCCGCTAATAAAACAAAAATGGAAAACATATAAATCAGTGTCCTTGGCACGTGTCGCTGTCGTCGTCGAAGTCATTCCGTTCCCCAGGTGCAGGCCCCACGGGTCAGCCCAAAGGGTCCCACTCCCCCCTCCCGCCGCTCTCCTGATCCCCCTTCTCCATTACCACTTTTGGACTTGTGCGCTGTCACGTTGTAAATCTCACGAGAGCCAACACACACGGTGAAATGGGAAATCGGAGAGTCGCAGACAACACGGCCACAAACTGTGACACAAGTTGCGTGCTTTGCCGCTGATACACTGAAAAAAATAGTTGTAAAATTCATGGGTATCTCAAATGAACATACCAAAGTATTGGCTTAATATACACCGTACAATGTAAACGCATATTTGTTTCCCTTAATTAATAACCCACACACAATTCTAATATTTAATGGGATATAATATATTTATTTTATTTGAACTGCTTTTATTTCTATTTGAATTTTTCTCAGTGCAATTATATATCTCAAAGAGCAAGGTGCCAACGGAGGGGTTAAGCAATATGGAGCTGTAAAGGTCTCGCCCCTACGAGAATGTCTCGGGTCCCAAAAGGAGCCGATCCCAGCCAGCGATTGCATTATAAATTAAAATACGTCAACGCAGCGAGTCAACAGCTGGTATCCTTGCCAGGATATCCGAAAACCCCCCAGATGCAAAGCCTGACAAGCTTTGAGCATGAGAAAGTTAAGACAAATATTTATGCGGAAGTGCAACAATCGGCGGATTTATTTCTTTGCTGCAGCTCAATTGAATATGTTTTCTTCAGTGACTAAAACACATTGTCACCTAAAGGTTTAAAGTTCGCATTCAGAGAAAAATAAACCAGTTAAAAATGAAAACAAGATACTTGTGTGTTAAGAAAAGAGGGAAAATGTGGAAAATTCGGTGTGTGGCACAACCTTTTGCTTTTTAATTAAACGCTGGCAAAGGGAGAATCACGAAATGACAAACAGAATCGAGGAGCTCACAAAGCGGGCCAATACAAATATTGTGTTCCCCTTGAGTTCGGCATTTTTGCGCTACCTTGGCTACCTTGGATGTTCAAAGTCGTAGCCACTGTTATTTGTCCGCTCATGCGGAGTATTTAATTGCATCCCAATGGAGCGCACTTGGCAAAGTGCAACGAGAATCGGTAAACAGCAGAGGCCAAGGAGAAAAACTGAGGGAAACTGCTTCCGAAAAGTGGGTTGAAGTGGGTAATCGAAATTCTGCCGGGTCCTTCCATTCCTCCCTTTCGCCCCGGAAAAGTTGCAACGGCGGGGAAAACTCGAGATGACAAGGTGCAGGGCTCTTCTTTCGCTCTCGAAGGGGAATACAACTATTTGCCGGAGTAAACAAATATTTACATATGTTTGTTTAAATTTCATGCTTTGGAGGGTCCTTCCTTTTCTTTGACAGCTTCTTTGAGAACTTTATTTTTTGACAAATTAGTTTGGGGGAAGTCAGCTTGTCGTGTGCGGAAATGCACAAAAGAGTCATGTTTTGCTGAAAGGAATGAAGTAATCTAATAATCTTTTTGTTAAAGTGATTTAAGGAATCTCTACGGCTTTTGACTTATTCAATTACAATTCAAATCCAAGTTCTTATCTCATCTTGAGCTTAACAAAAACGCATCAAATTTCTTCTATTCCCTTAACTCCTTTGCTCACATCATAATTTTAAGTTTTCATTTGCTCGGAATTTATATTCCTGGGCTGAAGTTCTATTCTGTTCTGTGCGGAAATTACGAAATAAATTGAAATGCAATGCAGGCACATAAATTATTTGCCAGTCAACAGCTGAGGCAAATAAATAAAAATGGGAATGCAGTTTTTGGTTAGGTCCTTAAGCTTGGAACATGTCTCGTTGGCAAGTCCATAAAACTATCAGCAAATTTTGGTGGAATTAAAATATTTATGTACAGTACGTGAGCCACATGTTTATGTGTCAGTGGGGAAAAAGTGCCTCACAGCATTTTCCATTTTCCATTTTACTCTTACTCGTTTTTTGGGGCTATGCAACAGCACGAATTGTTTATTGTTTTAATAAACGTCAGCAATTTTCTTGGGCTTTTAAAGGAACATTTCGGACAGCGTGCATGTGCGTATGATTAATGTGGCATTGTCAACTGTTTTCCCCGAAAAACCCCTTTCTGTTTCCAGCCAGTCGAACAAAACTAAATGGAAAACGGCAAAGGGCAAAGGAAAATGGAAACTTTCAATGCAACCAAATGCAATGCCACAATGATTTATGGCTCGACTTGAAAATGGACGATTGTTTCACTCGATTTCGGGATTTGGCAACCCATGGAAATTGTGGAAATTGGTTGGATTTTGGGGGCGGCAAGGGGGCGTGTCCCCTGGCGCTTATAGCCTTCGCCATTTATTAAACGTACGCGAAAAACGAAGCGTGCAGCGATTTCCCCGATTGGAAAAATTGAATTATACCCATTTGATGAGCATAATAAAAACTGGCAGCTGCCTTTGCCAATGAAAGCCTTTCGAAAAGGTCGAATTTCGGTTAAAAAACGGACAGCAGTTATTGGCAGGGAATGTGAATAGTTTAAGGTTTTTTTTCTGTTGAATCACAATCTAGATTGCTTTAATTTTTGCCAAAAAGTATGCTATGCAATATTGCTATTGAACTGAATAAATTAGTTACCTATATACTAACTGATGTTAACTACTCTTTCAAGCCCTATCCCTATTATTTACCTGGCTGTTGGCCACTTTAAGTTCTCATTTCCAGCTACTTGAACTAAGCCCCAACTTATAGTTCTGGAATCCAATGCCATTGTGCGGATTTCCTGCAGAATCATCACACATCCTTCGCACACACACGCACTTTTCACATCCAGAAGCCCGCCGGCGGAAAAATCCCCACCACCGCCGATTGACGCGAGAACTTTTAGCCAAGTTTATTGCATCAGAACGCAAGGCCAATAAAAGCAGCGGAACATGGCCATTTAGCCGGAGGAAAGGCGATTTCCATGGCAGCCGGGCCCGCTCAATTGAATAGACAAAGAGGGGCACTCAGACGGACCCCCTTTCGCCGTTCGCCATCCAGGAGCTGACCCCTCCCCGCGCGGAGGTGGCATTTCGAACAGGAGCCCAGGAATCGGCAGACGGGTGCTTGGAGCCCAGGACTCACCTGCTCTGTGCAACGGCAAATGGTAAATGGATGGAGACGGAATGACAGCAGATTGCAGGGGATCAGAGGGGGCAAAATTGGGGCTTATTGCACTGGGAAAAATAAAGAGAAAATCGATTGCATATTATTTCTTCAAAAAACAATACATTATGTGTCATTATTATGTTATATAACAGGAAATCAAAGCTTAAGTACATTTTAACAATCTGTTTGCCACCCTAGAGCTTAAAGTAAAGGTTCATTGAAAGGTAAACAAATTTTGTAATTGGTAATGCTCAATGAAAATATTTTTTTAATTTTTTTCCGTGCAGTTAAATACGCAGAAGGCAGTAGCTCAAAAAAAGGGAGTCCCGAAATTGGGATACCGACGTCCGCCGTTCGTAATCCACTTTCGCGTCCTGCGCTTCTTGCTGCCTTTCGTTTCGTTTGAGCCGCAAACATTTTAGCTTTTATGGCCGAAAGGCGCAAAATATGACTGCCAGCCAGACTTTTGCTTTTGCTCGCACACATGCAAATGCAATTCCCAAAAATTGTTCGCCAAAAAGTCGTCTATGGAAATGTGGTTCGCAAACGAACCCACATTTTTTGTTGTTGTAGTTTTAAGTCGCTCGATGTGGGTGGGTTGCCCCACCGCCAAAAAAAAATCAGAAAAATAGAAAAAAAGGGAAAACGGTGGAAAAATTCGGGAAAAACTTTTCGCTTTGCCATAAACCGATTTGGTAGCAAATTTTATGTCGTTTAGGTGGAAAATTTCCATTCGACTGCCCTTCGCGGGTATCAAGGATTCAAGGAGCTCTCGACCGGCGAATAAGCTTTGTTTGTTCGATTTTTCCAGTGACTTATTTCTGCAGCTGCAGTTTATCGTTAATTGACATTACCGAGGGTCAAAGGCAACTGTAATGCCATCGGACTAATTGAATTTCAGTTGGGTGGAAGATAGAAAAAGCGAAGAGCTATTCATTTCCCTATGTTACTTTTGTGTATGAATTAAACGAAAGGATTTTTTGTAATATTATTAAAGTAATGATATTAGAATAACGATTTTAATTTACAATTTTTTATTTAAACAATTTCAAATTATGGTAAAAAATTTATGTGTTTCCAAGTGAAACAATACAAATTAGCAGCGAATAAAGAGATTTATTTGGCTTCAAGTTGACAAGGAATTTATTGATATTAATCTCTTCGCATCTTTTTTGCGCGCCAGTAAGCCGCATAAAAAAAAGCATTTGTTTTTGCCAGCGTTTTTGTGGGACACTTCCTTTATGCCAAAACACGACCGACTCGTATCAATGGGAATCGGAATCGGAATCGGAATTAAATGCAGAATCCGTATGTGCAATCGAGCGCATCCGGCGGCAGATGCTGTGCGGTTGTCATATCGTTGAATTGAGTTGAGCTGAGTTGGGAGATGGAAATGCGAGCCTGTTTGTCCAGATACCAGAACCTATATGTGTGCGCCGGGTTTATTGCCCGCATGCCGGATCGGCGACTGTCCGTGTATTTATTCTGCGTATGGCGTATGGCGCGCACTGTACCACCACCCACTCACGGCCAGCAATGCATAAATAAACGAAACCAAATTTGCGAAATTAATTAAATCGACAGCAAAGTAACGTGTGCGCTTTGCGTTTTACGCTTTGACTGCGGCCAGTTTACAACCCAAACAATTCGGCCTCCCAACCGCCGAAACCCAAACCGCTGCAATTGTGAATTGTGCATCGTGTGAACGACGCGTGTGTGTGGATCTCATCCGAGGCAGGGAAACCTTAAATTCAGGGGACAATGTTAAAGTTTTTGAAAGTTTTCAGCCAGCTTTAAAGGGATTCCGGAAAATAGTTTAGTAGCCAAAGCCAGTCAGCAAAAGTTACTGTCACTCGTTTGCAGTGGACATAATCATTTGGAATCCCTTCACCATTTCTTTACCATTAGATAAATTAAATTTTTAGTTGCAACAAAATTTATTATTCAACTACCTTAATCACAAATTGCAATTACTCAATGTGTGGCGGCGTAATTTAGTGCTTGGCACATCGGTATATTAAACGTGATCCTCTGACCCTTCATTCATCTCCCGGCAAACAGAATAATTTCAGCGAGTCAGCCTGTCCCGCGGCCACATTCGTATATCTGTGTATATACATATCTGTATATCGGCAGACTGGCTTAATCTCTGCCGGGAGCAGCCACACTAGTGGGGCCATTGATTTGCATTTGCACAACTCATTAAGGATTCGCACTTGCCCACACTCCCTCTTCCAATCTGCAATCGCCCAGGAACACACACTTGGGCTTAAATAATTTAATGTTCCGAGAGTGTTTCCCCATCGAAATTTGCACTTCGATTGGCGGGGCTGCAGGTGTTTGATAAGCGGCCTTCACGCCGGCCCACCCACATTGTTCAGTTCGTCTCAATCGGCAATTAATGCCACTCTGACCGACCGATTTGCCTATACCTTCGGTAGCAGATGGTTGGATGTGCGAAAGAATATCGCTGGATGGCTCATTAATAACCGGGTCGGCGTGTTCATACATCACTCATACGTCAAGTTGGTTAATCCGTTCGTCGGATTCAGCCAGCCAGGATGTGTGTGGCAGAGGATGCAGGATGCAGAGTTCCCCCTGACAAACTGTCTAATCTGTGTCTATGGATGCCATCACCCGCAGCCTGTGTTTGCGGTATCAATCACAATGCTAATCCCGGTGTTTAGGCCAGATTATGTGGGTTGGTTGAAAGGGTTTTCCGCTGCAAGCAGACATTTCCCAAAACAGCGTGACGGATGGTAAATATATTCATCATTTTAATTTAGTACAATTTCAAGGAAATTGATCAAGCTCAAGTTGATTGCGGAACTTAAAATCTGTACATATTAAAACTCTCATGTCAACAAAATCAAGTTAACTCGCTGATAATGTCATTCAATATAAGTAAATTCGGTAAACTGGATCCGGGCGCTCCCTTACCCCACAAAAAATGGCTAAAAGAGTGGCGCCCATTCCCAAAACCCACGAACGCACTCCGGGTCCCAGAGGTCAGGATACCAAGGGCAACAATGACCTTTTCCTGAAGGAGGTCTTTCAAACCACCAACAAATACCGAGCAATGCACGGGTGTCCGGCTTTAACCATTAATGCTGAGCTCAACAAATTGGCTCAAGAATGGGCCAATGTAAAAGAGCAACCATTGCAGCGTTTATAAATATATAAAATACTTTTATTATTATTTCCAGCACCTTCGAGATGGAAACATGATGGCGCACCGAACCAATCCCAAGTACGGAGAGAACATTTTCCTCTCCGGTGGAATGGATGTGACTGGTGACTTGCCCGTGGAAATGTGGTATCGAGAAATAAATGCCTACGACTTCAATAAGGCTCAATTCGCGCCCACGGCAGGACACTTCACACAGCTAATCTGGAAGTCCTCGAAGGAAATGGGTTCAGGCGTTGCTCGAAAGTGAGTTTTTCTAAAAGTTTTCACTAAAACCACTCTCGTATATTTTTGCCAACAGAGCGGACAGAACTTGGGTGGTTTGCAACTATAATCCTCCCGGAAATGTTGTGGGTTTATTCAAGGATAATGTGCCCCCCCAAAACCAAATAGTTTTGCTTCTTCAGCTATCAAAATCTGAAGATTAATACGGGACACGGGTCCAGTTTTAGTAAATAAAATTTTTACAAGTTTTGGAAGCCTTTTTTTTTACTGTTTTTTTACTGAGAGTTGGGACTGGATTTTTTTGCCAACGAAAATTTTACACTCTTTCCCTCATTAAATATAGTTTCTTGAGACTTGTGTGTTTCCTGCTCATCTTCAAAATTGGATGCGGGGAAAAACGTTTTTCTTGGGTGAACATTCTCTTTAAAGTGTCCTGTTATATTTCCAGGTGGGTTGAAGTTGCACACAATCCAAATGCGGGAATCACTGAAGTCAAAATAACTGAATGTTAATGGTATTACTAACTTTTACAAGATTGTACAACCCACTTTGATGAAACGCCAACTCCTAGGAACTCCGTTTCTCTCCAAACCATTTGAGTAAAATGACCGGTGTATAAGTCAAATTCTGGTTTAAAATAGTCGTAATTGTACTTCTCCTGATACCAGAGTTTCATTATTTGGTTAACAGCGAAAAGTTCCTTACGAGCGCATATTATATTTTGCCCGTAAAGAGGAAGTGGTCTAGTTTCCAACAGATTGTTGCAAGCCAAGTGCTGAAATAGATGTTTTGGATCTTAAGAGAGATCAATTTTTAAGTGGTCCACTTACATCTGCCCATTCCTGGGCATAAGAAGTTAAATTTTCATCCATTTTCAGGGGTCTAGCATTATGGAGATCTCTGTATCTGTTGGTTTCCTTTAGAACAGATCGCCTTATCGCCTTAGGTCGAAACTTTATAGATTCTAATTCATTTTTTTTCATTTACGGAATTACTTTTTGATTTATTGGGACTCTTAGTACTCTGTTTGCACTTTGGATTCTCCTCAGATTTATTTTTTAACCTTGATCTTGCGGAATATACCGACAGTGACCTCTTGACCTCGTAGGGTTTGTGGCAGTAGAGAGTGAGGCAACTGCGGCACTTGGCCAAATTCCGATTCCTCAGATCGCAGGCAATGTATTTTCTACCGTTGTTGTCCTGAATTAGCTGAAGTGACTGATAATGAGAGCATTTTTCTGGAGACGTGGCGTCTTTCTTTTCATCTTCCATTTAGGTATATTTTTTCATAATAAATAATTTTGTAGAAATTTGGGTAAATGGTTACACAAAATGAAGTAAATGAAACTGGGTGACTGCTGCCACATTTTCATAGAGTTTTCCGCTTATCCTAGCGCTTTTTATCCTGTGCTTTCTTTTTGAACACGCGTTCATTTTTTCGTTTTTTGGCGACAATTCTACGTCACACATCATTAATTTTAAATTCCTGTCATAAATATCCGCGTGGGCGGGGATGAGCAGCGGGTGGCGACGGGTCACAAAGGTGACAAGGTGAAATTATGGTAACAGCCAGCGTTCTCCCCCCGCGACCCTCTAAACTCCCCCTGTTGGCCTGCTTTTTGATTGACTGTTTGTCACTTGGGCATGGAAATTAAAATGGAATTTTTTACGCTCGCACTTTTGGCAGCACAGTGAGCTGGGAGAAATGATGGTGATAAATTGATGGAGATAAAAATATTTATGGTTCACTTTCCATTCTATGTATTCATTGCTGCTCGCCAGGTTCGTCAGGTTGATTTAATTTTGGCAACGCGAGTGCATTTAGTGTTTGTCTGATCACTAAAAATGTTCTTTAAAATCTGTTCGCTTGAAATTTTTATGTTAGATATGGTAAGCTCTTAACCCTTTGAAAGTACGTTACCTTTTCAACTTGTTCTGTACAAATCCCTGCGAAACCAGATTACTGGCGAATTGTCCCTTAAGCTGATTCGCAACATACGAGTATTAAAGTTTCCGGATTTGCCATTTGTGTGGCAGAAGCGATAACTTTGGGCCACCCGTAACCGTTACCGTTAACCCAATAAACCACTTTTAGGGGCGACTCTTGCTGTTGGCTTCAGTTTCACACCGTCAACAAGTGACAAGCACACCATCGCAAATATCCAAAGCACACTCACACACGCAAGCACACTCACACACGCAAGCACACACACTCGCAAACACCCGCGTACGTGTTGCTGGCATCACGTCAAAGTTGGTTGGCATCATGCCACAGAAATTCCAGCTGGATGCAACAAAAGCGAGTCAACAAAAACGGAGGAACACTCGGGACAACGCTACTGAAAAAATCGCGACACATACACAGGATAAACCCGGAAAACCGGAAAGAAAAAGAAGTAATCATAAGGGCGACCCCAAAAAAGTGGACTATGAATTTTTATGGCGAATTTTCGGTGCTTTTTAATTTCAGTAAGCAAATGAATGGCGAGGGGGGACGGAAGGGGTCCCCTGATGTCCTGATGTACGTGATGTTCCCTGCCATCCCTGAGGTTCTGTTTGTTTTTTCTAGGGTGACATCAAAAATTAATTTAAAAATGCCTAGAATTTAATTATTTAAAGCGCAATTTAAAAGGTTTTTGAGAATAAATTAAAATTAGAACAAGACATATAGAAAAGTGAAATTTTAAACATGGCGAAGTATAGATAATGTAGAAAAACTGGTTAGGCTTTAAGTAATTTTCCTGTTAAGCGTATATTTCAACTTTTAAGGGTGAATGCCAAAAACTCATTTTCACAGCTTCCGCTGCAGCCACACAAGACCCTTTGTGCCGTTTTACACCTTGTCGAATGGTTAAATGCATTCAGCTGTCAAAAAGCCGCAGACAAAAGTTCAATTTAATTACCACAAAAGAAAATGGGGCAACAAAAGGTGTGGAATTTTCAAGGGTTGCCCAAACTTCGGATCGCAAAGTCTGGCAATGAATCCTTCCAACTGCCAATGAGTTTTACAATGTAATTAAGCAGACACAAACGTTAATTTTTTTTTGGTTTCTTTATTCCTTTGCTGGGGGTAAATGAGGTCAGGGGGCGTGGCAGGAGGCTGTGGAGGAACCGAAAGTCGAAGGGCCAAGGAAGTTCCTCCTCCATTTCCGCTCTCTTTTACTCCCTGTGTGAAAGCTTTCTTCGTTATGCATTGTAATTTGCGTGTAATTTTCAAGGCGTTGGGAAAAACGTGGAAATGCTTCTGCAACAACAGCGGCAATAATAATTGCAAGTGCAACAACAGCAAAACCAACAGCAACACCTGCAACAACAGCAGCTGCTTTAAGGCAAAAGTCTCATTTATTTTAATGTTTCGACGCTGACGACGTGCAAATGTCTGCCAGTTTTCCAGCAGGTTTTTCCCTTCAGTTTTCAGTTCTCCAGCGAGCCAGCGAATTTTCCATGTTCAAATTGCTCGCAGATGCAGCGGCAATTGTTTGCTGGTGTGCGTGCAAGTGTGCGTGTGTGTGTGTTTGTGTGTGTGTGTGAGGACTGGCTCGCTTGTGTGTGTGTTGTAATTATTAAGCTGACAATGCAGATGCTGCTTTCCCGCTGATTCGGGCAGGGTTGCATTACCGATCCAGATATAAAAAAAAAATATAAAAAGCGGGTAGTGATCTGAAAATATAACTTGGCTTTATTGTAAAAATGTAAACATGTATTAATAATTATACAAGAGAGTATAGAAGAGTAGTAACTACCCTGAATAAATTAATTTTCACTTTTATCTGTAGAATAAACTTTATACGATTCACCTTTAATTTAATTCATCTGGAAATACTTTAAATCAGATTGGAAAAAAATCATGGTAAAAAATAAGTTTGGCTTCCGGACAGATATTTAAGCATTTAATGCCCGTTTCTGATCACTACTTCGTCCCTGGCTTTATTGGCTCTGTCATCCTGTGTGGGTCAAACCCCCTCACGGCTCTCATGGCTCTCGTGGCTCATGACAACGGTCATAACAATGCCAATTTTAATGGTCATTACTATAAGGCCCATAACCATAAAAAATGCACAGCCATCCAGCGACAGCAGAACAAAAACGAGAACAGCGGCGAGTACAGCGCGAGGAATCATGAGCATTTATTGGGCTTATGGGCCGTATTAATAATATTCATCTGTGCCGCACTCCCCAGATCATAGAATAAAATGCAAATGAATTAAATTTCAATTTCGCAATACAAGCAGCAACAACAAAAAAATATGTGTGCACGGGTGTATATAGTATTTTATGGGTAGACGAAAACAATTTGCAAATATAAATGTTTGTGTAGTTTTTTCAGGGATTTCTTATGGACGCTCCCATAGCTGGGAGATCCTTTTTTATACCCTTGCAGAGGGTATTATAATTTGATGTAGAAGTTTGCAACGCAGTAGAGGAGCCATCTCAGACCCCATAAAGTAATTATATTCATTTACGTATGTCGAGGACTCATATGAGCTACCTTTCTGTATTCTGTATTTTTCAAAAGAAAAATATTTTTATTATAATATTTTATTTAGCAACCGATATTATTCGTTTTAAAATCCTCGAAGAAGACCAACAGTGGCATCGATCCAAGGACGAATTAAAGCAATATCCACGTATCGGCTGGGTGTATTCGCCAAGCTACAGGTGTTGTTCCAAGAACCGATGCCAACCAGATCGTTGTTGTGAACCAAAGGACAGCCGGCGAATCCTTGACAGGCCGCCGGAATCAATCCCCAGGGAGCAGCACAGATCTCGTCCTCAGAGCACTTCTTTTTATCTTGGACAAAAAGGTTTATCCGCAATAATACCTCCGATGAGGGCATGAATGTGGTGAGTTGTCCCCAACCGGAAACCGAAACTTTGGCTCCGGTTGCTGGTGCCCTGTTGGCCAACTCAATGGTGTTGATACTGCCGCCCAGCTGGAGGTTCGAGTCCAGCTGGAGAACAGCCACATTATACTGGCGTTCATCCGAAAGCGGCAACCTTACTGTCTTGACTTTCACCTCGGTGCCACCCAAATTTTTGAAGGCGGAACCCACTCGCACCGAAATGTTATTGATGTAGACCCCATTCACACACTCGATTATGGTCAGGACGATATCCTCCTTGTAAATCACTCCGCCGCAGCGGTACTCGTCGTCTACTTTGATCATCGCCTGCCAGGGAACGTCTCCGATTCTTACGGGCAAAACATCCAGAAGGTCTTGGGATTGGATTGCGGAAAGCGAAACAACGAGCAGAAAGCTTTTGAACAGCATTTTGAAATTTATTCCGTTGTTGAAGATCACTGGCTGAGATGTGGGTGCTTCTAAAGCCAGCTACTTAAAGGCAAAATTTTCAGGTTGACTTTAATTTTATAGCAGGTAAGCAGACTGAATATCAATTGTTTTTTGTTTTGTCACGTTTTGTTTAAGTACTCTATTTTATTCGTAGTCAGGTGGGATCATTAAATTATTTCAAAGTGAATATATAAGCACATCTCGTGAAGCTGTGAATTTCGCAACCATTAATAACGCTTTTGTTTTGCCACTTCTTGGGAACCTCTTACAGTAATTACGATTATCAAGCATACGCAGTGGTGACCATGGCAGATAAATTATTCTCAAAAGTGGCCAGCAAAGTTTATCTTATGGGCGACAGACAACAGTTGCCATTTGGTTGTTGATTTTTATGAAAGAATTATGACCCGGCCTTGGGGGGTGAAAAGCCAAACTAAATGGCTTCCTGCGGCTGCAGTTTTCCGCTTTCCCGCTTTTCACCAGCCCAACCAAACCTGCTGGGCAAGACGTATAAATATATATATTGTGCAAATTGTAATTTAAAACATTCTGGAGCGAAGCCAAGTAATAATTTGTGCTGCATTTGTGCATCTCGTCCTGGCAACGGATTTCGCATTTTGAATTGTGAAACGGCGCAATTGATGCGCTCCACTGAACTGAGCCCGGGTCTTATCCTTCGAAGGAGCTCAGCTGGGTGCTGGTTGCTGGAAGCTGGATGCTGGATGCTGGAAGGAGCCTCCGCCATTGTTATCGTATCCTTTCTCGCGCTCTCCTCCATTTTCCGGGGGGCCGGCATATCAATGCGACTGCTTGAGAATAGCATTTTATTGCTTCAAACAACATGGAAAGTCAAGTGTTGCAGTCGCGCGAAATTGTTCTTCCCCCTCCTAAATAATTCGTTTTTCCTATTTTTTCGTATTTACTTCGCATCCGCCTCTGGGTATTTGGCTCGTTTGGCGGAATCGGTTCGGCGCAATAAATTCTATTAAAATGCAATTTGAAGGCTCCGTGATTTTAATTAATGCCATGGAGCAGCCATCGGGTTAATGCAGACTGGCGGCATTATCCTTGGCGCTCCGTTATCCTGGCAATAGTTTCCTTTTTTCGGGCCCTTCCAACTGGAGATTTATGCAATCTCCTGCTGTTGTTTGCTCGCTGGATGTTCGAAGTATTTATGGTCTGCCCGGCGGGTCTTTAGCTAATTGGGTTGTCAATTTAATCGGAAGTTGTTGGGGCTTATCTTCGGGGATTTCCCTTTCTTCCGGCCGCAAGATTGGCCGCCTCTACTGTGTAAATACTCGGCAGCCCACACGATAAACCGCAGCCAAAAGAAATTGCAATTTAATTAATGCCCGGCGAGAGAGGAGATTAAAATAGTTGAAATGTCATTAGCACCGAGTCTCAAAGTGCTGAGGGAGTTGAGGGGTCAGAGTTGAGGGGTCGGGCTCTGGGCCAAAAGGCATCGAGGGGTCAACGTGTTGACCACACAATTGTGTGGTCACGTGATGACTTTTTGGCGCTGCTCTTGTGGTCATAATTTCAGCCACGGGGAAAAAAGCCAAACGCTGGAGCAAAGAAACCATAGCAAATTCGCTGACTCCGGGGATTGTCTCCGGCTTTATTTCGCTTTCTCCCTTTAAGTTGCGCCGGAGTTCGTGTTAAAAATTCATTAGGAGTTTTAATTAAAATTCTCTCTGTGGCCCACAAAGGCGCTTTCCACACTTAACGTTCGGACGGCTCACAAAAGAAGTTTGCGGCTGAAGCTGAAAAGCGAAAAATGAGCATAGGAACATTTCCTACTTTTTGTTTTTTTGGCCAGGCATTGCCCTTGTTGGCTCATAATTTTTACTGGTGAAAACCAACGCGGGGACAGCCTCCATATGGAACCGTCGGCACTTTACATGCATGACTACGTGTGCTTTTAATATCCTGTACACAGACGCGCCTCAAAACTTCCGCTTGCAAATAAATAAAATATAATAAACAAGCCAGCCAAATGTTGCTTGTTTTGTAATAAAAATGAATTTAAATTACCTGAACATGTACTTAAATATGTTTCATTTACAATTTCAATTAGCGGTGAGCTTGCTAATTGAATTTCGCTTGAAATGAATCAATTTGGTTAAATATTTGTTATCCTGGGTAATTATAAGCTGTCCCAATTTTGACATTCCGTATTAAGTTTCTTTAGTTTCTGCAAACAAAGTAGTTGCTTTGTGCTTGAACATGCGAAATTATCTGTCAAATAAACGCAATTTGCATAATGTTAGCTGTCAATTTTGTAATTACAGCAGAGATTATATTTAATTTTGAAAGCTGGAGCCTTCCCCATCATCGCTCAATGTCATCAATAATTTTGGTGCAACACAACTATGTGGCACTAATAATATGCGACATTTCGCGGTATTTGAAAATTTCCAACTTTGTAATGGAATTCTCGCAGGGAATTTCCAGGGCCACGCGCCATTTGACACATTATTGTGACATCCTGGCCTCAATTCCAGTTAGCGTCCCGTCGACAATGCGATGCCGCTCGTAAAATCATAATTAGTTTTGCATAATTTGCCCATTGGCGAACGGGGAGTGAATTTTGGACCTGTGTTCCCTTCGTCGTACGATATTCAATTACAAACATTGCCAAATGCTGCAAACATTTCGAGTGTCTGGCTGAAATTAATTTGTTTGTGTAACTGGGCAAACTAACACTAGTCGTGCTCCCTCGGAGGTGGAGGTGTGCAAACAAATTGCGTACGTGTACGGACGGCGAGGTCCTTTGGTCCTTTGGTAATTGTAATGCGAGCAAATAAACGAGCGAGTGCCGCACGAATATTCATGCAACAATGGGGCATACACACAACTACACACTCACACATAAGCACGAAGGACATTCGAGCACACACACACACTCGCACATCGGTGCAAATGGAGATGGAGTGAAAGGCAAATGCCGACAGGACAAATGCTTGATGTGGGTGCCTTGTTATTGTCATCCCCTCGAACAGCACAAATTTTTAATTTCAATTTTTTCCCCTTCAGGCCGAAACACGTTGTGTTACAAATTTGAATTTATGTCCTGCCAGCACCTGCGATATCCTGCTGGTCAGCTCCATTCGGCCAGAATTTTCCGCTTCGTTTTCATTTTCCTTCCGATCGCATAAAGTTTTGCTCACACATTAGCTACATATGACACCTTTAAGTGTTTACCTGCTCGGGGATCGAGATCCCAGTCTGGGGAATCCCTGATTGGATTCGGGAGGGGGTGTTGCAGGACTCGTTGCCGGAATTGAATTCAAAAAGTTATGAATAGTTAATATCTGCGAGAAGAAGGAGAGTTTTATGGGAAAGCGAAGGATAGCACTTGGGAAAAGGACAACGTTGCAGTTGGGTGAAAATTTTTGGTGGAACATTTAAAATATTTAATACAGAAAATAACTGAAATGAGAAAAGGTGGAATATTATAAAATATTTAAATTCCCTCCTTGTAAATAGCAAATATTTATTACCTGTTCAATTGTTTTCTACTATTCCTTTGTTTTCAAAACTCAAATATCAAGGGCATTTAATCCCAAGCAAAACAATGGCGTTGCTTTCTGCATATCGCCTGTCAAATCGACCATCCAGATTTTAGGCCAACTGTGCCCAAGGCTGTTTTAGTGACCAGACTTTACAAACCATGACCCCGATCTATCCAATCCATTGTTTCGACAGCGACTGAATTATTAATCAACAAAAGGACCGCCGCCGAACAATGCCAATGGAACCTAACACTCTCCCGCTGTCGATGCTAGGGATCGGGTGTATATATCCCCCTTAGCCTGACTGCTGTCGATGCATTCCACATTTACCAGCGTCCTTTTCATTTGAGCAGTTTTTGTTAATTACTGCTGACTTGGAAGGGGAAGATGGAGCAAAACACTTTGTTGGCACGTCCGTAAAGTGTCTGTTTCAATTTTTTGGGAGGACGAGTAATGCAGAGGGCAAAATCACAAGAAGTTGAATTTAAGCCACAAATTATAATAATATACTAACCTAGAAGGGAAGATCTTTTGTGTTACCTCATGAGAAAGGCTTATTGTATTAAAGGGATTTCAATTTATATATTTTATTCCCAACTTTTTTTCCGTGTAAAATTCCTTTGGTTGCAGCTCCTGTCAATCGAGGTTGCAGTTGCCAAAACCTCGATTTCATTTCGGTTTCGCTTTTGTTTTCCTTTTCGGCTTCGGTGTGGCATCTCTGACCTATAAATCATCTAATGGCCGGGACAGGTTGGGTTCAGTGGGGTTTTTCGGATGGACACCGGGCTGGAGATGGGGATTTACCCTCTACAGCTACCCCCCTCTCCACCCCACACATGTGTCAATATTTGTGCGAAATGCGGCCGCAGTCTCATCGACACAAACACTCTCCATCATCCACACTTGGTTTCGGATTTTGTGGCTTCTAGTTTGTTGCTCGCCGAGTTGCAGCAGATACAGAAGCTTTTAGTTGTTTAAATTTAAGTTCACCCCCCCAAAAAAAAAGGGATAAAAAATCACAGCGAAAACAAAGCAAGAGGTCAGCAGTCGCATTGAATATTTTAACTATTTTCAGCTGGCAGTCGATTTAATTTCCGTTTGTATTTTCATAGCCCGATTGCGAAGTTCACAGTTTACATTTGTGAGCAGATGGACATCTGTTTTGCACTTCATTTGTTATGGAATTGAATTTCTTGAGGTTTTCCATAGCAGCTCCTTCTGCTTTTCGTTCTCCTCTTTTTTTCTACTTCTACTTCTCTTTTTTTCCCTTTGTGCGTGGTGCACAACGTGGCGTATGGGCAACTTATTTGCCATCTGTCGTGGCTGAGTTGAGAAATGAAATGAAATCAAATGCAGTCGACTGAGAAATTGGGAGGAAGAGTTTGCCAAGAACTTATTTTTGCTGTGCTTCTTGTACAAACTTTCAAATTGAGCATCCTTTGAGTGGTGTAAAGTATGCGAAGG